CTTGTCAGCAAGGAGTCTTAATCCTCATGTAATATAACATTTAAAGAAGGTGGGCTAAGGTTCCTGGGTGCCAGGGCATTCGTGAAGCAGGTCCACTCGGTACTTTAGGGCTCGGAGGGTTTATAAACCTTATTCTCGCGTGACCTATCGAACAAACGGACTTGATGGTGTCCAAGTGTGCCTTCCGCGACGGCTAGCTGCTAAATGGTAGAGACAACATAGACGTCTCGTAATAACGAGGAGAGGATTCTCGTCGAAGAGAGGAATCAATGGTTTTGGGAACACGATTGATCAACCTCAACCTCCTTGCCCTGTTGCATGTACAATGTGCATGTACAATGAGTAGGAGCTATGAGCATTACCTGGTATCCTACGCCGCATAACGATCACAGTTGTGCTCCTCTCAACCGGCCCTCTGAAAGGTCAGTCAATCAATGGGCTACAAATATGCGTTGAATGACCGCGACCGTCATGCCCTCTTCCATTTGCGGAGCAAATTGCGAAGGAGGCAGTGGGAGATGTTCAACGCAAGGCCGGCGTTTTGTGTGACTCTGCAAGCTGACGCGGTTACTATGCAAGGCTTTGGAATGTCCTGCTGTGTTTTCCTGCCGAGTCATGTACCACCCTAGACCCTTTTTGTCATGCAGGCCTGCTTGTCGCAATTTGTAGCCTTGCCCTAAACATCGAAAAAAGGGTCTGAATGTTATTGGGCAAGGTAGGGGTCATACGCGTTTGGCTGGTGCTCTCGTTCTGACACAGACTGTAAACTATTCAGTGTATTCTGAGAGCTTCAGCACACAGAAAGGCACGTAAGCTCTGGGACAGAAGACCAAGCCGCTCATGTACTGGAAAGCTATTGTCATTCTCCATTACTGGTCGTTTATGCCGCCCCTCAAGGGGTTGTCTTTACGTCACGGGCCAATTGATAACATGTGCGATGGATTCCTGGCAGTGTCCCCTATCCGATGAGCAGGTCCAGAAGCATGTGGAGGAGATAACAGCCTGGTATTAGGTCATTCGGACTCCGAATTGCGACAATTAGGCTGTGGTGTAGGTGACAACGTCTATCCAGGCCTCTTGCTTGGCGAGCGGAACGTACGTGTGACTCTAAATGCTGTGGTAGTGCCTTGGCTCTGCAGTCGACTCTCGCCACATTTGCAAGGCATGCTGCTTTCCAGGTAGCTGGTTTGGTTGCATGGGAATGATTGTCCAATCCGCAACAAGGGGGGATCATGATCTCAGCCATGGTGCCGATTCCAATCTGCCTCCCGCCCGTCCACACGTTGCGGCGGTCGATGATGGCAGGAAACCTTTTGTTTGGCTGCAAATAGTGTATTATCCAGCGGTGAGGAGGCATATTAGCAGTAATGACTGTAACTGGCAAAAGCTGCCGCTCTGGGTCTGCAGGCAGCATTTTGCTGGTACATCACACGCCTTGGACGTATGTAGGGGCCTTCAGAGACGAGCCAAGGAGGTTCAAGGATAGCTCCTAGTTATGAAATATGAACAACGTAGCATGGTAACTATCTGGTCAGCAAGTCCTCCTTGTTGTCTGATCTGTTACTCTATCCATCCGTCACTGTCTGTGCAAGCTCAAATACGTTCCAAACGTTATCATTAGTTCTCAATGGGTTCAATTCTTCCCGATGTGTCCGAGTACGACAGAGTCATCTCCAGTGGTGAAGGACTTGGCCAGATCTTCTATCAGCGGATGCTAGAAGACCCAGAGGCCGTCGCAATCATTGACGAGCAGAGCAAAAGTTTGTCATACCGTGCTATCCATGAAAAGGCAACCAATCTGGCACGGACGCTCGTCGAGCACGAGTCCAGCCCTGGAGACCGGGTCGGGGTCATTGTTGATCATGGGCTCTGGGACGCTGTCACGCAAGTGGCTATAATCTACGCTGGCGGTACCTGTGTGCCCATCGATCCTCTGTTGCCCGATCAGCAGATTAAAAGCCGTTTGATGAGGTTGGGTGTTCGACATGTTCTTGTCGATGAAGCCAACGGGAAGCGAGACCTGCCCTTTGCTTCGTTCGTGGTGACCCATGGTCGCAATGAATCGACCGATGCAGGCGAAGGACGCTTTCCGATGGCCACGAGCGTCGATCACTGCTCGCATCTTATCCACACCTCAGGCACCACTAGCGAGCCGAAGGCTGTGCAGATAGCTGCGAGATCAATCATTCATGTCGCACACCACGCACCTTACGAACCCGTCCGCAAGTCCGATGTGGTCGGACACCCGAACAAGACGAGCTTCGACGTCGCCTTGTTTGACATCTGGGGCGCTCTACTACGCGGTGCGGCCGTTGGTGTGCTGAGCAAAACAACGCTTCTGGACAGTGCTGCACTCGCCGCAGCTATCCGGAGGCTTGGGATTACGATTACCGCCATCACGGCGCCGTTGGTCAACCTGGCGGCGGCGACGTACCCGACCACATTTGCGCCACTCCGGGTAGTCCTCATGGGCGGCGAAGCAGTCAATCTCCGTGCGATGGAGGCCATTCTGACTGCAGGACCTCCTCAGCACCTGATGAATGCGTATGGCCCGACTGAATGTTGCGTCTACTGCCTCACGCATGAGATTACATTCGACGACGTTAGTGCGGGAAAGGTCAGTATAGGAGAGACAATCGGCCGCAACGTCTGCTGTGTGTGTGATGAGGACGGCAATCCCGTACCGGCGGGCGAAGAGGGCGAACTTCTCGTTGGAGGACCGGGGGTTTCACCTGGTTATGTCGACCAGCCGGAGAAAAATGCAAAGACCTTCGTGGCAGTCCCCGGCATGATCGACCCGGTGTCCAACCAGCCCTACCGCATGTACCGGACCGGCGACCTGGTTCGCCAGCGCCCCGATGGTCAGCATGATTTCCTGGGTCGTCGCGATGAACAGGTAAAGATTCGTGGGTTCCGAGTTGAACTCGCTGCTGTCCGTTCGGTTCTCATGAACACGGGCCACTTCGCCGAAGTCTTTGCCATGGCCATGAATTCACAGGCGGCAGAAGCCAGTGCGACTCTGGTTGCCTTTGCCGTCCTGCGCGCCGACTCAGCTAAGAATGCCGTGGCTGACGCGGTGGAGATTGCAAAGGCAACTCTTCCTGACTTCATGGTGCCTCACATTGAGGTGATCACAGAGATGCCTCTGAACGCGCACGCAAAAATAGATCGCAGGAAACTGGAGGCTCTGTATAACCAGCGGCAGGAGAGACTGCTCGAGAAAATCAACTGTAGCAAGAAAGAGAAGGTGATGAGCACACGCCAGCAGATCGCCAGCATATGGGCAATGATATTGGCCACCCCGGTTCCCGAATACGCCGACGAGGACGACTTTTTCGCCCTGGGGGGCACCTCCCTGCAGGCATCTTTGCTGATTACCCGCATTAGACAGCAGCTCAGCACCGAGATCTCCCTGCTCACGCTGTACGATCACCCCACCATCGGCGAGTTGGCCGCTATCGTGGACAAACACCGAGGCTCATCCATGGCCACCATCCGCGACGAACAAGATATACTGGCTGCCGACATAAATCTTGGAGATGATTTGGAGCTTCCCCTGGAACCAGTGGTTGACTGGCGTCGAGATACAGAAGGTAGAGTCTTCCTGACTGGCGCCACCGGCTTTGTGGGCGCATTCTACCTGGCAGCTCTCCTCCTCATGCCCGGTGTGCATCAGGTCGGCTGTCTTGTGCGTGCATCAACCCCCGCCAAAGGTTTCCAGCGGATCCGCGCTGCCCTCATCAAGTACGGGCTCTGGCAGGACTCCTTCTCGAGCAAGATCCTCCCACTGTGCGGCAATCTCCAGGACCCCTGGCTGGGCATGGGCGAGGAGCGGTTCCAAGAGATTGCGAGGTGGAGCAGCGTAATTTTTCACTTGGGTGCCCTTGTAAACTACACGAAGCCCTATTCGCTCCATCGGCCAGCCAATGTCATTGGAACCGCGAATATTGCTCGCTTTGCCGTCACCGGTCGTCCCAAGGGCCTCCATTACTGCTCCAGCATCTCGTGCTTTGGGCCAACTGGATTTGTGAATGGATCTAAAGTCATCTACGAGGATGCCTCGCTGCTCCCCCATCTACCTGCCCTGCCGTATGATCACGGATATGCTCAGAGTCAATGGGCTGCCGACGCCCTCCTCCAGCGCCTGATCAATCGCGGCTTCCCCATCGCCATTTACCGTCCCGGGTTTATCACCGGCGACTCCAAGACTGGTGTCTGCAACCCGGACGACTTCTTCAGCAGACTGATCCGTGCCGGCCTCGACCTCGGGTGCTACCCTGACCTGCCAGACCAGCGCAAGGAATTCGTGCCCGTTGACTATGTCGTCGCCGCAATGCTCCACATTTCTTGCTCCGTCTTCTCCCTGGGCCATGCCTTCCATCTCCTGCCAAGCCGTGCAGCCTCCGTCGACATGACAGAGACCATGCAGCTACTTGGCCAGGTGCGTGGGACGGCCATCGAACGGCTGAGCTACGAGCAGTGGATCGAGCGACTGTCGGCGACTTCCCATGCCAGCCTCCAGCCACTTCTGCCCATGCTGGCAGAAAAGGTCCGCGATGGACTTAGCCGCTGGGAGTTGTATGAGAAAATGCCCATCTACGACGCTACTAATACCCGGCGCGCCCTTGCTATGCTCCCGTCACCAATCGAGTGTCCGCCCTTTGACCGTGCCTTGGTGAAGAAGTATGTCGATTATCTGTACGCGATTGAAAAGGGTCAACCTTACACGCCTGTACGAATTGCTTCTGCCCCGTAGTAAGATTCAAGTAGGATAAATTGTTATTCGTTTGCTTAAAAAAGTACTCATCTACATACCGAGATCCATTGTCAGTAGAAAGCCCGCATGTGGCAGCTCGTAAGAATATATACATTCGCCAGTAGGCTGTCCCAACACGTCAATATTCAGCGAGCGAGTAGTGCCATGAAGCGAACTCCTTTGTAAAATGAACGAACAGACTAGGGCAGGCAATTTCATGAAAACGACTGGTACTGTCTAAGTATCATGCAGGTAGTTGTCTCTTGCGCACCGAGATCCAGCGTACCGGCAATGCCCCCACGAGCGCAAGAGCAATCATGGCGACACCAATATAGAATGACTGGGTAATGGCAGCATTGTACGCTCTCAGAATAGTTGTAATCAACTCTGGCGCGAATATCTCTCGCAGAGCTGTTGGACCCGCGCTTGCGACCTCGCCCGCATCAACACTCGGCACTCCGACGGCACAGTTGTGCAGCAGTCGGTTATGGAAGACTGTCTGCGCGACCGAAACAAAGATTGCGCCTCCAATCATTTGGAAGAACAATACAATCACAGTGGCACTAGGCAGGTCGAGTGGCGCCACCGTCGCCTGGACGGCTGTTATGGGCAGTTGGATCCCCATGCCCGCTCCGATCCCGTAAATTGCTTGGTACCCAATCCACTCCGAATGGCCAGAGTTAACCTGGAGCGTTGTAAGTAGGCCGCTACCGATCGCGGCAACTACCGGAGCCAGCAGCATGAATGGTGCGTAGTATCCGGATTTGCTTACGAGCGCGCCGGTGAGGATGGAACTGACGGTCGTCCCGATCAGCATGGGCAAATTCATGAGACCGGACTTGGTCGCGGATGCATCTTTGATGGACTGGAACCAGATAGGGAGCTGAAGGACCGGGGAAACCATTAGAGACATGGAACACCGTCAGGGGGTGCGAGTTTTACTCACGTAGTATGTGAAGACCATGAACGAGGAACTGACACAGAAGGCGTAGAGCGCCGGGCTCCAGACATTCCGGTTCAGAAACAAAGCAGGCGGTATGGTTGCTCTAGCCTGCAGGCGCCACTGCACAGCAACAAAGATGAGGATAAGGGCAGCAAAGGCAACAAAGAGCCCGATGATGCGGACGCTTCCCCAGGCGTATTTAGACCCGCCCCATTGAAGCGCTAGAAGAAGACATATAATGGCGGGCAAAAAGGATGCGGTACCAGGCAAATCGAGCTTTTTTACCATGGCTCTTCTGCTGATTCGTTTCTGCTGCGTTGGTGCCTTATACAGAATGACGATGAAGGCGGCCGTCACTGCGCCGGCGGGCAGGTTGATATAAAAGCACCATCTCCAGCTCGCGCGATCCGTGAGTGCGCCACCGATTAGAGGGCCAGCCATACTAGCAACTCCATATAGACTGCCTATGATACTAGTGACCAGTGGTCGTCGTTTCAGCGGTATCGTCTGCGCGATAATGAGGAAGCAGCCTGCATAAACACCGGATGAGCCTATACCCGCGACTGCCCTGCCTATGATCAAAGTCGTCGAGTTGGGGGCGACGCCACAAATCAAGGAGCCAGCCTCAAATATGGCGAGTACAACCAGATAGACCCATTTGGTGGAATAGAAGGTGAAGAGTTTCCCGAAGATGAGAGTCAGAGAGCAGGATGTCAGTTGATAGGAGCTCCCATACCACCCAATATCCGCCAGAGAGTTGAACTGACTGGTAATTCTTGGGATCGCCGTTGCCATGATTGTTGTGTCCTGGTGATGCTTAGCACATCAGCTACGACTGTAGCATAGTTGAGTGTCTTACCAGTGCCACACATAAGACAGAAAGAGACAATCCGATCATAATCACAGCAAGTCTCCAGGAATCCATTTTCTGATGGTCATCCTCCCCTTCTTCCCGCGGGGATTCCTTGTTATTGTCCATCTCGTTTGTGATGCCGCAATCTACACCACGGGGCTCTTAACCAACTCCTGGGCCTCGGATGCGCTGGACTCGGACGTCAGCGCCTTTAATTTCTCGGTGAATGTGTTCGTTTTTTTCTTTTCTTTTCTTTTCTTTTTTTTTTTTTTTTAATTCTGAGCGGACATATGATCCAGGACAGTAAAGCTAGCAGACGAGTGATATACTAGAGGACAAATTTATATGTATTAGATTAGGGAGTGATGATGTATTATTGAGCGCTTGTAAAATCAGCCAATGCTCTGGGCAGGATTTGAGCTTCGGGAGATCGGTAGCAGTGCCGACTACAAGCAGCTGTTTTGTCAAAGCAGAGGGGTGGAATGGGCAAGGGGGTCCTACGGGCTTAAGCCAGGAGGAAAGGAGTCCGAAGTTACCCAATTGAGCTGGGCTACATCATTAAGCACGCACTTATGCAAGGATGCCGGCCAAAAACTCGAGCCCTGGGTCTGCCGCAGGGCATACTCGGAAAAATTACAGTACTAATAAGTTTGAAAACCATGTTTAATGAATGTAGAGACCAACTACAGGAAGATGTCAACTCAGTAGCCCTTATCACGCGGGCGTATCTTGATGATCACATTTGAACGCGGTGTCGCCACAAAGTGATCGTACCAATCCAAGCTCTGAGGGATCGGCTCGCAGAGTTGTATCTGATAATGGCTAAACAAATGTCCCAGGGTGACCTGTAGTTGCATTTGCGCGAGGCTGGAAGGCAGTTCAGTTAGGCTTAGGTCGAGAAGAGACAAAAGGGAGGCTTACTTGATGCCGATACACCCGCGGCTGCCACGGCTGTAGGGATTCAAGTAACGATCTTGCTCGGAGCTGTGACCCTCGAGCCACCTTTCAGGTCGGAATTCATGTGGCTGCGGAAAGACGATCTCGTTGGAATGGAGCACATAGTGTGACGATGATATCACGCTCTATAGCCACAAAAGCATCAGCACAACAACGTGTTCAATGGGGAGTAATCAAACAGAGTCTTACGCCAGCAGGTACATAGTGCTTGCCCACTGTCAGTCCCTCAGCAGGAACTATACGAGGTAACGGTCCGGGAAGAGCGGGCCACATCCGATGAGTTTCTTTGATCACAGCATTCTGTACAGCAATCATCAGTTCCTTCCCGCATCTGATAGATTGAGAGCTGTCCTACCAGGTATGGAAGAGTTCCGAGTAGCTTCGCATCTACACGCTTCCCTGCTTGATCAGTAGCAGAGGCCTCATCAAGCTCGGCGCACAGCTTCTGTTGTACACCAGGGTTCCGGACAATATAGTAGATTGCTGCAGCGATTGTTCTTCCACTCGTATCAACTCCGGCGTCGATGAAAGTGAAGGTCTCTTCGGTGAGGTATTGCAATGTTGGCGCTTTACCTTTCGCTTGATGGGAATGTGCGATCAGCAGCTCTATCAAAGATGCGTGGCTGCGATCCATGACATCACTAATTGGCTGGTCCATCCGGGGCAGGGTATGTTCCCTGCATTTCTAGCGGCTGTCAATACTAATGACTTGACGGTGCACCATGGCAGAGTAGCATGACCGACCTGCTTGAAGTTGTAAACCCCAGCGGGCTCAAGCCGTTCGGAAACTGAAGTAGGAAACATGGACCCAATGGTGCCCAGGTAAGGGAAAAACCGTACTGCCATTGTCAGCAACCAAGCAAGATATGGCCAAAGAAGACATACACCACGGAATCAGGGACGAGAGGTTGTCAACGGTGTCCAACAGCGCCGGTTTACTCGGCCCATATTCGACAAGGTCGCCACAGTCGCCGAATAGAACCTCTCCCACCACGTTAATCTGCCAATCACACAGTCAGTACTGATATACCATCGAAGAGCAAAGAGGTGAAAAGACCGTCAATGCCCTGAACAAGTCGGTCGCATCACATGTGTTTCCGATTCGAGTCTGGTCGGTCATATAATCAACCAGTTGCTGTAATCTGCGCAACACCCCCGGAGCCCCGGCCTCTGCTGCTTGCTTGGAGAACCGCGGGCTCAGCACCTTTCGTCGCTCTCGGTGTTTGGCACGATCGGCAATAGAGAAGATTGATCCATCGTTGTTGGCACAAGTGTAGAAGGTATGATCTTTGCAGAAGTCGGTTCCCATGCAGAAGATCCTAGAGTCGGGCTGTCGGCAACCGGCTTTTGTTGTTGAGGAAGGCATTACTCACTTTTCATATATATCGATATCATTGACGTGGACATGATTGGGGCCAACTCGCACGATTGGAGAATCTGGAAATGCGGTGTTAAGCCTTTCGTACTGAGAAGCTGGATTTTTCTGAAAAACTCACTATACCTCCTATGCAGCTCAGGGTATGTCTTACACCACTGGCCGTTCAAGACAATATTGGAGTAGAATTCGTCCCAGCCGCAAAAGGCGCTGAGCCGCGAGCCTGGAATATGCCTCAAGGGAGACCAAAACAAACCATGTCCCAACTTCAACAAGCAAAAGAGGATAATAAATGTTGTGAGGATCTGAAGTCCACGAGGAATCACTCCAGCGTCAAGCTGGAGGGGGCTGTTGGGTGCGAAGTTCATCGTTTCCATGGCTCGACGTGGTTTACGGTTGCTGCTCTGCTTCTTCGAGGTAGAACGCGCTATGTTAGCTCGAGTAACGGGGGTTTGGCCAGCCGGGGGGATGATGCCCCCTGGTATCTGAGCTGCAGCAGGATTGTCGGTCTCACAATCGGGTGGGTCGGAGGTTGGCCAGAGGCAGTGAGGGGTGCCCCCTTCAGTCACATTCCCCTCCTTCATTTTTACTGTGCGGGCCGCTGGGCTTGTCATGACCCAAGACAGTGATCAGGTCGTAGCCAAACCGCGATAGTACCGCCCGGGTGGGTTATGTATAATAATACGCTTCGAGTCCCCAACCAAGTCATCGTATGCTTCAGCTTTCGACCATTGTTACAATTTCCCCCCAACACACAACGCCGAAAATGAAGGATCTTGTCATTGTTCCGCTCAATAAGGAGCAGGTCCTGCGAGCTGCAGAATACTGCGAGGAGTACAGTTTCCCTCTGCCGCCAATGCTGAAAGAGCAACTCCGTGTGACGGAGGAGCTTTCGAAAGAAGAGAGCATTATGGCCATTTCCGCCTCCCAGTGCGCCTGGCTAATGAGCTTTGCACAAGTCTTGAGACCCGCTCGAGGTCAGTATGGAATTCTAGAATTCTACCAACGCCGATGTGCCAGTAGACTGATTTTGCCTCCGCAATAGTGCTCGAGCTTGGGACCTTCACTGGTGTAAGCGCTCTTGCACTTCACGAGGCCACGAGACAGACCGGGGCAGAAATCGTGACAGTCGACCTGTCGGAGAAGTATTTGAAGATCGCGGAAGACGCCTTCAAGCGACACGGTGCTACTGATCGAATTCGTGTCATCAAAGGAGATTGCCTCCAGGTGTAGGTACTCCAGTTGTCTTGCATATATGAACAACCACTGACTCACGTAGTCTTCATAACTTGGAGGGCCAGTTCGATTTGATCTACGTCGATGCTGAGGAGAACGAGTATGAAGCGTACATACGCTTGATCCTCGACCATAAGCTTCTGTCTCCGCGGGGAGCGCTCATTGTCGATGACAGTACGTGGTTCCCTTCATCTTTCGACGGCAACTAACAGCTATGGTGCAGCTCTCCTAGAAGGCCTGGTCTTTGACCGCTCCATCTCAAGGAACTTCCCTGCAGAAATTCAAGAGCCTTATCTGGCAATTGCCGACAAGATGAATCTATTCAACCGCTTTGTTGCTTCTGACCCTCGCATCACCGCAACCCTGATCCCAGCCTTCAACGGCGTAACCCAGATTATGTGGAAGTAATCAACATAGATTAAATGCCATTATCACTTGTCCAGAATACTTAAGCAAGGGCCAAAGTGCTCCAGCTGGGTTGCACATCCTTCGTATGCATTGCCCTTCCTCCTAGTCCAGTCCTTGCATTGAAAACTCCTTACACACTCATTTTTAATGCTCTGCTGGTGGCCCTCACATACAACAAGAAATGTCCCCAGCATCCCAGTGACCCTTACATTCGAGCTGGAGGGCATAGAGAACAGTTGGTAGCTACCGGAACTTGTTTTAGCTCGTCTAATAATGACATTTATGAGACTCTCCCCCAGATAGAGTACAAGGCAAACTATTACGGGAATTCTGGGACTGCCGTTCGCAATGAAGTTATTGGCCATCTCTTCGTTTTCACTGTTGACAGCATTCTGGGGCACTTGCTCTGCCGCTGAGGTACAATGCACAAGAGAGACGGCACATGTCAGGAAGGAATGGTACAGCTCAAAAGGACCATCTCTGATGCCCGTAATATGTCAGTACTGACTGAGACCCAGGGCGGCGTTGACTCCAGCGGAACGCATAGACTACATCGATGCCCTTCACTGTCTCGCTGAAAAGCCCCCTGTCTACGACACTCATACCTACCCCGGAGTTCGCAATCGCTGGGATGATTTCGTGGCGTGCGTGCAGTCACTCCGATACTGAACATGGGAGTTTTGCTAACGCAGAGCAGAACCCATATCAACTATACGCTCTACATCCATTTCAACGGGCTCTTGCTTCCGTGGCATCGCAATTTCATCCACCTCTGGGAAACCGCCTTGAGGGAGGAGTGCGGGTATAAAGGATATCAACCGTACGTTTTTCCTCCAGCTGTCGCAATGCACTTATCTTGTTTGATTCCAGCTTGCTGACGGAAGGCCGAAATAGATATTGGGACTGGCCGTCGAACTCGCTCGATCTTGCCGGCAGCCCGCACTTCGATGGAAGCCCGACTTCGCTCTCCGGTGACGGAGAATACGACGAACATGCGGAGCGAGACCGAACCCTGCCCAAAGGTACCGGGGGCGGCTGCGTCCTCTCGGGGCCCTTCAAAAACCACACGGTGAACATGGGTCCATTCTATGATGTCCCGAGTGGCATATTCCCACCCAATGCCTTTGCCTACAACCCGCACTGCCTGCGGCGAGACCTGAACACGCGAGTTTCGGCGTACTGCAACGGCCCCGACGTTACCGCGGCCCTGCTTGCAGCGCCCAATATCACGGAATTTCAGACTATCGTTGACAAGGGGCTTATGGGGGTTCACCTTAATGGGCCCCACGGTTGTGCGCATGCGAGCGTCGGATCAGTCATGGGAGATCTCTGGGCGGCCGTGGCGGATCCCTCGTTCTTTCTGCATCATGCAAACTTGGACCGTATGTGGGCGTTGTGGCAGGAAAAGGATGAGGCGTCGCGCAGGGTCGCCCTGAATGGCACTTCGAGCATCTACAATAGCCCCGAAACTCCTGAGGTAACACTTGATACTATTATGTTGTACGGGAAGCTCGACCAGACGCGCCAGATCCGGGAGATGATGGACCCGATGGGGGGTAAATTGTGTTACAGATACGAGTAGGCTGTCGAGCGCTTGGTATAGTGGAGAGAAGAATGGAAATGGACCAGACTGAGTAGCTTAGATAAGGAAGGACAAATACAGAAATTTAGAACGCGTCCACAACTAAATAAATCTCCCATACTGCTGGAAGTCCCTGTCATTTTTCAGGGCCTCGATATCCCTGTCCTCCAGACACATTGCCAGCACGACCTGTCCGTCTGGACGCTTAGGCAGCGCATAGACAATGCCAGGGTCGGCAGGTGGCAACGGCAAGCGCACCGCCTCTGGCTGCCCAAGGCCCATGTTGAAGTCCACACCATACGCATCGACTTTGGAGAAGGAGCTGAACATGAGGTCAATGTTGGTTCTGATTGTGCCCATATAGTTCAGAATGCTCTTGTCAGTGGACCGATTAAGCATCGTCACCGCCGCACGCGTGATGGAGACAAGCCCAGTCTTCTGGTGGTCCAGTTCTGAGCGAAGTCGGGATGCGGTCGTTCCCAAGGGCTCCCCAGCTAGCGCCTTCAATGTGGCAGTATCGTATACGCACATCGTCACCATTCCGGGGTGCTCCTCAGGGATGTCGAACAGGTGGCGGATATTGACGGCACGACTAAGGGTTGCCTCTTCATCAGGCTGAAGGCGGGAGATTCTGGCCCGAACAACGGCCTTCCATACAAACGCGGTCAGCGCATCGTCCGTCGAGATAAAGCCAAGATGTGTACTGAGGTCTCTTTCTGCGACCCGCTTCAGAGTGGCAAGTGAGACGGCCTCGAATATAACGTTGACCCAACTGCTGCGAGTAAGATTGGCAGAAGGCGCCTGGGTGCTGTCAGCAGGCCGGGCAGGAGCAATGATGCGTCGGTATAGCTCCGGTCCCGGCTGGTATGAATCATCCAGGAATGGGATCAGATGGTATCGAGGAAGGTTGGCGGCGGCGATTTCATCAGCAGAAAACGCTTGCCCATGGCATGCTTTAGACAGAAGACGCAGGATCTGACCCATGCCCGGGTAGTCCATCGCTTGATGCTGGCCCGCCACAGTGAGCAGCAGCCCCCCAGATATGAGGTTGGCCTGTATGAGCACGACTGGCTTCGGACCCGGTATGGCGCCAGAATAGCTCGGGATGGGCGCTATCACCCGCTCGTCCAGCAGTCGAATAGGAAATTGCGCCTGGCGCAAAGCCTCCATTGTCAGGTCCGAGGGCTCCTGCCTCAGGTCCTTCACAATCAGCGTAGGAGTCTGCCCTAAAGGTTTGATTTTCATTCTCCCCGTGTGTGTTTTGTTCGGAGCTTCATAGACAACCTGCCCCGCCACCCAGGGGAGACTCCTGGTTAAGATTTCCAGACCATTCTTCAACGACAGGATCGCATCTCCAGCTGAGATCGGAGAACTATCTGGCATGGCATAGCAAAGACAAAGTTGGATGTGCATGTCCAGGCAGGACGCGTTCCCCGTGATATCGAGATCCTCGTCGAGAAATTTCTCGTTTCGCTTGGGACTCATGTTGATGGGCTTGAAGGATGGAATTTTCTCAGTAGGGAGGTATGTCGTAGCCTTCGTATGACCACCGCTCTCTAGTACAGGACAAGTCAACTGGATGAGGAGTGATGGGGTTGCAAGGAGGGATTACGAAGAAGCGAGGAATAAACTGACAATCATTAAGATTATATGATGTCAGCCCTTACTCATGCTGGCTTTACGATCGGCCTGTGGTATTCCGCATTCCACAGTAGGCGTGATAGACGACGACTCGGCTGGACCTATCATCCTACAGCTGGCCAAGAAGGGATGCCCGGAAAACGGAGCAGCAACAAGGCCCTTGTCGGTGAGACATATTCCTCTTGGCGAGGCCGAAAGAAAGGAGCCATATGCACCTGTGGCATCGACCGGTTCGAGAAGGTGATATGCATGCACTGTGTTGTGTCACATACCCGAAAGGCAAGGAGGTGACTCTGCTGTTATTCTCGCAGATGAAAAGAGCTACCCACAACCTGATAATGCAGTTTCTTAGATATCTGAGCAAGGGTGATGGTGCTGAGCCCCTCAGGTTTGACCAGGCAGTTGCTCGCCTACTTCAGCGGATGACTTCGGAACAACGGCCATAATAGTTTCCCAGAAAGCCTAGATTATTATGGGACTGTGATATGCTTGGCTGGTGCTTTTGAATGGGGCAAGTTATGGTCCAGGTCTATGAAGAAGGGAACGGTTTTACCGAAGCAATGGATTTCTTGACCTGAAATCAGAACATACTAATGGAGAACATTTCCTTTGCAAGCGATTCAGATTCAAGACTCCGCACTCTTCTGTACTTTCATAGGCTGTTATATAGTGGCAGGTTTGCCTTGATTTAGTATGAAGTCCCCCATTGAGTTCAGTCTGAATTAAGTTGATAAGCCTGCCTCCGTATACTACCAAGCTACCACAAGTGAACAGATAGGTCGAGAAGCGGGTGTGGCGCAGGATAGAAGCTTCCCCTATAGGTACATTCAAACACCAGCCTCCTTCTTTTCTCATCTTCTTTCATCTCTCATTCAGAAGCAAAAATGAAATCGGCAAAGACATAGCGCATTGGGAATGGAAGGAAGTTACCAATACGCAGTCCTTTGATCATGGCACGCCTGTTACAGAAGTGGTGACTCAACCCCTGTTAAGAGCTGTATCACAAGCCATCAAATCGCGGATGATCTCTTTGAAGAGGCGGGATCATAGTATGGCCTTTCACCTGCTACAGAAATATGAAACACGAGTCTTTCCTCCTCGAAATCGTCACTAGAACTGGTTAGCAATGCTTGTTTTCCTCGATACCTGCTGGAAGGGGAAGAGCTTACTATGTAGGTGCGTGAAACACTGCACGACTAAACATAGAAGGTTCATGATCAGCTCTGTAGGAAGAATCAAGGTCATTAATGATCGGGCTTCATACTTATCCCACAGTGCAATGCCATTAAGACCTTTCCACCGGCGGCGGATTTGAAGGTCAGAGCTGTTGCAAATCATGTGATGAACTACCATGACAGAATTATCAGCAGTCTGTACAATAGATTATGGAAGAAAGGGGAAAACCTACAGTACTGCTTTATTACGTCGCTCTCATGCTTCGCGAGGTTATCGAACCCTCCATTAAGAATCCCGTAGGCCATGCCATAAAGCCCTTTCCAGCCCGTGACAGGGTTTGTTCGGACAACAGGGCTGACAGGAATGGTCAGTATATCATATCTGGGAAAGAGGGAGGATGCTCTACTGTGACGCCGAGAAATCGAATCCAGTATTCTTCGGGTGGCCTCTGACGGTGTCGGGTTGAAGTTTGAGTAGTCCTGCTTTCTCCATTTCTTTGAGATCCTTGGCGCAGTGGGTTGCTGGATTGGTGATTGAAATTAATGAGAGTCTTAGAATAATACAATATTCCTCTTACCTGTGAGCGATTCTGCAAACTTTTGCCATGGCTCAGAAAGACGCTCATAAAGGCCGTAAGAAGAGATAAAAAGCGTGTCTCCTCCGGTTGGCGGGTTCTTGATAAGCTTTAAGCTTGTGTAGGTCGGGGGATGTTTTTCGAACGTTTCACTGTTGGGTTGTACTCTTAGCGTGCATACCATAATAAGGAGGGAATGAGTACTCAGTATGCCAGAAAAGGCTTGCCAGTGGCCGGTCGGCAGGCTTGCCAGAGTTCGTCATGAACTATTTCAATGAGTCTATCTGTGGGATGCAAAAAAAGTCTCTGCATGATGCTCACCGTCGATGAGAAGAGTAAAACTTCAGGATCTTCAGACTCCGCCAAACCAGGATAATCTGGAGTTGGACCTGGAGTTTTGTAAACACCAGATTCCTTTGGTGCTCCGGTCAATTTATTGAACTTCAACAGGAGGCGTTTCGTGTCTGCCGTAGAGATATCCTGCTCGTCGAAAAATAGAACTCCGCGTTCAGAGACTGGACAACGCCAAAAGGGTCAGTCAGGCCTGCCTTTTTTTCTTTATTTCGTGGGGACTTGCTGGTAATTGCGAGGTCTTTGACAATCTCATCATCGTCGATGATGGAGGACAGCTGTAAGCCGTGATATTCTCTTCCCAGTGCTGGGCTGCATTCGGAATACTTGAACCTGTCAAGTGCACCACACGTCTTTAGTGGTTTGGGGTATGGCTTTGCATCCAGCGCATCATCGCAAGATGATTGAGCAGGAACGGTCATTGTTAATGGATGATGGTGTCCGTGCCAGAAATGAGAATGACTTTGGATTTGAAGATGGGCATTGGCAAGCTCACAGATGTCTTCATTCTTATAGTAATATCATTTGGATAATACAAGGTGGGAATAGCACCACGGGGAATGAGGTTGTACTGTCTGAAACGTAAGGGAGATGTATTGGATTAAATCAAGGTATGTCGGCCCGTCATGATGCGCTTTCCCCCCTTACATTCATGAGATTTGTCTAGTTTGGATTACTCCATGTTAGGGCATCCTATCAAAGCAAAGTATGCCATCAACATGGGTGTGACATAAAAATTGGGATCTCATTCAGACAGAGGTGCAGGAATCAGGGTCGCCCAGCAGCTCGTTGTACACCGATATTTCCAACCCCTTACTCCATTCTAGAGCTGTAATATTGGCTGTCCTTAGCATCTGGCCAGCACATACTTTGAACAACGATATTAACTAAACCATGCGTACTTTTCGTGTTGTTCGTGCGGATCTACTCGGGTCCGTCGTAGGCGCCGTGAATTATGTAGACATTGGATGTGGTAAGGAGTGCGAGGATTGCGAAATGTCTGTGGTAGCCCCAGATTCCATTTTAAGGCGTTTGCCTGAGCAGGCTGACGAGGATAAGCCTCGGAAACCTGCCGATAATGCAGTATCATTGGATCGTCTTCTCACCCCGTGGTCTGCTCCAAAGGAACGCCAGGCAACAACGCAGTACTAAAGTGCCTATCAGTGGGACGGCTACTTCTTAGCCTAACACAGCAAAGTCAAAAGGCATTGCGGAACCATTGTGCCGAAGCAGGAAGATGTTCGGTGTATGCTTTTTGCCTCCTTCACATATAGTAGAGGTGATGGGCGCTTTGAAACGATATTGTAGACACTCCTAGTCCGGTGAAGCTGCCTGGGACATCATACAGTCAGGACGTTTTCAGAAGTATGGATTGGCCATAACATGACAACCCAGTTGCTCGCTCTACAATTTTGATTGAAATCACTCATGGTAAATGCTCGAAATACTTCTAACGAGTATCTGTATACTCGGAAGACTACATTAGGCTCTCTCGTACGTCTTCTAGTGCACCGATTTGTCCGAATTGAAAGGCAAATTAAATGTGAATACGTTTTCTTTCAGAACAAACGAAGCCCAGCCATTGTTTAACATGGTACGACGATTATGAAGTTTCCTCCATGCTGGGAAGAGAACAGTATATTGGCTTCAACTAACCGCCATCAACATCACGCAGAGAAAAGAGTGGAAAAGACACCGAATTCAAACATATAACTCCCAGATACCGTTGCCAATGCCCGAGCAGGGTCAACTTTGCTGTCCACCTTCACAGTAATTTTCCCTGTGATTGGTTGGCCCTTAACTGGAGGGCATCTTCCAGCAGCTTCAGATCTGAAATGTGGAGGCCAGACACGTTCGGAGGACCGGGCTTTGCAGACCTCCAGCCAATCATTTGTTGGGCAAGAGGGGTCATGGTTTCAACAATCTCACGAGGCATTGTCATAAAGGTCTCCAAGGGAGTAAGCTGACAGCTACTAAAGAAGACCAAAACAGCACGTCGCGGCTCAGCCAGATCAACAGGGTGCGCACCCCCGCCATGCACCATCCCCTGGGCCAAAACAAGCACATCCCCGGCCTTCATCACAGTTGACACTGTCTGGTCATCCCTGGGATTCCCGATCTCTGGCCATTTGTGACTTCCCAGGATGACACGGGTCCCGCCATTATCTTGTGTAAAGTCTGTCAGAGCAAGGATAAAACTGATACCGAGAGGTGGTGCGCCCAGCTTCATGTTGCGAAGCAGAGGGTGAGTTGACTCGTCACGGTGCAGCTGTTGGGGATCGTGGCCTGCGTGAAGCTCTCGCAGGAATGACGCTGTCAACCAGTAATCCCCTGTCTCTGCAAAGACACTCTTGGCAAGGCCGTGGAGAACAGGGCTATTCAGGATATCATTTCGGAAGGTAGCGCTTTTTCCAGGCAAGTTGAATACATATTTTGACTGTTTTGGGAACTGGAACTCATAGTTTGTCTTAGCTGCCAGTTCGGCAGCTGTTGCAGCCGGATCAAGGTCCTGGTTGAAGCTTCGAATGATGTCTTCTGAGAAGACGCCTTCGAGAATCGCCGCCCCGTCATCTTCGAGGAGTTGGCGGATGGCTTTTGGGTCTGCATCGGCTGGGACCCGTTGGATTTGAGGTTTTGAGGAACTATCAGGAACAGCCATGGCGAGAGGACCAGATAATTGAAGCAATAACAGACGTCAAGGAAATAAACTGGATGGCAACATTCGGACAGAAAGGTGGGAAGGAAAGACGGTTTATAATTGTTAGCATACACCGCCCTCTCTCGCGGCCAGTACAGCATCCTGACCGACAGCTCCTTCTCAGTCGCTCACCCAGTATCGCCGGCATAAGAGAAATTGTCGGTGAGGAATAGCTCTTGCTCCGAGAACTCAGCCGGCATTCCTCGGCCTAGCCCTTGCGTAATAATTGAGGGATAATATGCATATGTGATTCTCACGAGTCATGACTGAGGTCGCACAGAGTATGCTGAGCATCACAAACCCTTGGCAAACATCACTTGCAGTTCTGGAATGTGTGCATATGCAAAGCGCGAGGCGCTCATGTAAGGGCGATGTCTCAGTGCGCTTTTATGGAACAGGAAACGCGAAACAGTACACAAGCTGCCAGCTAGCCTGGAGATGTGGTACATGCAGTAATCCTCATTCTTGCTGTCTGTTGCTTCCCGTTTTCAGCATTGTAAGGGCTCATTGGCTCAGGCAGATACAGTGCGGCGGTTAAGGTCTGTTAACATAAATAGTCCTCTGAAGGCGTTAAGAGTCAATGTGAATCCTTCTCGTTTACGAAACCCCCTAGGTCTTTCAATCGCCGAGTCCACAATGACACTTACCGAATCTAAGCCGTTGTTTCCCCAGGTCCAACGAACAGCTGGAGCTCTGGACAAGTACAAATACATTGAATCGAGCCCTGCACTTGGAAGAGAGTATTCCGGGATCCAGCTATCCTCCATCATTGATAATGATGCGATTGTCCGTGACCTCGCAATCACAGGTACGCCTACCTTTGTCATACCGTAGTCCTGAAAAACAAGTGATAACACTGCGACCAGCATCTGAGCGTGGAGTCCTGTTCTTCAATGACCAGGATATCACCCCATCAGAGCTCAAACAATTGATTCTAAGAATTGGCGAGGTGATGGGCCATCCCAAGGAGGCTGGTCTACATCGCAGTGCCTTGTCAGGGCAAAAGGACAAACACCTTGGCATTCCGGAGCAGGATGATCCGAACATCCTCATCATCTCCTCCGAGGTGAGTGGCCGTAGTCATTGTCTGTCTCATCACTTTGTTGATACTAACTACGCGTTTGTACCTTTGCGGACTTGTAGTCCCAGAAGAAAACGTTGAAAGATTCGTTGCCAGCAGTTACACGCAAGTTCGCGAGCTGGGGGTGGCATAGCGAGTATGTCAAGTCTACATCTCACCATCATTTCTTACCCTAACTGACCATACGCACAATAGTGAGTCTCACGAGAAGTATCCACCTGCATACACCGGGTTCAAGATAGCTAAAAGTCCTCCTACTGGTGGGGATACCCTTTTTGTCTCTGCGTATGGACTGTATGATCGCCTTTCCGAGCCATTCCAGAAGTTCGCCGAGTCTTTAACAGGTGAGTATTCTGCTTTTGGCACAAAACACAGAGTTCTAACGAGCCATAAGCCACCCACCATGCTGCAGAGTATCTCCGCGCCCGAGAGAACGGAGTGCCATTTGAAGCAGACGTCCCAAGAGGACACCCGGAGAATGTTGGGTTCGAGTTTAAGCAGTCTCAGTGCGTTAGGCAATCTATTCTCCCTTCTTGGTTTTATCAACAGAGCCACCTGACTCACTTCTGCTTCCAGCCCAGTCGTTCGGACAAACCCTGTTACTGGGTGGAAGAGCCTCTTTGGCGCGGGATGGGGGTTGGTCGACGGCTGGTTCGATAACATGTCGGAGCATGAAAGCAACCTGCTGAAAGACTTCTGTAAGTCAGTCTCAATACCCCTGGTCACACATTTACTGACCACCTGTTAATTCAGTTCTCTTCCTGATCACCAATTGTTACGACCTCCAAATCCGCAGGAAATGGGATGACAATGGGGTTGCAATTTGGGACAAGTATGTTGCCTGACTTGCCTTGTCCGTATCTTACAGTGTTAATGTTCGACCAGCCGTGCTATTCACCACAACCCAACATAGTAAGTTACGATTCGACTTCCACTTGCTCCTTCACTAACCACACTTAGTGATGTTGTTGAGGGAGAAAGACTCACCTTCCGTGTCACTGGCATTGGCGAGAAGCCTTATCTGGATCCCAACTCCACCACAAAGACCGAGTTTCTGAGCAAGCAGTAGCCACAAGTAAAGCTCTTCAACGTATATCAATACATCGATTTGGTCGAATTGTTGGCTGAGCGAGACTCCTTCTCGGGGTGTGCGGGGTGGCTTGGACCAAACAAAGGTTTTATATAGGCCGCTTACAGGCTACAGTGAGACTGTGAAGTTTCCAAGACCGATATGCGTCTTTTACATGGAAATATATATTCAAAGTTCCTTTGGTGCATCCCTGCAAGTTTGCTCGCAGAATACTCCTCAGCTTCGCCACAAGATATAGTAGTTAGTAAAGTAGAACGGCAAGCTCTAGTAGAGCTCCTAAGACTTTGTTACTCATTATATACTCCAGATGCGGTACATCATTATCCGTATGTCTTTGTTACCATGGGCCACCTATTCCCTGCAAAATGGCTTTGAATGACTTCTTCTTGGGCATTCGTTTGGTAGGCATCAATCGAAGTCTCTGAAGTATTCAGGTGGAACATATTGATACAATAGCAGCAAAGATGTTCTTTTCAATATTTGAACGTTGCTTCCCATCTTTTTGGTTTAGCTATGTAGTTAGGTATATCTTCAGGACCATACTGTCTGATACCCTCCTGAGAATTGTAAATATTTTCTTAAATCCCCGTTTCAGGTCATTGAGGATAACGCTGCCATTAGCTTTCTTAGTTTTGCTGATAGCAAGGATGACATTCAGAGATCCAGAGCTTGTATCTTGTTTAACATAAATAGCAGGTATGTGATTTGGATCATCTTCAGTTTATGCGAGAAATATAAATATAGTAACTAGTCCTTTCTCTCTCTTGAAAGACAGTAGATAGCTACTTAAAAAGCTCTACACGTACGCGGGCAGCAGGTTTTTTAATGGAGGAGTAGGAACTACCTATATAGGAGTAGAATTAGGCATAGAATGAAGTAAGGAAAGAAGGGTAATATTCTCTGCTTAGATAGGTAATTATATCTTACGAATGTCCTTCGACGCATTGTCTATCAACAGCCATTATAGATTGGGCGGGTCCAAAGTCATCGTCTTATTCTTATCCTCCAGGCGACCATGACCACTATCTTGACCTTAAGAATATTGAAGGATTGAGGTGTTGTCTACATTCTGGTGTCTAGTGCTGATGAGAAAGAGCCCTGGTAGACCTGCTAACAGATTATCAGTCAGATCGTGTCAAACCAGGTCAACAGAGGGACGCCGGACGTTATATCAATCTTTTGCTTTAGTAGCACAATATTGATAGCTAGTTCAGGTAAGCTGTAAGAGCCCTGCCAACTTTGCGATCCACTGCACCATGATATTACTTAAGTCAATGCGGCCCACATCCTTTGCGGCAGCAGAAGCCCACTCTTCTTCACCTACCGAGTTCCAACGCAAATCATTTTGCGTCATTGGAAACTGTAGCTCGCTTGCAGAGAGTTGCCAACTTGTCGCCCTTGGAATATCACCCTCCTCTATACTACCGTCTCGCTCACTCGAGCTTAGAGCCCTGCAAACTCTGTATAAAACTACGTCAAACCGTTTGACTTCTTTAATCCCAACCCAGACATACGAAGCAAGATCAGATATCTGATTGATAACGCGCGAGTATGTTTGGATGATAGAACATGCCCAGCCTTCTGCAACTCATCACCAATGACTAGAGAAGATCAGTCTCAATGGCCGGTAGGGCCGGCTTCAGATCAAGGCCAAGAGAGCTGGTGCCTTTGCATATTATGGAGAAGATTGTATGAATCAGAATAGCCTGGTACAATGGGATCGGCCAGGAGCAGATGGTTGAGGCATTCTCCGCAACAGAAGCATCCCACTTGTCCTGCAGGTTATCCGGTCCTTACATTAGCCAGAAATGGGTGTAGATGTACAGAGACAAACCCTTTGTTCATATATAGCTGAATTGAGGGTTTCATGGAGATCAATTGCCGCGGATCGCGTACTCTGCACACCACTGGCCCACATACCAATGGCAACCATTAACTGCACAAGTAAAGGGGTCTCATTGCTCTGTCTGAATGAACCTTGGTGAATAAATGGCCATTATGGGTCGAATAGTTTGAAGTACAACTTGAGAAAGAGCTGTATTTTGTCAGAATGACTAGGCTTGACGGCCTGCTGTGGACTATGGCCCTTCCCTGAAATCCTCGGTCGGTCGTAAAAGGAACAGTGAACCTGGCGGCGCAGGCATCTGATGCAGGGGGTTCCTCCTTCACAACGAGATTTGAGAGCCCGACAATTCAGGCTTGCCTTATGGGAGGTACTGCCTCACTCCCTTGATGACTCTGGCCGACATGTCGACGAAGCGTGTCACTAGATACAGATTTCGCGGTTAAGAGGTCTTCATGGCAAATAATAAGAACTGTCTGCTTACTTTCGCCCAAATTCCCGACAACAGATGGGACATTGAAATGACTGTCGTGGGACATGTTGTGCTATGTGGCGGTTCAGATGCTCCTTCCGTCGATAGCTTGCGTTGCAGCCTGGGGAGTCACAGCTGAATTCTTTTGCGGACTTCATTCTAGATCCAAAGAGCAACAAAGAGAATGTTTTGAGTGGCCTTTGTCCAGGACACTTAATACCTTGGACTGTCGCAATGCAGGTTGGATGGATGGGCCGGTGGAATCGCCGCAACGGAGATCCCACCGACCGGAGATCCCACTGACCCGGAGATCCCACTCACTCAGTGCCACGGATTATACCATCAACCCTGTTGTTATTAAGCAAGTCGTTAACGTCAATGGGCACATCACAAGTATAAATTCACAGGCAGCACCCGAGTAGTAGACGGAGTCCTAGCACATCGTACCACACGATCAAACAAGACTTTTGTATTTCCCTCATCATGGCTCCTACTATCCTTATTGTCGGTGCAACTGGCAACACAGGCCGAAGTGTTACCGAAACTTTGCCAACGTTGCTAAAGACTTCTAACACTCTGTCGGATCACCGAATCATCGGTCTCACCCGTTCTCTGAATAGTCCAGCAGCACAACAGCTTGCTAGACTGCCTGGTGTTGAGGTGGTCGAGCAGAACTGGGTTGAAATCACCGCTGACTGGCTCCGGGAACACGAGGTAGTCAGAGCTTTTATTGCGTCACATAACGAACCGAATCAATTCGCCGAAGAATCAGCATTCCACCTTGCCGCCCTCAAAGCTGGCGTCAAATATGTGGTGCGAATCTCGACCACTGCTGCGAATGTTCGGCCGGATTGTGATGCGTACTATCCACGCACGCATTGGGCAATCGAGGCTCTCCTGAGCTCGCCAGAATTCAACGGCTTGCAGTGGACTTCACTCCAGCCCAATGTCTTTTCACCACTGTATCTCTCTTCCGCCGCAGAATTCATCAAACAATACCGCAAGACTGGAAAGCAGGAGACTCTGAGGTTGATGGCGTCAAAAGATGCTCCTGTCGGCATCATTGACCCTGATGAAGTTGGAGTCCTTGCAGCCCACCTCTTGGCTCAGGACGATCCTGCTGTTCACAACAAAGCCAAATACGTCCTGAATGGGCCAGAGGACATCACCGGGAGCCAGATTGTCGACATAATTGAGCAGCGGATTGGTACGAAAGTCAAGGATGTGAGCTACAAAGACATGTCGTTCATTGATACGATTTATGAGCACAAGTTCGCGGCAACTCAGCAATCAAAGAACATTATATTGTCTATCAAACACGCTCCGGAGACGGCGTGGGAAGGAAAGTGCACGGCTTCCACAACCAGCAAGGAAGTATTGGAGCTTGCTGCACCAAAGCGTACACCTGCTGAAGTGTTGAGGGCCTTATTGGAGGAGTAGCCGACTGATATATTGGTCTACAGTGTACTTAGAAGTGGAATCGATTTGCTGTTTCCTTTTGCTTTCATATTATTTCGCACGGCCCTACACTCATGATAGACGCAACTAAAAGTACGGCGAACCTGAGTAAGCTAGTGGCATTAACTAATTTGATTATCATAACATCCATTGAGTCTGGTGGTCTGGCCCACATGCATCTCAAGCAGAATTTCCGTAGAATGTTCATGTATTTTTCATACAGGTGAACTTGCTATCGCAGAGTAATAGATGAAGCCCATTGCCGTCTCCCACATAGGAGACAAGGGGATATTAAGCTAATTACTCACAAGGAAGCCAAATTATAATCCATTCATTGCATCTTACTGAACTCCAGAGTCCCAAGATTCTTTTGGAGGTCGCTGTAGTACTAAAACAAGGCGCTCATAATGATGTTGAGTTTAATACTACTCATCATAGTAAATAGCCGTCTAATCTGATTGTACTGAAGTTGACTCCCAATGCAATAAAATGATTGTGCATAGATAAGTGAAACATACTTTATAAGAGTACTGTATATATTCATGTCTTATAATATATAATAGGCCATCGACAACCGCCTTCATCTAAAGACAACCAGCTCAATAAGACATTTTCACGAAGACCATGGCAGTGGGGCTGGAAAATATCTGTTGAATTTCTAGTCAGAATTTATGAGAATGACTGCAAATAGTAACTTAACTACTTACGTATACATTACGCTGAGTTTAATTGCTGCAAAAATGATTAGTGATACACTCCACTTAACAGGTTCGGATAATTAACTAATTAATAAAGGCTGGTCTAAAGACGGCCAAAGGCTACTTTCATAATTAAACTACATAAGGTAGTATGAAGTCATACAACCTCAATAAATCACTCACCAAGCGTGTAAATCAGCATAGGCTAGCAGATGGAAAATTCTGTGCTTTTCTTCCTCGAGAGAGCAAAACAATTTCGCGAGAAGAGATTTAAGGAAAATCCAAATTAACATTAATAGAATTATATCTATCTGGACAAGGTCTATTAAACAAAGTAACGTAATCCACGGCCGAGCGGCGAATACGACCGAAGTGCGAATTTTCCCCGCAACCACCAAAATATTCAACTCAACCATTTTCAACGCGTCATTTTCTTTACTTTATATATAAATATGCCTCTATCTAAGGAAGCCCGTATGCAGATGGCTATTACTGCATGGAAACAGCAAAAAGTCAAGTCAAAACTAAAGGCTGCCCAGATATTTGGTGTCCCTGAATCCTCCCTTCGCAAGCGGCTATCTGGAGTCAAACCACGAACAGAAACACGTGCAAATAGCCACAAATTAACAGCTACTGAAGAAGAGTCTCTTGTTAAGCGACTATTGGATGCAGATAAGCGAGGCTTCTCAATTCGGCCAGAATTCCTGCGTGGAATGGCACAGATTTTGCTCCGTGAACGTACATAAGATTCAACAGCAGTCCTTGGAGTAAACTGGGCTTATTCCTTTACAAAACGTCGCCCTGAACTACATACAAGATACAATCGAAGGATTACATACCAGAGGGCAAAACAGGAGGATCCTAAGGTTATCAGACAGTGGTTTGAGACTGTACGCAAAGCTATTCAAGAACACGGCATACATGAAGATGATATCTGGAACTTTGACGAAACTGGCTTTGCAATGGGACTCTGTACAACATCTAAGGTTATTACTGCAGTAGAACGCAGTGAGAGACCACGTACAGTTATCCAAGGGAACCGCGAATGGGTTACAATCATTGAATGTATCAGTTCTAAAGGGACTTCTATACCACCAGTGGTTATCTTGAAGGGAAAAGAACACCAGGCTGCTTGGTATCAGGAACCTAAGCTTCTTCAAGACTGGTTAATTGCAACTAGTCAGAATGGCTGGATGACAGATGAGATTGGCCTCCACTGGTTAAAAGTTGTGTTTGAGCCTTATTCTAGGCGATATTTAACTGGTGCAAAGCGGTTGCTTATCCTTGACGGCCATTCTAGCCATTTAACACCAGAATTTGATACATTCTGCAAGGAGAATGCAATCATCTGTCTCTGCATGCCACCACATACTTCTCATCTTCTCCAACCCCTAGATGTTGGGGTTTTCGGGCCGCTTAAACGCTCATACGGAAAACTAGTGGAAGGAATGATGGTTGCTAGAAATAACCACATTAATAAGGAAGATTTCCTGCATCTATATCCACCAGCACGAGATAAGGTGTTTAACCAAGCAAATATATGTAATGGCTTTACAGGAGCTGGTCTAAAGCCATTAAATGAAGAGCAGGTCCTCGGAAAGATCACTTTTCAACTTCGTACACCAACACCACCACTTGCTGAAGGCTCTATCTCTTCTGCCTTTCAGACTCCTCAGAATCCTCGCCAGCTTGATCACAAGGTCCGCACTATACAGAGAAGCATCCAAAAACGGAAGCTATCTAGCAGTCTAATGGCTCATATTCAGCATCTGGAAAAGGCCGCACAGATGGCAATGAATATGAATCTTCTTCTCCAAGAAGAAATCAAGGTCCTACGTGCTGAAAATGAGCGGAAGGTAAAGAAAAGGGTAAGAAGGCGTGCTATAGTAGGGAATGATGTCCTTTTATCTGTACAAGAAGGCCAAAATCGCGTTCAGCAGCTTGATACAGAGGGTAATAGCCAGATTGATGAGCCTACACCTATGTCTCGTCAGCGCGCTCCGCCAACCTGTAGTGGATGTTGGACTATTGGACATACTAGAAGAAGTTGCCCTAATAAATAGCTATCTATTCAACTAGTAGATAGTCTAATTAATGACACTGGTGGTTGAAAAACTTCAAAGATAGGATGATTTGCGGCAAAAATTCGCACTTCGGTCGTATTCGCCGCTCGGCCGTGGATTACGTTAATTGCAACAAAGACAGGTAAAAGAAAGCAAGTCTATTCTCCTCCATTCTCCTCCAGTCCCATTCAAAGTAACGGATAGTTCGTACTGCTGGCAAACTTATAAAAGTGATTTGAGAATAAACTTGCCGAAAACGATGGAAAAATAAAGAGCAGAAGATTGGAAAGAGATGCCGAAGGTAGTAGAAGTGAGAAGTCTACCAAAACGCTCCCTTTTCTGAGAGTGGCCCCTCTAGGACTCGGCCTTCTTGGTGGCTTTGGTCCTGAGTTTCATCATGAGGAACACTAGCCCGTAGATACCAACCACGAAGACAACAACAATGCCCGCGTTCCTCCATCCATAAGATTCTTCTGCTAGGTTGAGTGTGCGGAGGTAATCGCTACCTTGGGTGTATTGGCACACACGACAGTCAGTGGTGTCGCCCGGGTTGAGAAGATTCGCGCCCGCCCCCATGCCGCGGAGGTAGATGTCAAGGTATTCGCCACAAGTCTGATTTGGAGCCGGGGCAAATACAGCTAGTTCCTCGGGCTTACACTGAACCGGCTTGTCCCAGGTCGTGAAGACCAGCAGGGAGCTCATAAGGTAGTTGAAGGGGTCGATATAGTACATCCTGTAGATGACGGAAGTTAGAAAGCGCTCAGAACTAGACTAGTCAAATACAATGCAAATTCAGCTTACCAATATCTCCAGAACGGCACAATTTGGCTGTATGGAATCATAACGCCACAGAATGAGACAAGAGTTGTGATGACCAGAGGATTGACGAGTGATGCGAAGACGGCGTTAGGGGTATACGCAGCAATCATTTGTCCAATACCAGTGTAAAGACACTCGTACATTACCTGGGAAAACTGTAAGCTGTTGTATCCATAAAAAGGAGAGTGGGTGGAGGCTTACCACAACAAAGAAGACACTGCCAGCGTGGTCTGGTGAGGTTGGAAGGCCGCAAGTGAAGTACCAGCAGACATAATACAGCAATGCGCAAACAAGCAAGTAGGGAAATTCCGAGACGATGAGGCCGGTAACGAAGGGAGCCCAGTGGTACATCTTGCTCTTCTTCTCCCGGGCCTCATAGATATCACGACGGTCTATGAAGAGAGGCTGGAGCTGGGAAATGACACCAGGCGCAACAAAAATAAAGTTGAAGACGGTAAAGAGGTTCTGCTGCAGATCTGTAAGGGCATCTCCGATCATCCAGAAGGTAAAGCCGTTCAATAGCGCCAGGCTGATATGCATCGCGAATTTATTGTCAAGGTATTCAATGTTCCGGAAGAGCGAGATGTTCATGCGGTGCGTCACAAGCTTCGTTTGCGTCCACAGCGAAGCTGCAAATTCATGTCCGTCATCGTTGACGGCTGGGGGCTGAGCGACAGCTTCTGCAATCATGGTATCTAGTTCCTTGGACAGTTTGTCATGTTCCGGAGACTGCAGCCAGATCTGGTTCCAATCTTGACCATCACCTCCTATCCCTGTCACCACATCAATAATATGCTCCGCTGGATTTGCTTCAGGTGGGCAAGGGGCTCCATAGCGGCCGAAGTATTCCTTAACGGTGTTCGCATTCTGGCCGATATCTCCAAAATACACGGTTTTTCCGCCCGCAGCCAGCAATAGTAGTTTATCGAATTGCGCAAACAGTTGAGCAGATGGCTGATGGATAGTGACCAGGACGGCTTGTCCGGCTTCTGTAAGCTTGCGAAGGAAACGAACAGTATTGTAGGCGGCCTGGCCGTCGAGCCCTGAGGTCGGTTCATCCAGAAAAATGCTGTCCCCACAACGTCAGTAAGTTGCCTGAAGCCACAGTAATTTGCCGGAGGTCACAACTTACAGGATACTCGGCTTTGCGACTAGCTCGACGGCAATAGTAAGACGCTTACGCTGTTCCACTGAGAGACCGCTCCCTGGGCGACCAACCAGAGTGTGTTCGAGGTCATGTAATTCCAAAAGATCGATGATGGTGTCCACATATCGCAACTTTTCTTCGGTGGGTGTATCACGAGATTGCCGCAAGAGGGCCGAGAATTCCAGAGCCTCGCGAACGGTCGCCAAAGGCTCGTGGACATCTAACTGTTCGACATAGCCGGCCGAGCGTTGGAAGGAAATGGGGAGAGGGCGTCCATCGACTAAGACAGATCCATGGATAGTACCAGACGTCTTTCGTTGTGCGAGGACGTCAAGAAGAGTCGTCTTTCCAGCGCCAGAGGAACCCATTAACGCCCCAAGCATGCCTGGTTTGACGTAACCCTGTACGTTATCAAGAAGAACGCGGTCACCCTCAGAGGTTTTGACCGTATACGTCAAGTTTTTCCAGGTGAATATGCTCCGGTTGCGGAGGAGGCTATTTCCAGGGTTGCCGCTTGACGTATCAGATCCGTGGTTGACTGCGGACTTCTCTGTAGCTTGCGCTTCCTCGTCCCCCGACTGCAGAAGATGCTTGGACCTGTGCTGTTGCTCCCGAGGAATCAGGAGTTGGCGGCCACCTTCTCCCAGCAGCTTCCACCTGGAGGTGAAAAATATAGTGAGCGCAACGAAGAGCAACCACCAGGCGCAGTTTATGCCGAAGTTGCGCCAGACATGGCCATGGCTAAAGGACATGGCTGCGAGATATGCATCGCCTGTAAAACTGGTCGTACCAGGTGCTGCGCCAATAACACCAGCACATGATTGCCCACCCTCGCCGGCAATGTAGCCAGGGCCATTTGGAATAAGGTTAGGACCGTAACAGGGTATTTCTTGTCCATGAAATTCGTTTCCAAGCAGAGCTTCGAACCCATAGGCCATGGGGTTGATCCAAAAGATCCAACTCAACCACGGATGCATCTGGGGCTTGATAATCATGTAGCCCATGTAGACAAATAAGGCCACGATTGAAAGACCCGAGACTTTGGTCGCCGCGTCGAAAGTAGGGAATGCGGCGCCGACGAAGCGGAAGAAACTCGTCATCGCCAAGGCGGTCATGAAGTTAGTGGCCAAGTAAGTGAAAAAGGCCCCAGCCGTGGCCTTCAGGCCGACCATGAAGTAGAGGACAAGGCCGAAGTGCGTTACTTGGAATAATAGTATGGGCAAGTCTGCAGCGATTTGGGCAATGCAGATAGCCGCTGGGTGGTACAGTGCGAAGGAGCGGTGCTTAGCTAGAATGGGCCTGCCCGTGAAAGAGTCGGTCACTTCGGATAGGGCGATGAGTGCGTTGTACAGTATGGAGAAGAAGAGGGCACCGCCCTTGAGAAAAAGACCGACCGAATTATCGGGAGCAGAATAGAAGAGAGAACCGCCGAGGAGAGCCTGGATGACTGTGGCGCCTTGCTTCATGAAGATTGTCGACTTGTCACCCCACATAAGTTGGTACTGTCTGACAACGGCGGCCTTCACTTGGGTAATCAAACCAGTGGTGACGGGTGACGTCTCAGACACACCCCTGTGCTTCTCACGAGAGACCATTTCCTTGAAGACAGACGTGTTCTCCGCGGCTTCCTCGCTTACTGGGTAGCTTCGACACTCTTCCAGCATCTTGGGCTGGATGCTCGAACGTTTGTATGCGGCCAGGATCTCACCAGCGGTACGTGGGAACTTATCTTCGTATCCCGGAGCAATAAGACGCTCGGTAGGAACTGTCACGCCTGTCAGGAAATCTGCTCTATTGGAACCGGAGTCCCTCATAAAGCCGAGGCCTTCCATGAACGGGACAGCATCTTGCTGAGGCCCATAGAAGATTTGCTTGCCCTCGTCGAGGACAAGCACCTTGTCGAAATGCTCGTAGATGCCGTTGCCCGCCTGATAGAGTGTAACAATCGTAGTGAGCCCGAGCACGTCGGTCATCACCCTGATTGCCTTGATCCACTCGAGTGCTGTGCTGGCGTCGAGACCTCTCGTCGAGTTGTCCCAGCAAAAGACGCTGGCGCGGGTGGTCAGGCATTCAAGAATGGACACACGTTTCCTCTCCCCTCCCGAGACGCCCCTGATAAAAGCGTCTCCCACCTTCGTCTTCGCGGTATGGGATATTCCCACTGATCGCAGGAGAAATTCTTTGTAGGACTGGACATATTCCTCATGGGACTCGATCCCAGGGGGCAGGTGATAAGGAACCTTCATGCGAGCGGCGAAGTCAATGGTGTCCTCGACAGACAGAGTTGGAAAAAAGATTTCCTCTTCCGTGTTCATGATGATCTGGCCACGATATTGTTTGGCCTCCTCGGCAGACATGTTTCCATAGTGGATGTCTCCAGTGACTTCCTCGTAGCCAAGCCGATTGTTAGCGAGGACGTTCAGCAGCGTCGTGCAGCCGGCGCCAGGACGTCCAAGCACAAGCAGCATCTCTCCTGGCTTAACACATCCATATGAATCTTCAATGATGGTCTTCTGCTGGGCACCTTTGCTACCCCTATGGAAGGGGAAAAACTGAGAGAGTACATTTTCGTTGAACGTGGCGTTACTGCCGACGCCTTTGACAGTAAGATTCTCCCAGGTCACGCCGAGCTTCCTGGGCTTCTCACCACCTGCTTCATCTCGCTCCCTCATTTTGTGCACTTCTGGTGCCATGTGCCATGTCGTCCTGGTACGGAAGGTGGGTACATTTTCCGTCTTGTCCTCCGCTGCGTGCAGTGCTTCGTCAGCGGTGGTGGACTCTGTGTCCACGGATGTCGAACTGGCGTTCATTGTGAACCTGGGAAGAGGTGGTCGAAAACCGGGACGTTATGAAATGCGTAAGAGAGTAAAATCCAGTGTAAAGCTCAGAGAGGCATACACCAGTATATAGAAGCAGCCCAAACGAGCGCATCCATGGCGTTGGATACGCTCCATTGCTTGTTTGAAACCCTGCATTCATGGTTGCGTGCAAGATCTCGTTCCGTGCTCTTCTAAGCAGCTAGGAAACCCTCCTTAGTCGAAAAATCCGAATTATGGTTTACTCAACATTAAACCCTCCGGTATGGCGTTTGATTGGCGATGGGGCTAATTAAGATTATCGCCACTCCGTAGCGTTGAAACCGAGTTTCTGATATGGCGCCCCTTGCATTAGTTAAGCCCCTCCCAGGAGCTAGTTGGCCAATTGATAAAGCTAATCCAAAGGCCCACGAGTCGGTTCGCAGAATCTTGAGCCCGAACGCCGACTCATACCGTGACCGGAATGATTACTGATCGTGTGCCGTAGATTACCCCATACCCACAACATTAAGTACTGGCCCGGCCTGGACCACCGCCGTTCGGTCATTTCTTAACATCCGAAACCCTCTGACAAGAAAAAAGGATATTTATCAGCCTTCTCTGAAAAACAAAAACCCTCCGCCGGACATTTTAATCAAGGCCCGCCAGAAATTATCGTCACACTGGCTTGAGCCTCGCCCTTGCCCTTCCCATCTCGACGCCCTTGGCATCATTGATCTTCGTATTAAACTTTATGAGCCTGTTGGCCAGACCATCATGGGGGCCACGTCCATCCATCCATCCCAGAGGCGCTTCTCTTGCGAGCTCTGCAGGAAACATAAGTCGCGATGTACGCGCTTACAAGAAAATGCCGCTAAATGTGCACGGTGTACGATGCTTGGTGCAGAGTGTACTATCGGACAACAGAGGAAAGTTGGGAGGCCGAAGAGAGCAGCGGTTTCTGCCCATGATCCGCCCAAAACGCCAGGACAAAAGTCAAGACCAAGCTTGAAAGCGTCTCCAAGTAAAATATTGGAGCGGCAGAGCCAGCTTAACCCTAATGGAACATTCCAGGGGACCCCTTCGCTCCTAGAGGTCCATGAACGGCCCGGAGTCAGCCGATTAGTGTCTCCAGCAGCCATGCCAATACCAGCACCATCTCGGGTGACAGCGGCAGATGATGCATTCTTTCTGGCCCCAACATGGCCGACCAATGGAATGCCTTCGTTTTATCATGACTCGCTGACAGGGAATGTTGGCCATACCTTTGATCGCGACTTTCTCTTGCCCAACCTCGACTCGACCTTCGACTTCACAGACATAGGTGCTCATTTGGTCAATCCGGCAGCTATTAGCATTAACAGCGCTCCAGATACTCTGACAGGACTGGGACGAGGCAATGCAGCGGGCGATATTGAAAGCTCAGACGCCATAGCCAAACTTTCCAAGATGAACCTCGACTTACACATCCGCATCACAGCCACTGAAAGGAACAAGGCGATTCTAGACTTGAATAGCATCCTCTACCAAGAAAGCCCCTTGTTTATTCACAATTCCACCTTGGCCGAGTTTATGTTGAACACATCGGAAGAGTTCTTGCAGATACTGAAGCGGCTCCGCAGCTCACAAAATCCGTTCACACTGCCGTCGCAATCCCCCCATGATAACCGCCATAATCCGACCGCCGCCTTTTCTTTGACCTACCCCTTCGCCGCCGCGCAACCCTTGCTAGGGCCTCTCTCCCTGACCATCACAAGTATCTTTAGCCAGCTCATTTCTCTCTACGAGCTGTTTCTTGAGCACCTCACTGCCCGACTCGCGCGACTCGCCATTGACCCTATCGCCACTATCCCAGGCATCACCTTTGGAGGGTTGCCCATAGAAAACCCATGCCTGCAGGGTCTACTCTTCTGTAACGTCACTGTCCACCGATTGGAGGGGATGGAACGTGCTCTAGGTATCAGTGAGACGCCTGAGGGGGGTACAGTAGGTTTGCTATCAGCCAGACAGATCGATGTGCTTTGGAGTGAGCTAGACGGGAGGATTGGTATCACGCCTTGTAACGGAGCCACGCGACTCGCTCGTGTGAAGAGACTACTTGGAAAAGTGGCCATTATATTCAAGACGCTCTCTGTGAGTAAACAGATGGCAATGTCTGTTGGCAGCATTAAATCGCCCGCTGGCCGTGGCGAGAACAACACAATCGTTGATTTCCGCATCTAAGGCCTAATTGTACCGGTGATTTGAGACATTGGCGGGCACTCATCCACTGCTCAATTGCATGGTTGGTGACGGCATACTCTGCAGTTTATGCTATTTATTTAATCTTAACCCACACAGCAAAATTTAATCTGGCCTTAGTATTCCCATCTTACTATCGGGCACTACGGAACTTGGAGCAAGAGGGGTTAATTGATCCCAATGCGATCCAGCCAGTGTTCACTCCGGTCGACCCTACGGATGCAGGGTGACGACTTTAGCCTGGACGAACTCCTCCAACCCCCAGCGAGCGCCAAACCGACCCCAACCGCTATCGCCATACCCTCCGTGAGGCAGAGTTGGCTCGTCATGCACGGTCATGGAATTAATGTGGACCGCACCCGCCTTGATAGAGTCAGCCAGCTCGAGGGCGCGGTAATGATTCCGAGAAATTATTGAGCTCGACAACCCGTACTTAGCCGCCTCGATAATGGCGATAATCTGTTCTTCCGTCTCGACTGCCACGATGCCGACCACCGGACCAAAGGACTCGATCTCGTACAGCTTCATCTCAGGCGTCAACCCCGTCACCACGGTGGGAGGGAAGCTCCGCGGCGAGGCGTCGTTGGCCCTGGGAGGTGTATGAATTTGAGCGCCCTTATCGCGCGCGTCGGTTACGAGCATCTCCACTTTGTCTTTGGCTGCCGGGGAGATGAGTACCGAGGTGGTCTCAATATCATGCAGGATGGCCAGAATCTTGGCTTCGAGAGCCGGAGCCACGGCGGTCGTGACCAGGACCTTGTCGGTCGACATGCAGATTTGACCGTTCTGCACCAATGTTAGCTCTGCGTCCCCACAGAGGGCCAAGTCTTATCGTGGGGCTTACATTGAGAAAGGCGCCTTTGGTGATCTCTCGGGCCGCAAGATCCAAGTCGGCGTCATCGAGCACCACAGTGAAGTTCTTGCCACCCAGTTCTAACAACACGGGCTTGAGGGCTAGGGCGGCCTGCGAGGCGATGATACGCCCGACCTGCGTCGATCCGGTGAAGTTGCATTTCTTGATGGCGGGGTGGTTGATGAGCACATCGAAAATAGCCGGCGCGTCCTCCGGTCGATGCAGAAGGAAGTTCAGCACGCCAGGGGGAAACCCAGCTTCCCGAAACAGCGAAGCGATGAGGTAGTGGGTTTGGGGACTCAATTCGGATCCCTACAATGGTTAGTCAGAGACGATCTCGCGGTCTGCATCGTTCGGGGGGCAGCGGCTTGCCTTCAGGATCGCGACATTCCCTGCGGCGATAGGAGCCACCACGGCACGGAGGCCCAGGATTATGGGAGCGTTCCAGGGAGCGATTCCGAGGACTACTCCGAGCGGTTCTGTAAGGACCAAACCATGACCGTGTTGGATAAAGGGCAGTGAGCCCGTGGCTGTACTGGTGGTGAGGGCGCCATACTCCTCGATCAGGCCGATAGCGTCGTTGGTGATGATTTCTGCCCACACGGGGCCGCAATGGATCTCTCTATCGCACAGGCGCTTGACTTCCTCGGCTCGACTGCGCAGAACCTGGTCGCATCGATGAGTGAGCGCCCCTGAAATGATGTTCCGGGTTCGGGTTTGCATACCTCGGCTAACTTGAATAGCAAGGTCCGGCGCTCTATCGGGGTGGTTTTGGACCAAGTGGCAAACGCCTGCGCGCTGGACTGCGCGGCTTGCAAGGCCAGTTCCTTGGTCGCGCCTTGGTAGACGACGGGGCCCTGGGCATACGCGTTGACGACGGTGCCTTGAAGAGGCGACAGGACATCTCGTCCATCAATAATGAGGGGAATGCTCGACATGTTCGGGGTCTGTGAGGAGTGCAAGGCTTATCGAGCGATTGATTTACCCTAATTCATTGGGGTGCTACACGGAATTATAGCCACACTGGCGCAGTTCCGATGTGGGGGAAGACCAGCAAGCAGGCTGCAGAACGGCAATGAAGAGGCCATAACTCGGAGATACAGAATTAGTTCCCAGATCGTCAAGTGGAGCCGAGACCCCATGCCGGGGAATCAGCGGATCATACCCCGCGGGCTCTGTGTAGTACCGCATCGATGTCGATATAAACATTTAATTGCATCTCTCTCAAAGACGTGACATGACACATGACTCATCAAGTGAACACCGGCACTATGAAGTTCAAGCCAAAAAGTAGCTGACGATAATTGTAGGTCCCTTTCGAGAGCTATTCTACTGGTCTGATTGAGTCACTACACTTGACCCCTAATAGAGTTGCAAAGCTGCATTTCACATCTTATATACTCCAAGTCTATCTTTATATCTCTTCGGTAAATCTATTCGTTCAGTATGGGATAAAAACCCAGTCTGCTAAATTCCTTACATTGCGGGATTCGGCTGAACAGGATACGTCATAACATGGTACGGTATCGACTCTCTGCTCTTTCAGCAACTCCCTCCCTCTGCGTCCATGCCCGGTCAATCTCGCGCTCAGCTTCGTAGCCATAACACCACATCTGCGTGGCCGGATCACTCCATTGATTTGGACTGTGACTGAAGGGGAGACCCTCCACTTCCCGCGCCATGGCCGCATCGCGCGCCTCCTGCAAGGGCCCATCCGCAAAATGCCACAGCTGGCCATTGAGCAGACTGGCCTCCTGCATCTGGCCCGCCCGTACGACCCGCACTTTCTCGAAAATGGCTAATGCCTTGGACAGCTGCTCCGGGGACTGTATGTGGGATAAGGAGCGCGCCAGAGCCACGCCGTCTTCCACGGCCATCGCCGCGCCTATCACGGACCAGTCAACGGGGGTTCACCCCAGAGGGGACGTACATCTTACCCTGCGACATATACGGCAACATTGCATGAGCCGCATCGCCCAGAATGACCAACTTGCCCCTCGTCCAGCGAGTGAGCAAGGAGCCGCTCATCAAGGGCCACTTGATCGTCTTCTCCACCATCCCAATGATCTTGGTGAGGCTGTGTATACACGTGAGCAAGGGGACATCGTATAGACATGCATGAGAAGACTCACACAGGGTCCCATCCCTGGAACTCGGCCTTCATATCCTGCAGGGCCGTCTGCACGTCCCACGTGGCCGGGTCGGAGGTATCCGGGTGCGAGAGCACCATGTTGAAGGCTTTGCCCGCCCCAATCGTATAGGTCATGACGTGTCTCGAGTCGCCGATCCTGTGGTCTAGCGTGAGCAAAAGAGCATTTTCTAGGCGGAGATGCAAGTGAAGACACCCTACCAAATATTCAGTGCCGGTCGTTCCAGAATCCAGGACACTTGGGGGTCATTTCGCATCCGGTTCACGTCGACGACCGCCCGATACGCAGCGAAGCCGGGCTTTTGGAAAGGCATCTCCTCGCCATCAAGGACCACCTTCCGAGCCACAGACTTGATGCCTGCCATCCTCTCAGCTCACGCGGTCAGAGAAAGGGAACAAGGGGACGTACCGTCCGCTGCAACGACCAGGTCTCCCGTGTGAGTTGTGCCGTCTTCGAGGGTTATGCTACCCAGCACCGGATCGTAATTGTTGACTCTTGCCCCCAACTGGATTTCAATACCCATATCCTGGGCTTTCCGACACAACGCCGAGTGGAAGTCCGCCCTATGGATCACGTAATAAGGCGCGTGGAAATTATCTATGAAGTCCGGAAGCAGCCTGGTCTTTCCAATCACCGTCCCATTCTGCCATCGACGGAAGGAGATAGACTCTGGCGAGGTGACGTAAGGCTTCAGATAGGGCTCTAGCCCGAGCTCAAACAAGATGCGGGTCGAGTTGGACGGGATTTGAATCCCCGCACCCACTTCCCCCAGCACGGCCGTCTGCTCGTAGATGGTGACCTTGTGGCCTGCTTGCGTGAGAGCAATGGCCGTGGCCAGCCCTCCGATACCTGCTCCGACAAGAAGGATGTTCAATCCCACCGGTGCGACAGTGGGCTTGGGGGAACTGGCAGGGACTCCCTCCAGCGTCTTCGCAAACTGGAGGCAGTTACTGGGGTAGGTTGGCATCTGTTCTCAATTGCGGTAGTCAGAATGGATGATCATGCCATGTCGATTGATTGCCATCGCACTGACCATGAGTGGTCGGTGGTTAGGAGCCGCACCTGGCCCTTCTCTAGAAACCATGGTAGAAATCTATATTGACAGGAGACGTTCCTGTATCGTATAACTTGGTGATGTGGCCCGTGCTGGAGTTGAACTCTAGGTAGCCTCTTATAACTATGAGGTACTGGTTTAAGGGGTGGGTTCGGGCTGGAGGCCGAGCCGACCTCTCCCCGCCACATTGCCCCTACCCGTTCTATGCCCGACAGGCACTTCATCATTCGGGTCCCTCACAAGGATAAGTTATGAAGCGAACGCTCAGTGATAAACTCGGAGGAGCCATAATTGAACGTTGTCGGATTCTATGATTCTGCGAGACACTAACTATACCAATACACCGTTCGTCACCCTCGCGATGGCTCCTTCCATGATCGACACGCCTCCTCAGAGCGCGGACAGCGCGGCGCAATTGCTGCAAGATCTTGAGGACAGCAAGACCCTGCCCCTTTGGACCCAGATGACGAGACTCAACCCCCCGGGGCCGAACCCCACCGCCGTCCCCTTTGTGTGGAAGTATGACAGCATCCGCCCCAACCTGCTGCGTGCCGGTCACCTGGTCACCGAAAAGCAGGCGGAACGGAGAGTCCTGATGCTTGTGAACCCGGCTCGAGGTATGCCCTTTTAGGATTGGTTGGCCGGTGGCTCTCTAGACTTGTTAGTGACATTCCCCCCACCAACCGAGTAGATGCCCCGTACACCACCGATACCCTCTACGCTGGCCTGCAACTAGTCATGCCGAATGAGACCGCCCCAGCGCACCGACACACCGCGTTTGCAATGCGCTATATCATCGAGGGCCATGGGGGCTTTACGGCGGTGCATGGCAGACGCATTCACATGCAAAAGGGAGATGTGATCCTGACGCCTACTTGGAACTATCATGACCATGGTAAGGATGGCAGCGGCCCGATGATCTGGCTGGACGGCCTGGATCTGCCCAACTTCCGACACTTCCCGGTCCATTTTGTCGAGCACTTTAGCGAGCCTCGCTACCCGGCCGAGGATGTCGACACGTCTGCCTCTTCCATTGTCTTTCCCTGGGACCAGATGAAGGCTCGGTTGGATGAGACGGAGGGCAATTGGGCTACACAGCGCTATCTGAAAGCCGATGGCCGAGAAGGTAAGCGCTCCCCGACGCCCTGCCGCCCTTCCACATGGTTGGGACTAACGGAAGGGGGAATGATCAGTTAGTCGTGTGCTGGGCGGCTGCGCAGAGAGGCTGAATGCGAGCACGTCGTCCCCGCGCCGGCAAGACACCCTGTCCGCCGTTTATCATGTCATCACCGGCAAGGGTCGCTCGGAAGTCGGAGGCCAAACGCTGGAATGGAAGGCGGGAGACACCTTCTGTGTGCCCTCCTGGCATGCCTACCAGCATTTTGCTGAGGCGGGCGAGACGGTCTATCTCTACCGCTTCGACGATAAGCCGATGATCACGGCGCTGGGCTTCTATCGGTCGGCAGAGGATGATACCGAGAAACTAATCTCCGACTGAAGAAGGAGGGGGGCACTCTGATGCAGTTCGTTACCTTTAGTTGTGTAATGTGCAATTTCTCACCTGGGAATGGTTAACTAATGAACTTACTTTGTCAGAGTAGTCTGGTTGCGGGTGGGATATATCCTATGGGTTGATCCATAGCTATCTAACTCACCCTTGTATCCATGCAGTTTGGACTGCAGCTTATGAAGCAATGGAGATATCCATAAGTAGATACCTAGTCAGGCGACCCGTAGTATTCTAATTGCCATCTTGATTTCTAATATTCTAGGCATACCACTAGGATATCTATATATTTTGTTTAATGGTATGATATTTGATATTATTTTCTTAGTGAACCTGATATTCTATTCTGTATATATATACGCAGATAGGACTATTCTCTACCTATATATAGAGAAATATACCTCTATTTGAGCCCAGATAAGTAAAGATAAGCTCATCAGTTTGACGAGGCCTAAGTTACATGCACTCCATGGGTTATCCCATATCCATGCGGACTGGGTATGCTTAATCCATTAAGTTGCAGGTTGGATTAGGGCTTCCCTAGATTCAATCCAGTGCACATTGGGGTACACCAGATTCGGTTAGCCAGATTAGTTCCGAGCTTACTCAGCGGAGGTACAGGTTCCGGACTTTCCCCGTTTGCCGGCTCACCCGTCTTCCCAAATCCCCCCCATCCCCCGGACCCCGTTCCCCGTCCCAGTTCCATTCCTTCCCCTTGCACGGGCCCGGTAGAGACAGCTACAGCAGACGCTGAGCAGAAGCTGAGCCACAGGCAAGTATCAAGGCCACCCTCATGGAGCCGCCGTCCGATCAACTCTCTCTCCAAGGGCCACCAGGCAAACGACGCCGTGTGGCCCTGGCTTGCGATGTATGTCGCTCGCGAAAGTCCAGGGTAGGTAGGGCATTCGAGGTCCGCCGTGCAGCAAAGAGGCGCCCTCCCACTGATCGCTGTTGTCTGTAGTGTGATGGCACCCGGCCCCAGTGTGGCATGTGCAAAGACTTAGGGTTCGAATGTGTCTATACCCCGCCAGTCACCGCCACAAATGTGATCGTGCAGAAAGAGTGAGCCCCGGAAACATCCCGATTTTGTTGCTGCCGTGTGGGTACGCTAATCGGTTCTAAGCTACCTCAAAGATCTAGAGTCCCGGGTGAAGTCGCTCGAGGAAAACCTCACCACCATGCGATCGGAGCTGTCGGGACTGGCGGCGCAAATGACCAGGAGAAGCCCGCCGAGCGCAGGTCAACTGGATCCCTGCCATGAGCCCCTGGCCGACCTGGCAGGACCCGAGGATCCCATTGACGCCATGGGCGCGGTAACCTTCGCGGATGAGGAGGACTGCGGGTATTTCGGTGAAGGCGATTCGTCTCCCCTCCGTCCAACGCTCAGGCTAACAGGGAACTGCTGCAGGCCCATCCTCGAACATCGCCTTTCTGCGGCACCTGTCCCGCGCGGTATCGCACCGCGAAAGCAACCAAAATGAAATCAACACGCCCCGGATCGATCAAATTACCTATGATGGCGGCTTCGTCAGCGCCACCCGCCCGCCATCGCCGTTGTCGGGCCATACGCCCACGGCTGGGCGGCCCGGGCTCGTGACGAATCCCACCTTGCCGTCGTCCGAGGAGACATTACAGCTGATCCGCCGGTATTTTTACGATACGGGATTGCTGTTCCCGTACATCCACCCCCCGACCTTTCTTGAGACATATGACGAATTCAAGAACAATTCCAAGAAAGTCCGCCGAACTTGGTTAGGCTTGCTGAGCATCATGCTGGCCATGGCCAAGGTGACCGCCGTGTCCGGCCATGCGCCGGCGGAAACGCGGATCAAAGAGTCAACCGTCTACTATCGGCAGGCACTGAACCTGTGCCGGGGCGAAATGCTACGAGGGACAACTCTGGAAGTTGGTGGGTTGATGCACCTTGTTCGCCAACCTTGGCGTAGTAGCAACTGACCTTTCCCTAGTGCAGTATCTCCTGCTCATGGGCCAGTATCTCCAAGGGACGCAAAAATCTGTCCAGGCGTGGACCGTGCACGGACTCGCCGTCAAGGCCGCGCTGCAGCTCGGGCTACATTCAAAAGATGCCTCCCAGGCGTTCTCCCCCCTTGAGCGCGAGATACGAAAACGAACATGGTTTGGTTGCGTGGTACTGGATCGGTATGCGCCCCCTCCGTGCTTGCGTTGGGTATGATTCCCGACTAAACAGCTCCCTAGAACCTTAAGCATGACCTTCGGACGACCGCCCGCGATCCCCGACAGTTATGTTCAGCTGGACCTCCCCGTCGTCGATAGTGTCGGCCAGGGCCAACCGTTCGTGGATGACAAGACCATCCGTCACAGCATCCAGTTCTTTAATAGCACCATGTCAGTTGGCCCCCACACCTCCCCCAGTTCGACTGCGTACATCGACTAACCCTGACCAGAACCCTGTACAAGCAAATGGGTACCATCATTGACCAGGTTTACGGCCAAAATCTGGGCTGTGGCCCTGGACTGTCGGTTGGAGAAACGGTGGGCCAGGTGCTGTCCATCGAGAATCAGCTGTTCTCGTGGGTCATGGCACTTCCGGAGAGCCTTCGTCAATTAACGCTGCAGGGGCTGCGCGAGGAAATCAAGCAGTCGGAGAACCAGCCGCGGCCGTTCTCCCTGAAGTTTCGGGTTATCCTCACCCTGCGATATCTCCACACCCAGATCCTGCTGCATCGGCCCATCCTGGTGAAGTTTCTCGACGCGAGCCTGGCGTCCGGTCTGGAGCCTGGCCAAGAGCGGATTCTGAATGAGATCGGCTATAGTAGCATGAACAAGTGCGTTGAATCGGCCATGGGTATTATCGACATAATCCACGAGCTGGTCTCTGCGACAGGGTGGCAGCGCGATCTTCTAGGGGCGTGGTGGTACTCCCTATACTATAGTAAGCTGCCCTTCCTCTTCGCTTCCATCCTGGTTTGCTGGTGGCTCATACTTTCTTGGCTTGGGGGATAGCCTTCAATGCGGCACTGGTCATTATAGGGGCCACTTGGGTGCAGCGCACAAGGCAGTCGGCTCAAGATTCCCCGGTGCACCAGCCCGCCAATATCCAGCTCTATCCTGGCCGCGCTGTCGCAACTCTGTATCGACTAGATACGGGCAATCGGATGGTGGACCGCTGCAGGTACTATCTTGAGCAGTTGATCTCTGCCCTCCGTTTACAGCGTAAGGGATTCCGTGCACCCCAGTGGAAACGATGACGCTAATCAGATTATACAGCGGAGGACCCGACTGGTACTGCCATGAGCAGCGCCACGCCGGGCTTTAACTTTTCGTCCTTTGGCATTGAATGTGGAGAATTCATGTTGGATGACTTGTTTACAAATATCACGCACGCACCAGCGTTGGAACGTTGGTAGGCTATATCATGATCGACCGCATCTTCAGTCTCGATTATGAACGGTCAAGGAAGGTTCTGAAACAGCAACACTGTTCTTTGCTCTTTCTTGGAAACAAAGGCTACAATCGTCTCGTTCAAGTACACTTATATTTGACACTGTCAATTGGTGTCTTCTACAAGAAGCCTCCTTTCCTTGCTAGCAACAGTTTGCCTATATTCAACTACCCTCATTATTACTTTAGGGCTTTGCATGTTAGTTGGCCTTACCGGATTCGTTGTTACTGTGTCCGGATTTGCGTAGAGGCATCTCATGAGGTCGGGAGCTTTAGGAACGTATCGCTCGTTAGTGAGCAAGCTGACCAGCAGGCGCGACGCGATCTTAGAGTTCTATGGGGATTGTCAGACGATGATTTGTTATTAACAAGAGAAAGGAGGATAATATATCATTTTGAATATTTCGATTCCTTCGAGCGAACGGCACTGAGGACCGCTGATTCTATCACAATCACTCTGTCTGTGGCCGGACATCTCTGCCATCCACCCAGCTACCATGTAGACCCTGGCGCAAGCGGATCGGAAGCAAAATCTTGGCCTGCGCGCGGGTGAAGTCTCGCGTGTCCAGCAGATGGAGCTCGCTGGCCATAGTCTCATAGTTATTGACCAGCGCCAGAACATACCCATCTCCCTCCGTGGTCGAGTCCTTCCGCGGGATAAAGACGGGCTCTTGGACCAGATGGGTAGTTCCCGGGAAGTAGACCTCCGTTTGCCCCGTGGCGTTGTCGAAGTGGGCCAAGGAATTGTACAAGGGGAAACCACCCCCGAGCTTGGGTCCAATCCGTTCGAAATCAGTACCCAGCTGCGGGTCCATCAGATCGAAGTAGCAGTGGCGATAGGGATGGGTAGCGAACCGGTCATCGATCCGGTAGAACTCCGAGTTGCCCTGTTGCAGGACTTTAGGTTCCGGAAGGGCGAGATCCTCGGTCTGGGGATCGAGGGTGAATCGGACCAGCTGGGAGAGAATTGAGCTGGGCTCGGGTGCGCTTCCCTCTGCATCGGGCCACCAGAAGAACACGTTCTTCTCACTTAAGCCCAGGTCGATCACTAGATGGCCTTTTTCATCCTCGTAGGCGTTGGCCGTGTGTCCTGGGAAGGAATTCTTATATTGGAACCACTGCATCGGGGTTAGTTTGTCGTTACCCAGATAGAGCGGAAGAAAGTGACCGGCATAGGTACCTTCACATCTTCGGCTTTGGCGCCCCGTCGTGGCATGACCCCCAAGTAGAGCGGGGTCCCGGGGCTCCATTGCCAGTGTTCTCCTCCTTGTTTCATGCGTTCAATGTCACACACCTGCGGTATGATCGGGAAGATGACCTGCGGCTGGCATTAGCCTGACATTCTACCCCTTTTTTCCGAGAAACAGGTTCACTTACCCAGTTATCCGTCACGGCAAAGTCATGGATCATGGCCACCACCGGCGCGACCAGCCAGACCACCTCCGTGAATTGGCCGGTGGGCGAGACACAGTAGTAGCATACGTCGGGTGTCCCATCCCCCCGCGCTTCGTATCCGAAACAAACCATCTCACCCGTGACCGGATCAAACTTTGGATGCGCGGTGAAGGTGAGACTGGGCAGCTGGCCCTCGAAGTCATAGAGCCACTTGGTCTCCAGCGTGACGGGGTCCATGGCGTAAGGGGGAGAATCCTCTTTTAGGGCCAGCAGCTGCCCGTTGAAGAAGACCACATTGGTGTTGGCGGTGCTGCGGACTTTGAACTCCACCGCATCGGTAAACTTATTTCGGTATTTACCTGGCCGAGACTGTCAGCTTTTGATGGGTTCGTTTGTTCTTGCGGAAGCCGGCTGATCACTAACCGAGCAATGCCCGTTGAGCCTCGCGCTCTCGCACGAACTTCTCCGTTCGCACGTACCGTTGCCGGAAGGATGCTCGGCCGTCTTGGATGCGGAAGGCTGCGACATTTCCGTCCCCGTTGAACCACTGTCTCTTGTCAGTTGGATGAAAGCCTGGGGAGGCAGGTTCCTTACGGGATCATTTTCAACGAAGGGAGGCAGTTGAGGATCGGGCATTACCCGATAGAAGACTCCATCAATCTCCTTGGGAATCTCACCATACACTTCCAATTGGCATACATCTCCTTCCACGCGACAGGGTTTCATGAACCCTAAGAATTGAGGGCGATCGGGAAAGCACGCTCTGATGTCGGACATCTTGGATGCCAATTATTGTGGAATTATCTGTAAAAGAAGAAACCCTGTGGAAGGTCGAGCTTATAGCATTTGCCAGGTAACGGTGATACGCCTATGTAATCTGTCTTTCCTATACCCGTGGCACAGCGCCGCGTAGGCACCCCCCCAACATCTTCCCGTTGGGGAGCAATCGGGTCTTCCATGCTTTGCTTTCTCGGCTGGTAGCGAGACCACTACGGCAACCGTTCCGCTGTCTCCCCGACGACTCCCCGCCCCACCCGGGAGCTATTGCATGGGAGCAGGTAGTTATACACTCCGCAGGCTTCTGATCGTTCTCTAGCTGCCAGTGACAATCCATCTTCCACGTCTGTCAGCTGAACATGTCTCTTCCTTGGAAACGTTTGATCCGCTTTCGCGCCCTCGATGGCCGCATCCTGCGCGGCGAGCCCATCTTGCCCGCGGAGAGCACGATCGATCTCGGGCTGGTCACGGAAGCCGATCAGCTGCAAGTCCGCATCATCCAAGGCCAGGACATCTACGATACGACGGGTGAGACCATGGTGACGGATGAGATTGTGACTGTGAAACAGATCCTCTCCCCGCTCGCCCCCAGCGACGTACCCATTCTACGCTGCGTGGGCCTCAACTACGCCAAGCACAGTACGTCGTAGAACCCAGCTCCCTTCCCCCTAACCCCGCGCCGTCGCGATCAAATTTCCTAATCTATAACCTCTCCCGTAGTCAAGGAAGCCGGGCGCACGCCCCCACCGTTCCCCTTCATCTTCTTCAAGCCCAACACCTGCGTTCATGACCACGGCGAGCCCGTCGTGATCCCGCGGATCGCGCAGAATGACCAAGCGGACTACGAGGGCGAACTGGTTCGTCTCGCTGCATCCTTCTCCTTTCCTCCGCGATCTCCTAACCGGGCTGCAGTGTCTCGTCATCGGCAAGGACGCCAAGGATGTCCCCGTCGAGTGTGCCCTCGAGTACGTGGCGGCGTACACTGCCGGCAATGACATTTCCTCCCGGAAGTTGCAGCGCGACCCCGCCTACGCCGGCAGCGTCCCCCAATGGGGCTTCTCGAAAGGCTTCGACACGTTTGCGCCCCTGGGCCCCGTCCTGGTCGCGGCATCGGAGATCCCCGATCCATCGCAATTGCACCTCAGGACTATCATCGATGGCGAGGTGCGGCAGGATGAGACGGTGGGCGATCTGCTGTTCGACTGCCGCTACTTGATCTCCTATCTGTCTCAGGGCACGACGCTGCAGAAGGGCAGTATAATCATGACGGGAACCCCCGGAGGTAAGTGGCAGTGACTGGACACTTTCGGTCTGTTGCGTGTTGAGGAAATTGACTGTGAGTAGGTGTGGGTGCGGGTTTTAACCCCCCAAAGTGGCTGGTTCCGGGGACTCAAATGGATGTGCACATCTCGCAGATTGGGACCTTGCGGAATCACGTTGTTTATGCGTAGAAGCGATAGGAGGGGATGATGTATGTAATTTGATGAATAGAGTAGAGCAGGAGCAAGATCACTGCAGTGTGAATAGATAGAATACCGACCTGTGATCTCGCGTTAAGATACATGATTGGATGATTCACTGATCTGATCCTGCCAGATGGTATCTATCAGTTTAAATTTGAATGCTTCAATGTACTTCTTCGCTAGTCTAGCATACAAAAAGACAGACTTTCGCTGGACCTCACAGCACCTCGTAGACATGGACAACCTTGTCCGACCGAACAGCGTTCTGATATTGTGGACGCGCGACGTCCGAACTCAATTGAGAATTGTGAGGGATTGGGCCCCTCTCCTAGCCAAGGAGGGCAATGCCTTTCTATACCCGCGGCTCGGGGATCGCAGGGACAATGACGCGTGTCCCTACCACTCTCCCACGAAGGATTCGGGCATACCGATCTGATGGCTGGCACTGTGTGGCGAGGCGAGGATGTGGATCTGGTCTATGATAGTCCATGATCTGTCTACGTGTGGCTAGCGGGGACGGTATCCGCGTCCTGGTTGAGTCTGGGGAAAGCTCTCTCCCCGACGCTTCCCCACACTTTTGGCCAGCCGTGGGACTGGCAAATCCTGCGAAGGCAGAGTTTACTTACAGCGATGGCCAAGCGAACTCTCAGCTCGTTCGTCCGTGCCCTAGTGCAAGCGCCAGACATTAATTACGGACGGAGATCCTTCCACTAAACGGGTTGTGACTCCTTCTATCTCTTTTATTTCTCTCTCAGCCGTCTGGACTGTTTATCTACCACACAAATTGCATTCCCCATCCTTCCTGTGGCCGGTACGGCACCTCCACGCTCCTTTTCTCTAGTCAGCATGCGGCATCAGGGACTTCCTCTCCTCCCCACCCCTACCCAGGATGAGCGTGATCCGCTACGCTGGCCCGTTTGGCTGAAGCACTGTGCTATCATCACGGCCTCGATGACGAATTTTGTGACCAACATGGCCGGATCGGGCCTGTCAGTGGCCGTCCCGGAGTTGATGCAGGAGTATCACAAGCCCGAGTCTGCTGCGGTGCAGCTGCTTACTGTAAGTCACCCCTTTGGGAGCGGCCACAGCCCGTTGCTGATGGTCGGGCGTCTTTAATAGTATAACTTCCTGTTTCTGAGTATCGGCAACATCTTCTGGGTGCCCGTCGCCCACAAATTCGGCAAACGCGCCTCGCTGCTCCTTTCCATGGCGCTCCAGGCCGGCACCTTGGTGTGGTGCGTGACAGCCACCAGCTTTTCCAGTCTGCTGGCGGCGCGATGCGTGCAAGGATTTGCTGGCGCCGCGGGCGAGAGTATCGTACCTGAGATAGCCGCGGATATCTTCTTTCTGCATCAGCGGGCTGCGATGATGTCCATGTAAGCAAGCCCCTCCGATCCTCGGCGGAGAAAGGAAAACAGACAGCTTGATGATGGTCCACTTCTTAGCTATGTGATTCTGATATCAAGCGGCTCAGCAATTGGCCCGCTGGTCAATAGTCTGATGGTGCAGTATCTGCCGAGCTCCTGGCGGGCCTTCCTGTGGCTCTGCTTTGCGCTGGCGGTGGCCGACATAGGGCTGATGCTGTTCCTGTGTCCCGAGTCCAACTTCCGGCGTCCAGAGTGGGATGTGGCTGCCATCGAACCCGACGCGACGGAGGCGAAGGCCACCCAGGAGACGTTCTTCGAACACGAGCCCCAGCAGGAGGTGTATACCGTGCACAGGCCCTCACTCGCTGATATCATCTTGCCGGTCCGCCTCGACCGCGAGCTCAAGTTCTTCTGGGCCATGGTAGCGCCCCTGCGCCTGCTGACCCGTCCCGCCGTGATTTGGGTGATCCTTCTCTACGGATGTGCACTCAGCCCGCAGATCATCCTCATGCACGTTGTCCCCATCTTGCTTCTTCCCCGGGCCCATTCTATACTGACTGTCTGGTAGCTTCACCATGTCCTCCCTCCTAGAAGCGCCCCCGTATCTGTTTTCCTCCGTCTCCGTCGGCCTGATGCAGATTGCCGCTCTTATTGGATTCATCCTGGCTTGTTTCGGCGGCGGCTTGCTCTCCGACCTCATCAACAGTCGGATTGCGCGGCGACGGGCCGACGGGCAGGTTCGCGCCGAGGATCGGCTGCTCTCCCTGATTCCAGGCATGGCCATCGGTCCCGCAGGTTGCGTGCTGCTGGCCTTTGCCTGCCAGAACCATCTACACTGGGCAGCCATCGCAGTGGGGTTCGCTATGGTCTCGTTCGGGACGGTGTACACGCCTAATATCGCCATCACCTACTTGGCGCACCGGCACCAACGGGATGCGGCGCAGTGCCTGGTGCTGGTCAACGTGGTGAAGAATCTGGTGGCGTTTATGTTTCTATACGAGGCAGTGGAGTGGGTGCAGAGCCAGGGCTATCTGCAGCTGTATCTGGTGATGTTTGCGCTGGGAGTGGTCACCATCGCGGCGGCGCTACCGCTGTATCTCTTCCACGGGAAGCGGCACGTCGAGTGATCGACGGGTCCTCGCCGGATCTTTCGCTTGCTATCTTGTCGATAGGACCATTGTACTTATGTAGTTATGGAGTTAAACCTACGGCTGTTATTATTCTAGATGCGAAAAGAGGGAGGTAGAAACGCTATTATCCGTCGCCCGGTGTAGAAAGCATCGCCACCAAGGTCGAACCCTAAGCACACTGACTGATGGCTGAATCGGGCCTCAGCTGCAGTGGATTGAGTAGAGCGAAACTAGACGGGAGATGGCCGGGTCATATCCATCATCGATCTATTCACTACTACACGGAAGTATAGCAGTACTGCAGTAGCCGTAACTTGAATTAGAGTTCAAGAGTTCCTGATCATCCTGAACCACAAACCCTAGCAGCAGTAGGACTGCGAGAAGAGGAAGAGAATAATTTAATAATATATTAAAAGAATGGAATAATACTCGGGCAGCTTACTTAGTACTTATTTACGTAATATAATAGCTATACCAGCGTCTTGTCTTTATAGGTTTATAGACCTCTTCTCTTCTTCTCCTGTTCATATTAGTATTATTCTTTGTAATTATAAGATATATGTTACTTTATTCTCTTTTATATTACCATATTTTCTATAAGTGTGATATATTTACTCGAGTGCAAGCAGGGTTATATTATAAATATACTATGAGTATAATTCCTAGAAAACTTAGTACTAAAGCCTTCATGCTAATTACATTCTGTTAGTTAAATACTAAAACCATATATACAGAACAGTCTTCCACCCAGAATTATAGGTAAGTTTCCTGCCGTATTTCCTGATCATCGACATGATAATCTGAGGAGTTGGGGTCTGTTAGGATTAAGTGCAGGCCTCTAGTCTCACCGTACGCTATTTCCAGCATAGTTAATTGGTTTATTGACCCCGCTGATTGCTCAGCGCTGCAATCACGCGTAGCCTGTGTCATTGCCACTTAATAACGCTCCACGTGTGGAGGCGAGCAGCGTAGATCGCAGAAATAAAACTTAAAAGGAGCGGAAAGCCTTTGTTATATAGTTTCCAGCCAGCCAGCACCAGTAGATGCAACGTGCCCACTGAGAAGTGGGTAGCTAGAAAGCCAGATTGCTGATAACATCTCACCGTCCAAGCACTAACCTCATTTCAATGCCGGAGTATTATGCACCTAGACTGAACTCCCTCCACTGATCCAAGACTGAACTCCCTCCACTGATCCAAGACTGGCTCGCTTCGCGGAGCCTTCGCGTAGCCGTGAAAGCGCCGGTGCCGGGGTCTCGAAGGATATGTCTTATTAGAGGTGATATAGGAGAGATGAGTGAGACCTATATAAACTTTCAAGAAACTTCTTGGAAGCTGAATAAATTGGTGGCGACATGCACTTCCGGAAATAGACATAAAATCATAAGAGGGCTCTGGAAGTAGCGGTGAGAAGAAATCAGAGCATCACACGCTTTACATCAGCGTTGGACCCGTCTTCAGCTTAGCCACATACTAGCTTGCAGATGACCTGCATGAAGAATCGATCGATCGGACAGACTCGGGGGCTTAATCTCATGTAACTACTACAGATCACATTTGAGCCTTGCTAACATCCAACCAAAAATTGACATGCTCTACTCTGGACGGAATCTATCTGCGGCTGTGATTTTACACCGCTCGACCAGAATCCACCGTCCTACATCATGCCTGCAGAGCGCTGAGGAAGCTGCTGTCTGTGCGTACCTGTCCTCCTCAGAGTCGAAACTCAATCACGTTGTCATCACCTATTTCTGATTGCTTGAAGTATCGTTGTCCAGTGTAACTGTTCCTGTCAGTCTCAATCTCACGGTAAGAATGAACAAGTGAAAACGTCCAGCCAGACAAGGCTAGCAAGTGGGATGCACAAGGTAAAATACCTCCAGTGAGTCAATCCCATAACGACGTCCTTGCACCCTTGCAGGAACATGTCAGTAACAGGATTGGGTGCATGCTGAGACCGTCCGCGTAGACGTTTCTCCACCTCGTGAAAATCACAGGCGGCCTCCTGGACAAGCAAGCTCGAGCGCTCCATTGCGCTGTTGCAGTCGATGTTCTGATTGAGCATCAAGATCGGAACGAGGTTCTCAATCTGGTTGTCCGCCTGAATGTCTGTGTCAGAACGTGGGCTTTCATTGCCAAAAGACACGTACAATTTCCTTTCTGAGCGAGAACATGTCGTTGATCCTGTGGCCATGTTGAGCACAATGTCACGGGGAAATGCATTAGAAGAAGCTCACATATGTACCAAATAAGAGGTATGTCTGAATAGCACTCCTATCAGCTCATCACTGAGCTCTTGTTTACTGACGTCGATCCCATAAATGAACCTACTACTAGTTAGTACGAGTCCAGAGTCATGGTTACTGGTGCGAATCTGCGCACGGAATAGTAGCTATAACAGGATATACTCCAGCGGTGCGTTCTCGACGGCTCCAGTACTGCGCCAAGGAGGGTATACAGTCTCCATGACAGATGGTATCGACCGTGTCAACGCTAGATACGTAAAACAGCTTATTCTCCAGTAGAACCTCACAGGTTTCTCAGTCACGTCAGCCAATAGAAAGATGACAAAGTCCATCGGTAGGAAATACCTTCGGAACAAACCGCTCGAATGTGGGCCGCCACCTCATCCCAGCACAATAGCGCCTTTTGCAGCTCGTCTGAGCATCCTGATAGGTCCGTAGCATCCTCCCTGCTGGAAAGAACAGTGCGGAAGTATTGCATAGACTTGTCCCGGTATTCCGGAATAGCTGTCTTATCATGCGTCAGGCAGCCGCAGTCAAATACTGTGTAGCAGTAATCAATTAGACTTTCAATCTTGGGGTCCGATTCGCCGAAAGCTTACAATCGTCCCAGATAAAGTACTGTCTTGCATCAGCAGATCTTCCAGAGTTTTGGTCAGGCGATAAGAGACAACGAACCCATGCGAACGCCTTAGCTACAGTGCACAGCTTCTCAAACGACGCATCTGCACACATGATGGCAGCGAAACGGCCAAAATCCGCCTTCTGGAATTTGCGACTTGTGTCTGCATCAGGGACCCAGCTTTGCAGCCTTAGTAATGTTGGCAGTAGATGCTGAAAGTTCAATGCACCCACCGTTCAATCCACGGATTAATCACTTCATCACGAGCACGGTTGTATTCTGGATGAAGCCGAGGTTTCCACTCAGGAAAGAGAGAGTAGAAGTTGGGCAACCTGGCCGTTTGACCTCTAATTGACTGCCGAAAATCGACATGCGATCTGTCTAGGGTTGGAACTGTTCGAGTCATCTTGAATGAATAGATAAAACATGGTGTTTGATGGACCTCACTCCAGGTTCATCTTCTTATACTCTGAATTTCCAGCTTCAATCCAAAAGAGGAAGCCACGGCCGGTGGCAAGAAGATTTCTGCAGAAGTTGACAATCGTCAGCCGCAGTGACCCACTATTGAGTCTGATCTGCTTGACCTCTAATATCTGCTTTCGACGGCCTCTGCAAATGACCTGTCAGGACTAGGACGCTATCCTTTCTTCCCTCGGGTATAGCGGACCCTTGGCCTTGGTCTCTGATGCGAGGACATTTATCAATAACACGGCTAGTGACCCACAATCACAACGTGTATGAGTCGATTGGGCTCCATAGGCCCATCCATCTCGGACTCGCCCCTTGCTATATACGCTTGTAGATTAGGTACATGAGAAGCTGAACCGAGAGGAAAATGCGCAGCTTAACATGTCTTCAGAAAACCTTATTTCCATCCTAGCACATACGACCATAGAGTGTGGAAAACAGGGCTTCCCGTCCGCTCAGCCGTGCTTAAGCCAGTGTTATCAGCGCGGTCAGAAGTCATATGTTCCTTGGGGGCTTGCTACTTAATAGGTGAGAACCAGTAAACCACAGGGTGAGTGCGGGTGATTAAAGATGAGCTGAGCGATGCTATCTAATAGTATTGGTGAGTGAGTGATTCTGTAGTGACTTGGGCTCCCTGTAGCCTATTCGAATTCCCCATTAGCAGCATAAATATACAGTGCCTCTTCTTTGCTGAACGATTGTCTCCTTCACCTACCCTTAAGAGTTTTCTTCTGTGATCTGTTCGTACTATTTTATCCCACCATCCTTCCCCAGGGTGTCACATGACACTACTATAAATAACTAATTGATTAGTTAAAGGAAAGGGGTTGTCAGCCATCAAATCACTACGCCAAAAAGGTATCTAGACAACCATTTCTAGCAAAGTAGAAATGATAGGCTTATTCTGGTTGACAGGAGCTCTATAGTTCACTAAGCTATGAGGATTTAACTAGTTAACTAACTAGCTAATTTACCTCTCTATGTGACATACATAACGATGGTTCATGCTTACCTGCTTTCAGGATCATTGTGGCCGACTAAATCTTACAGCTTGGACTGAAAGCAACTGCCAAGGAAAATAGCTATCACCACCAACAACATCAGTTTTGCTCAAGATATCTCCAATGCATATATATCCCACAGTTTTAAGCTCTCCCAACCACTCCAAGGTCAAGAGCAGCTGGATATTTCCGTGACACGCAATTCAAAACATGATTCTCAGATAAGGATTAACTGTCTTCTTATAGTTCATTATGTGATCCATTCCAACAAAAGCTATTCTGCATTTAACAGGCACAGATTGTCATAGTACACCTGACTCTACTTATCATCGGTCATAGATCAATTCTGAATTATAAATAAAGCCAATTCTCTCCCAAGGGGAAGCACACAATTGTTTAAGGTACCATTATCTTCCAGTGAGGTAATATAACTTGCGATGACGACTTGTCGTTCATGTCATAGTGAAACTCCAGCCAAGGACCACTGAGTATCGTTTAATCTGTTGCTACACTGTATAAGTGAAGGCCAAATGGGCTCTTGCACATCTTTCTGAAGTCTGAGGTTTCGAGACTTATTTTCCCGAAACATACCGCGTTGTTATATAAGATCATAGACTTTTGCAAATCATCCAATTACAACTGTCCCAACAGGTGCCGACAACAAGGCCAGCAGGATCTTGATCAAATCGATACCCAGGACGGCCAAGGTTCGCGGATCCAGCAGTCCTGTTAGGACGGTTTTCGTCCTGCAGCCGGCACGAGCAGGAACTCCGTTCATGCGATCCTGTAACCAGATCAGCGCATTCGGGACGCCGATGACCGCCATTGTCGCATGATTTGACAGCTCATCCCGGTGATATTCGACCTTCCCGCCGGCACCACAGTAGCCAGAAACCAGGGCATCCGTATCACCGACCGGACTCACATCATCGTTGGCGGATTTATAGATGAACAACGGAATGTCGGGCACATGCCGTCCCATTGCATTTTCGGCGAGAACTCGTGTTACTTCAGGATCTTTGAGCATATTCGCATCTGTGATGTACCCATAGAAGTCCTGAAACGAGTACTTGAGTAGGTCCCCGACGAGGCACAGGTTTTTTGTCTTGACGAAGTCTGCCTTCTTAGCGGGAACGAGATGATCATAGAGAATTCGTTCGATGGTCGGGTATTCATTAGAGAGGCCTTGCATCCCCGCAGGAAGGAGTCCTGCATAGATGCCCTTATTAACCGTGTTGAACACCGGCATGATCTTCGGAACTGTCCCTCCTAGCGCCGCTCCTGCAATGTTGAGCTCTGGCGCATACGACGCCCGAAGTTCTGCAGCGAATCCGCTCGCCAGGCTTCCCCCGGAATATCCCCAAAGCGTGATTGTGGCCTTGGGAGAGACCTTTGTAAATGTGGACGACCTCAACGCGGCGCGGACATTGTCAAGCACCACATGTCCTGAAAGATTATTTGCGAGAAACGTGGCATTTGGACCCAAGTGATCCGGCACAGTTACCACCCAGCCTTTGTCCAGTGCCGCGATGATCAGGATCAGCTCTGCTTGGGGCATGATCATCCCCAGCTCATCGTCGGTGGCCGAGTCAAGCTGAAAAGCGTACGACGGGGCGCAGTTGGGGTTGGCTGCGTCCTGGGCTACTTGGAAAGAAAGCAGCTTGGTGTAGTCTGCATTGTGCGGGACGAGGATGGTCGATGCAGCCGCAATGGGCTCACCAAAGGAGTCCGTTGAGCGGTACAGAAGCTGATAAGAAGCAGCAAGATTGATCGGGGCAAAGCCGAAGGCTGAGATAGGATGGGTGGGATTTCGCCATCTCAGAATGCTGCCAGGAGCGGTGGATTCAAATCCTTTCGGAGCACTATAGAAAGGGTCTTCGAGGGGATGAACAAGCGCATCTCGGCCGGTCGGAAGAGCGAAGACGCTCAAGGAAAACGATGCTATCCAAAGCTGGATTGCCCAATGCATCTTGGGTACGCTGTCGAAAACTCCTAGGGTGTGACTGCTCTGTTCTTCTGAGCCTTCTGAGCGTCCATACTGCGTTTATACAAATTCATGTCCTTGTCCAACTGACAGGATGATTGGAGTCCATCACATGCAATTCTCGAGTCGATGTAACGTCAATCCTTCGACTCCTCTCTCGTGTGCACGCGGCATCTTCTAGCCTTGTGGTAAACGAGGGGATCCTTTTCCGCATTCCGACCCACATTGAGCGTCGGTCCAGGCAACGCAGCATACTCCATTTCTTCTTCACCGGACGGCACATAGAAATGGAAATATTTGTCACATGTGGGTCACTGGCACGCAAAACCGAGGGTCATAATCCATCAACTGATACTCGCAGGTTGGATAGCCTCAAGCGGCAAGGATCATAGCTGCGATGCATTTTGAAGTAGCGGCGGAACCAGTCTCCTAGAGATAGTCAGCCCCCTGCAGTAACAAGGGAAATCAAGACCTATGTCAATTATGACCCAAAGAGCCAGATTAAGGAGCGGCCGAAGCGGAATTGCTTTGCTGAATACATTAAAATTGCCATCCATCAAAAGACAGTAAAGAGCGCCCAGGCGATATCACTGTAGTTATTTTGTTCGTCTGCGAGGTGCCGGACTGACTATTGTATTTGCTAGTTTTGCTAGATTGTGAATCGTCCACACGAACTCCAGATCTATACATTGATCGTGATACGGCATAGACCGAAGCTGATTTCCGCCGAATTGTCCGACGCCAGATGTGGGAAGTCCGATGAAAACCCCGCAAAATTAGGCACACCAGTTCGTGTTCTCCACAGTCGGGCTGAGCAGGAACCCACAGCTGACTCTTCCTCTTACTCTCCAGCAAATGAGACAGTTGACCTCAGAGACGCTAACTATTACGTGCCAGACGTGACGATGGTTTTCCCCGGACTGTGAAGAAAAGTCAACGCCAAGGCCTCGGCTTCAGTCTGTTTTAAAGCCGTACGATCGACCATCGGAATCGCCATTCGTTCTCGTCCTATCGTTGACCGTACAATATCCACTGCCGAGATAACCACGCGCAGGGGACGGAGGCAGAAGCTGATTTTGCAGCAGACTGGATGTGTTGGGTACTCTGTCGACGGACTGATCGCCGTTGGGCAACATCCCAAGCGTTTATGCTGCCTCACCCGCATAACGTCGGCGAAAGGGCTTGAAGTCGACATCAACCCATAACATTTTCTTTTTACCGTCCACGACTTTCACTTGTTCAGATATTCCGTCTCTTGTGATTCCGGCGTGTACAAATTTTGAATTAACAGGGCCTGAATAAAGCTAGCCCTGGCGGACGCATTCCCTGTGAGTCATTGTGGTCAGATTGAAGTCCATCTCTCTGCGGACGACAATCGCTCGAATTGAGTCTGCCGCAGAACACATAACCACAATGGAAAGTAACTTGATGCCCACAAATGCCGGGACTTTGCTAAAGGCATGTGTCTTGCAAATCAAACAGATAGCTTTGTGTGGTGCTGGGCCCTGTGCTAGGTTCAAGGCCTTTACTAAATGATTATCTGATAAACCAACCCAAATATCAGGCTGGGGATCTTTCAGTTTAAAAATAGGAATGTATTGTTGTTCTATGACACACAAGGAATGAGGAGATTGGTAAACAGTGCCATTAGCTGTGGTTTCCCGTAGGATTTAAAATGGGACTGATTTCATTTGTGAAAAATTATTGATTTTGGATTATGAACTGGAGGCTTAGATCCTCACGCCAGTCTTACTAAACAGTTGGGGCCGGAAAGATTAGATGGTGCTAGGAAAAGATAAATTGCCTTAATTATATCTACTCTCATCTTATGAATTAGTGTGTAAACCTTCTGTCCCTTCAGCCTCCCTAGGTAGTTTCTTAATAAAGACTCCTTTAATTTATTCCAAATTTTATCAGAGATTAGATATAGTTTATCATTAGTATATTATAGAAGATATTATCATTGGCATACTAGCTGACATCAAAGGGTATCTCATCATCCATGAAGATATTAGTGCGTCGAAGATAGCCACCGCGATATTATGCATTACTTAGCCTTGATGGACTGCTGGACTGCACTAAGTGATTTTTATTACTGAGGGCGCTGTTTGCCTGTTTTGCACACAACGTGGCATACACAGTTTTTTAATTCTTGGCTTAAAACGCATTTAGGTCAAGACCGCTGAGACCATCCTCCAGTTCGCTAAAGAGGGAACTAAAGGACGAGACTGGACAGCGATGCGTGCGTTTTCGTAAGAATATGAATATTGCGAAGAAGAACACCAGTTTGGGGATGTAAATGAGCGCATTGTTCTCACGAGCTCATTGTTATTCCAGTCCAGAAAAAGGGACGTAAATTTCGATGGAAGCAGACCATTTGACTGCATTTGCCTTGTAAGGGCGCCGACTTCGAATTGTATTCGAAGCAGCAGCCTTTGTAGCCATTCAGGGAAGCATCGTACGTTTTATTGAGCAGAACAGCGATGCTCTGGATAGCCTCATGTCTCTGACCATCCGTGGCATCTATTTCAGCGGTCATTAGGCATTCTGCAAACAATGATTTCGTTGCTTGATTCTTACCTAGCACCTTATTGGGAACTGGGAGCCCTATGTGTGCAACCTGACCACGGCCTTGTGCCCTAGCAATTGAAGTTGATTTCTTAAACTGAGTAGGTGGTCGAAAGGCCAATAGTATCCATAGTCACAGCATTGAATCCCTCGCGAATGTCATTGGAAACTGCTCGTTCAAAGGACCGAGCCAGATATCCACAAAATAGGTGACTACTGGATTGCATTCATAGTAGTCTGCTAAAACCGCAATCTTGGCGACCAGTTCGAGGCCTATTCCCTCCTCTTTCACCAGGGCCTACGCAAGGTGGAGAGTCCAATCTTTCCCCAACTTCAGGCAAGATCGGTCAAGCGGGCTTCTTATATCGGACAGGTGTCTCTGACATAGACTCCCCGGCATGCTCCTGTGAGCAAGCCAGTGAGAATCTGAAATCATGTCCTTATCTACTGCCAGGGTACAGTTCTACTTTGAATTGGCTAGAACGCTAAAAAATGGATGATTACTATATATTAACAGAGATTATGGATCCAACATTAGGAAAGACTTTACTATGATGGATCTCAAGTACAATTAATGCAGATCCACCGAGAATATGTAGCTGTAACCAAGTGATACAGTCCGCCTAAATCCTCCACCTTCACTTTCCACAAGCAGTGATTCGTCTATCCTGGAAGTGAAGAGTACAGGAACTCTTGGAATAGAAGAAGGGTCTGCAGTATTAGACGTTTAACAAGCAAGCACATGCCTCTCACAATGAAAAGCATATGTAGTAATTAGTGTTCGGTTTATGGCCATTGTCTGTCAAACACATTAGTAAGGTCTATGTTTCATTTGGAAAACCCATTGTTAAATTAATGAAGACAAGACACTAGGGATTCGAGTCAAGTCATCCAAAGTGCGACTGAAGAGTGATGATGAAGACCTTGGTTATGTCTACCAAATCAATGACACTTCTTTGGAGGTCCTATTCAAGAAAGACCTAGCTAAACTCCCCGAGAGCCTATATATGTATGTATATATATTACTCCAGTAGCTAGCCCTGCTGAAAGAGAGCTTCTGAATACTAGTTTGCAAAATCATACGTAATATAAACCTCCGATAATACCAGCGGTTAGTAATAATGGACACAATCTAGCCACCGGGGTTCTTACGAGATTCCAGGCTTGGAGACTGCTGACGGGATTCGGGGAGAACGTGTCGTGGCGCAGCCTAATGTAGAAATTGTACGCAGGATCCTTCAATTAGCCCGGCTGACACGATGTAGACAGCCTTGCGGCCCCGAATGTGGGTTCGGTCATATCGGAGAATTGACGATATGATATATCTGTCACGGCTTCGGTTTCCCACCCTCCATTCTGCGTTATACTCCTCCCAGCTGAAACGAAGGGTGCGCGTCTACTCGCAAATTGTCATTTTTGCACAGAGCTCAGAATTCTTTCCCAAAGATCGAAAATGTCAGCAATAAGCCCAGTGTCGTTCTACTCATACTTCCTTGATGCCGCCACGGCCATCATCGGCTCACTCCTTATTTACTCCGGGGTACTAGGGACCTTCATCGATCCTCTCCGCTGTAAGTGCGCGACCACTGGCTTCTTTCGTTTCCCCCAGATCATTGTTAACTGATCTGACCTAGTGGCAAAATTCTTTGGCCTTCCGACTGCAACCTCGGAGAATGTTGTTCTCTTTCCTTCTGCGACAGGCCGTAATCTTGGTGCTGGAATCTTCGTCTGGATCTTGACGTTGTTAGGGGAGCGGAAGGCGTTGGGCATATTCCTCCTATGCTGGACATGGGCAGGCATCGCGGATACGAAGATTCTTTACGAGCACCCACACGGACAAAGCCAGGGGATGCACATCAGGAACATTTTTATACTGCTAGTGCTGGGTCCTCTCTTGATCCAATCAGCAACACCGTGAACGGGGGCTTTTACTACTAATCGAGGTGTTAGAACGACCAAAGCCTCGGGCCCTTTCTCATCTTTCCGAGGCCCCCGCTAGTAGCCACACAGACTCTACTCTCCAGCACACCTTAGTGATGAGAAGGGCCGAGGATATGCAGCTAATTGGCAGTTGATGTGGAATAAACGTGTACGAGGGAATGTATTGGGTGCATAGATGGAATAGGCACTTAGTCGGGAAACAAATTAGAAATATATGCAAAACCAAGGACAAAATGTCCACAAGTTGGCTGTTCAGGCTTCGTTATCTGTGAATCTGTAGCTCCACCATTATTACTACTGCTAAATGGGCAAATGATTATAACTTGTGGTATACAGAACAGACAGGATCGCACTAATGCTGTCTGACTACCTGTCGAATGGGAGGAGCGAATGTTCATCTCGGAGGAAAGCAAGATACAGGTGGAATCGAGGGCCGAGGAGATCGGACAGGATCCATAATGCTATAGGAGACTACTGCAATCTATCAGATACCCCGGAGCCGACACAGCAGAGGGTACAGCTATGCATAGACGAGATGGGAGACAGCGGCAATATAGACAATGCCAGCCAGCCAGCGTAAAGCAAGAGCAATGATGTTGATAGATGGACAAGAATTGACAATATACCGAGGGCCTACTTGAGTGAAGCGTTGCTCCCTGATCAGCATGGAACTTGGCGGATCACACAATAAACCAACCTCGCTTTCATAATCCAAAAAGTACCCTCGGGTAGTATCAGTCGGGATGAAGGACGGGCATTTCGGGGCCGGGTGAATCGCGGAGAGATAATAATTTGGGGCTGAGTGATTTCGCTGGTTGTTGCAGCCCCCGCAGCCATCCATCACTCGCTGAGATGCCTTATTAGCCGTCCTCGACAGCACTGGAGCAGCCAGTTCATTGCGCTTTCTCCTAACCGAACCCGACCCCAAGTCTCTCAAGGTCTCATTCTATTCACCAGGGCCACAGAGTGACTTGTGCGGGACAACCTTTCCCCCAAACCATTCATCTTCGTCTTTCCACCCTCGGTCATCCGCTATGATGCCCGTATATACTCCCACAACAAGCTCAGACCCCGACCGGGACACGCACAAGCTGAAGCTTGTCTACTTCAGCAATGAGTTCTCCAGGGATGACTTACAAGGCGTGTTTCGTCGTCTGCACAACCACAGCAAGGACAGCGGATACCCGATCTTGGCCGATTTCATATCAAAGGCCACTTCGGCCATCAAGGATGAAGTTCGGCAGCTACCGACGGAGCTTAAACATCTGATCCCACCGTTCGAGACCATCTTCAGTTGGGTTGAAAACACAGAGCTCCGCGAAGGTTTGATCTGCGGTGCCGTAGACGGAGTGTTGCTTATTGTGGTTCAACTGGCAACTTACATTGGGTGAGTTGGTGGTGCTCTGGTTAGCTTGCAGCTTGACATGGTGGTGACTAACATCCCTTATCAGATATGCAGAGAGCCGTCCTGATGATCTATCTGACTTTACAAACACGAGCCTTGCTGGCCTTGGTATTGGTCTTCTGGCATCAACTGCTGTCTCATTGTCTTCGACGTTGGCAGACTTGCCACAGGCGGGTGCAGATGCGGTGCGCCTGGCATTCCGCCTCGGCATCCATGTCCAGGGTGTTTCCGCAAACTTGGAAGCCCGTGAGCTGTCAGAGAGTCCAGATACCTGGGCATATGTCGTTCATAACGTCGACCCAGCGGCCGTTCGAAAGGAGCTCGACACGATATATTCTCGGCAGGAGATTCCTGCCACAGGGAAGATCTTTATAAGCGCTGTCAGCCGGACCTCTGTTACAGTGAGCGGACCACCAGCTCGTTTAAAGACGTTGTTCATCACGTCCGAGTTCTTCCGCGAGTCAAAGTTCATTCCCCTTCCAGTCTACGGCGGCCTCTGCCATGCGCCCCATATCTACAGCCTGCAGGATACGCAGAGTATCGTCCATGGCAGCTCATTGAACACAGTTCTGTCAAAGTCGTGGCCGGCGATACCAATCTACTCCACCAGCACCGGTCAATACTACCAAGCCAAGAATGCCACAGAGCTATTTGAAGCTGTCGTCTCGGAGCTCCTTACTCAAGCAATCTATTGGGACCATGTCATATCTGGCGTGGTCGAGAGACTCGAGACCACTCTTGCCTCGGAATTGGTGCTGTTCAGCTTTGGCAACTCCATTCCTCTCAACGACTTAACGACTGCCGTGAAGAATAGCATTACACACCCTCAAGTCACACTCAACAATCTGATGACCTGGGTCACACAAGTCACGCCCCGGGATACTGCGCCTCGCAGCCCGGCACAGGCTAAGCTCGCCATCGTTGGCATGTCTTGCAGGCTTCCTGGAGGGGCGACAAACACCGAGAAGTTCTGGGAAATTCTAGAGAAGGGGCTGGATGTTTCCCGCCGAATCCCAGCTGATCGGTTTGACATTGACACGCACTACGATCCAACCGGCAAGCAGCTCAACAAGACTATGACCCAGTATGGCTGCTTTATTGACGAGCCTGGCTTGTTCGATGCGCCTTTCTTCAATATGTCCCCCCGTGAATCCCAGGTTGTTGATCCACAAATGCGTCTTGCTCTTGTCACGGCGTACGAGGCGCTGGAACGTGCAGGCTATGTTGGTAACCGTACTGCAGCCACGCAGTTACAGCGCATTGGTACATTCTACGGTCAAGCTGCGGACGACTACCGTGAAGTTAATCAAGGCCAAGAGGTTGGCACCTACTATATTCCAGGTGGCTGCCGCGCCTTTGGTCCGGGCCGTATCAATTACTTCTTTAAGTTCGCGGGACCCAGTTACAGCATCGATACGGCTTGCTCCTCTGGACTTGCGGCGATTGAGGTACATGCCACTCATACTGATCTTCATGGTATTGAATTTCAAAATACTGACAACTTGTCTTAGGTCGCCTGTCAGGCGCTTTGGAACGGCGCTGTGGATACCGCTGTTGCAGGAGGTGTCAACGTCTTGACCAACCCTGACGGTTTCACCGGACTCTGCAACGGCCACTTCCTCACCAAAGGACACAACGCTTGTAAGACATGGGATAGCACCGCTGACGGGTACTGCCGTGCGGATGGTATTGGCTCTGTGGTCATCAAGAGACTCGAAGACGCGGAAGCTGATAATGATAACATCTTGGGTGTTATTCTTGGTGCTGGCACAAACCATTCAGCAGAAGCAGTCTCCATTACCCACCCCCATGCGGGCCACCAAGCCTACTTATCTCGGCAGGTACTTCGACAGGCCGGTGTGGATCCCTTGGATGTGTCCTACGTCGAGCTCCATGGCACTGGCACTCAAGCGGGGGACCATGAGGAGATGAAGGGTATTATGGAGGTGTATGCTCCGCTCACCAAGCGTCGTAGCAAGGACCAGCCGCTCCACATTGGCGCTGTCAAGGCAAATGTCGGCCATGGCGAGTCTGTTGCAGGCACGACTGCGTTGATCAAGGTACTTTTAATGCTCCAGAAGAACGCCATCCCGCCACATGTTGGAATCAAGACAGAGATAAATCCCAAGTTCCCCCGAGACTTTGATAAACGCAATCTCCACATCCCAATGGAAATGACGCCTTGGCCGCAGGTCCCTGGAAAGAAGCGCCTTGCAGTGGTCAACAACTTTGGCGCTGCTGGTGGGAACACAACGATGGTCCTGGAAGAGGCGCCAACACGCGATATCGCAGAGACGGATCCGCGCAAGACGCACATCATCGCCGTCTCGGCCAAGGTCAAGGCATCTCTGGCTGGAAATATTGAGCGCCTAATTGCCCATCTTGATGCGAATCCAGATATCAATGTAGCCGACCTGTCGTATACTACAACTGCTCGCCGCTACCATCATACGCATCGCGTAGCAATTGCCACCTCTACCATGGAGAATTTGAAAAAGCAACTGAACTCCTCCTTGGAGAAGGTTGATTCAATCAAACCTGTTGGAAAATCTGGCCCTCCACCGGTCGCATTCAGCTTCACCGGCCAGGGCGCCTCTTACAAGTCAATGAGTTTAGAGTTATACCACGATGTGCCTATCTTCCGAGAGCATATCCAGCACCTTGACTCAATCGCTCAGAGCCAGGGATTCCCATCTTTCATTCCAGCTCTTGACGGAACACACCCCAAAGACCATGCTCACTCTGCTACCATTACCCAGCTTGCCCTGGTCTGTTCTGAAATTGCTCTCGCCAAATACTGGGTATCTCTTGGAGTCAAGCCAGACGTGATCATAGGCCATAGCCTGGGCGAATACGCTGCGATGCACATCGCTGGCGTTGTTACGGCCAGTGACACCATATTCATGGTGGGACGCCGGGCTCAGATGCTGGAAGAGAGGTGCAAGATTGGCAGCCATACCATGATGGCGGTTCGCGCTGCTGTTGCCCATATAGAGGAGTCCTCAGAGGGCAAGCCATACACGGTTGCTTGCATTAATGGCCCTTCGGATACAGTGCTCAGTGGCACTAAAGATCAGATGGATGCCATTGCAGTTCCCCTTCAGAAGGCCGGTTACCACTGTATCAAGTTAGACGTTGCTTTTGCTTTCCACTCAGAGCAAATGGACCCTATTTTGGATGACTTTGAGGCCGTTGTGGCCACCGGTGTCATCTTCAAGGAGCCAAAAGTGCCAGTCATCTCTCCCCTGCTCGGCAAAGTTATTTTTGATGGCAAGACACTGAATGCAAACTACGTCCGCCAGGCTACCAGACAAACTGTTGACTTTGTCTCTGCTCTGAAGAACGCGCAGAAAATTTCTACTATAAGCAATGAGACTGTCTGGATTGAAATCGGGCCGCATCCTGTCTGCACTAACTTCATCAAAAATACCATACCATCCGCTGAGCTCGCCATCCCATCGTTCCGCCGCGGCGAGGACAACTGGAAGACCATGGCTGAGAGTATGGCCGCTCTGCACCTTGCTGGTATTGACGTTAGCTGGAACGAGTTCCATCGCCCATTCGAGCGCAGGCTCCGCCTCCTGGACCTGCCAACATATGCGTGGAACGAAAAGAACTACTGGCTCCAGTATAACGGCGACTGGTGTCTAACCAAGGGCAATACATTCTATGACGCCGAGAAGGAAGCTGCTAGAGCTAAGGCTGCACCAAAGGCGCTGCCGGCCAGCGAGATTCAGACCACGACGGTGCAGCAGATCATAGAGGAGACTTTCCATGAATCTGCTGGTACAGTAGTGATGCAGTCAGATCTTATGCAGGCCGACCTCCTGGCGGCGGCTCATGGGCACAGCATGAATAACTGTGGTGTGGTTACATCGGTAAGTTGATTCCGGGTCTAAAGATATCCCCCTTGCTTTCACCACAAAATGGCTCGACGGGACTGGCATTGGGATGTTATCCATGCATCGCAGCTCAGCTCCAGTGTCTCCGATTCGGTTATTGGTAGTCAGACTTTGGCCAGAGAGCTTGCTAATTCTGATTTGTATAGTCCATCCATGCCGATATTGCATACACTCTTGGCAGCTATCTGTACCGCAAGCTGAACCCACGAGCCAAGGATGTGAACATGAATATTGCCAACCTTGTCGTTACCAAGGGCCTAGTTGCTCAGACAAACAAGAAAATCCCTCAGCTGTTCCGTGTGACTGCTGCCACTGCCGATGTTCACTCAGGTGTGGTCGATTTGACATGGCAGAACGTGGACAACGATGGCAACGCCGACGAGCCATTTGCCACAGCCAACATTTATTATGGAGATGCATCCGAGTGGCTCTTGTCTTGGGTGCCGATTGCGCACCTCGTTCATAGCCGGATTAAAGTGCTTGAGGACCTGGCAGCACAGGGCAAAGCTAACCGCTTTTCCCGTAATATGGCGTACACCCTCTTCGCCAGCAACTTGGTGACCTACGCCGACAAGTATCGCGGCATGCAATCAGTAGTCATGCATGAGCTTGAAGGATTCGCAGATATTCAGCTAACCACCCAGGAAAGCGGCGTCTGGACTGTCCCGCCGTACTTTATTGACAGTGTGGCACACTTAGCTGGCTTCATCATGAACTGCTCTGATAGCATTGACGCACAAAACTACTACTGCGTGACTCCTGGTTGGAACGCAATGCGATTTGCGAAACCACTTACCCCGGGAGCCAAGTATCGGTCCTATGTCAAGATGATTCCAACAGCTGAGGATCCGACGATTTATTTCGGCGACGTGTATATCATGCAAGACGACATCATCGTTGGTGTGGTTAATGGCATCCAGTTCCGCCGCTATCCTCGCATTCTGCTTAACCGCTTCTTCTCGCCACCGGACAAGATGGCTGCGATCGAAGGCAAGCCAAAACCCACTGTTTCTCAAGCTCCGGTTTCAGTGTCGGCAGCACCACCAGCGGCGCCAAATACGACTGCCCCTGGACATACCTCTGGCCCCGAAAGCAATGGTGAGAAGAGCAAGCCGTCTTCTAGTAACCCTGCCAGCGCTATGCCCGCTACACCAGCTCCGTCAAAGGGCGCTGCACCTGCAGCCACAGCTGCCGCCGCCCAGTCCAACAATGCTGCGGCTGCGACTGCGTCTGGCAGCATCTCTGCCAGAGCGATCCTGCTCATTGCGAACGAGGCCGGTCTGGAACTATCTGATATGGAGGATGGAGCTCGATTTGCCGACTTGGGCGTTGACAGTCTCATGTCACTGGTAATTTCGGAAAAGTTCAGGACGGAATTGGACGTCAAAGTCAGTGGGAGCCTGTTCCTGGACTATGAGACCATTGGAGATTTGCGGGAGTGGCTGGACGAGTATTACAGTTAAGAGTTTTACAGTTAGAGTATTTACATTTGAGTATTTCAGTTAGATTATTACAGTTAGATGAGTCAAATTGAATATGAATTGGTCTGTTATCTGCTTTACATTAGTGGCCTATTTTGTGACTTTAGTTAACTGTTGTATTCAATGAATTAGTTTGGCTTTCTGGATTAAGAAGCATAATATTTATTCACAAGCTGGCCGCAGGACTCCATCCTCTTCCTTTTGTGGAGAGAAATGGCGCTGTAACAAACTGAGAAATTCAATTGCAAGGTAATTAGATATTGGCCAATCTTCCTGAAACTGCTTTGGACAGGGATTCTGATTACGCCGATGCAGCTTTCTCCCGTATTACTCCGGACAGCATTAATTGTCCCGACTAGCGGAGCAACTACTTCGCGGTAGATTGGTGATGCAACTAGGGATTTCCCCTCAAAGGTCGCGCAGATGGTGATTTGATCAGTATTATTGAGCTCCGTAGCTTTACGGTCCCTTAAGGCTCAGCAGATAGCTATACTGCACTGCCTTTCGCTTTCCCCTTGTTGTCTACCACCTCGAATGCAATGGCTTCTTTGGTACGCTCACCACCGCCTGTCATGGACACCTCCGGCAAGATCTTTGCTCAGGACGATGAGTTCTGGGACAACTATTCCCGGGGGCGTCCACAGGTCCCAGAAACCTTCTGGGACTGCATATTCGGCTACCACCAGAGCAAAGGCGGCGTTTTCGGCACCGTCCACGATGTAGGCGCCGGCAACGGGCCCTACGCCCAGCGACTATGCTCTCGCTTCGCCAACGTCATAGTGTCGGACATCGTGGCCGAGAACATTCGCCTCGCGCGTGAACGTCTCAAGGACCAGCAAGGATTCAGTTTCCGAATATCTGCGCTGGAAGAAGCCGACGACATCCCGGCCGGCAGCGTGGACATGGTGTTTGCGACCAACGTGATGCATTTTGCAGAGCCTCAGCATGATGCCATGGCAGGCATTGCACGCCAGCTGCGTCCGGGTGGCACGTTTGTAGCATCACTTTTTGGTCCTGCACGCTTTCGGGACGCGAAAATCCAGAATCTGTGGGAACGAGTCAGTCACCAGGGCGGCAGGGAGCTTCTCAAAGTGTCTGATGATCCGGACCAGATCATCAAGGTCATGGCGCGGACCGAAGGCACCTACAACGTTGCCCCACTTGATGAAGAGCTTTTCGGCGACAGGATACGGATCTATGTGAACATGGAACATGGCGGCATCCAAGGCATGTTGCCCCCAGAACTCGCACACCGAAACACTGAGCCCGACTACGCCGTGGGCGACACCAAGAGGGTTGAGAAAATGGATGGATGGACATTCCAAACCGATCTGGCAGGCGTTAAGGAGCATTTTGGGTCGTTTCCTTTCATTTCGCGGTTTCCCGACGCGTTCACGGACTTGTACAAGGAGTTGGAGGAGTTACTTGCGGACGGGAGGACTGTCGAAGGATATTTCCCTGTCTCCATAATCCTAGGAACAAAGAAATAAGCATTGATTTTGTTGTTTCTAATCGTTACAAACAACTGCTTTCTCCGCCTATACCAAGAGTACCCGTTTGTGGCCGGAGCGTAGCATAGACCGCGCACTAGTATTACGATAAACACCCCATTTCTCTGGTGCTGTGATCGTCCGGCTCAATAACCCGAAGTGTATGGTCACATATTATATATATATATATATGTCCCGAAAGCTGCCCGGCCTCTTCTCATCGCATGACATCTCGCAATTGATACCACTCACCCTCTACCAACACCATCAGCATGCCTGCTCCGGACCATATCCAGAGAGAGACGATTGACAAGTTTTTAGCGGCATGGGAGAATGGCAAAGCTCAAGACACTATAGACCTCTGGTCTGACGACTTTGAGCAGCAACTGCTCCCTCTGTCGCTGCAGCAGCCACGCCGACCCCGAGCCCACACCGAGTTCTTCTACCCCAAGCTTGTGAATAACCTCACCAACTGGAAGGTATGTGGCACATTGTTGCAGTGAAATGCATGCCAACATGTAGCTAATCCATGGGCCCAGTTGGACATCAGACATATCGTCCACGACGCGGCGAATGGCACAGCTGCGGTCTATGCGACCTCGTCCGCAGAAACGCCTATCCCCGGCGAGAAATGGACGAACGAGTATGCCATTTTCCTGTCCCTGACCGAAGATGGCTTGAAGGTAAAGCAATTGGAAGAAATGGTGGACTCTGGATTCTACCAGCACTTCTTTCCTAAATTCCAGAAGTATCTGATGGACCAGGGGGCACTCCAGTAGCTGTGGACAGCTGGCATCACAAGTTTCTCAATAGATACTGGTCTCAATTCAGGTTGAATCCTAATCTCAAGGCCGATCAAAACACTCACGTAATTGTCCGACAGCCCGGGATTTTTTATGGAATAAATGCCAGGCGGGACGCCGGGAGTAGCATTGAACTAGTAACTGTCCGTATACGCCGACGCGCCGAGGCAGCTGGCTGGCTGCCTTCGCTAAGACTGGCACAGGCATATATTGACAAGGGTATTACCAACCTCTATGTGAGCAGTAACGAGAACACAGTATGGCTTCCCAGACGTACGCCGTCCTGGGCTCGACGGGAAATTGTGGCAGGGCACTCATCCAGAACCTCCTCCACAAGCCCGGTGTTCGCATCCACGCATACTGCCGCAACCGATCCAAGCTTCTTCGGCTGCTGCCCGACCTCAAGCCAGGAGGAAGGGTCGAGATCTTTGAAGGAAGCATCGAGGATGTCGACCTTCTGACCTCATGCTTGCGCGACTGCAGGGCTGTGTTTCTGGTTGTCTCGACAAACGACAACATCCCCGGCTGTCGCGTCGCGCAAGACACAGCTGCAGCCGTCGTTGCATCACTCCAGAATCTCAAGCGGAGCTGGGAGGAAAGCGAGAGAAATGACAGTCGGCAACTGCCCAAACTGATCCTCCTGTCGTCGGCTACCATCGATGACCACTTCTCTCGTCACGTCCCATACTTACTCCGAACGATCCTCCTCCGCTCGGCATCTCATGTCTACAATGACCTGATCGAAACCGAGAAGCTCCTGCGCGCCCAGGAGGACTGGCTGACGACGATCTTCATCAAGCCGGGTGCTCTGTCAGTCGACATCCAGCGAGGCCATGCGCTGAGCCTTACCGACGAGGAGAGCCCCCTGTCGTACCTGGATCTGGCCGCTGCAATGATTGAAGCAGCAGACGATGAAAATGGCAGCTATGATATGAGAAACGTGAGCGTTGTGAACGCGAACGGAAAGGCCAAGTTCCCGACAGGCACTCCGATGTGCATCTTCATGGGTCTGCTACGGCACTTCTTCCCATTCCTACACCCTTACCTCCCTTTGAACACAGGTCCGGGTTGATCGGTTCTAGTTAGCAGTACAGATAGTATCAATACATAATGTTTTGACATACTTTCCATGCCAAATAATTGTATATTTCCATGCCCATCTCCATTCCCATCTCAACCAGCTGAAGTTGTGCAGAAGTAAAAACCTCCATAGAAACACACTTGAGTGACTTTACAAGGAGAATCGTGTGCAGATAAGATCAATTGCGAATAATATTTTTATCCGCTTCTAGACATTGAAATCGGGACTGATAATTGTGAGGTATATATATCATCTAACAATCCCTTTCAAGCCGCACCACCATCCAGAGTGATGACCTTGCCATTCACCCACTCTCCTTCTTTGCTGACCAGGAATCCAACCACACGGGCAATATCCTCGGGGAAGCCATTCCGGTGCAACGGGGACGCGTGGGCAGCCATCTGCTGACGCTCCTCGGCCGTGAACTTCTCTCCGCCGGGGATGTAGTGGTGCGAGACGGCGTGGAACATGTCCGTCACAGTACCCCCGGGCGCAACACCGTTGACGGTGATCTTCTTGTCACCGCAGTCCTTGGAGAGGATGCGCACAAAGGAGTCGATGGCGCCCTTGGAGCCCGAGTAAAGCGAGTGCCGGGGGACGCTAAAGTCCTTGGACGTGTTGGAGGAGGTGAGAATGATGCGCCCCCCTTCTTCCAGCACACGGTACGCCTCGCGCGCCACGAAGAACTGCCCGCGCGTGTTGAGGCTGAAGACGCGATCGAATTCCTCCTCTGTCACGTCCTTCAGGTGCCCGAAACTGACAACGCCCGAGTTGCTGACAGCGATGTCAAGACGTCCAAAGTGCGCAATCGCGTCGTCAAACAGCTTGACTGTCTGAGACACGTCCCGCACGTCGGCCTTGAAGGCGACAGCATCTGAGTTGAGGCTCTTGATTTCGGCGACGACCTTTTCGGCGTGTTCGGCGGAGTTGGCATAGTTGACGACGACTTTGGCGCCGAGGCGACCCAGATGGATGGCGATTGCGGCTCCAATGCCACGACCAGATCCTGTGACGAGGGCCACTTTATCGTCAAGACGGCCGGGGATGTAGGGAGCTGACATGTTGACGTGGGTAAATGGGAAGGAAGCGGAGCCAAGGGACGTGATCGGACTGTAGCTAGAGTTTCTTTGCAGAGACCAAGAAGCAAGCAAAGGCAGTTTGTCATTTAATACCTACCAGAAGCAAGCATCGCGGAATCGCGGAGTCCAGCATGTCCGACTCCCGATACAGCAACCCTGCCTCGGGATGTCGACCTCGGGGCATTGGATGGGACATCGCGACGCCGGAGTATTTGTTGGTCAGTGATCCAGGGGGATTACTCCTCCACAGAGTTAGGACCAGGAAGAAGCTGAAAACACTTTAAGTAGGATTCCCATACACCGGATAAGCACCTACATTGTCAAATCGCCCCAGAATCAATATTCCACCTCTGACACAGCATCATGGCTAAAGCCGACTACAAAACGCCCGCTTATCAAGGTACGGATTGCTCTGCTGGCTTACGACGCATTAGTTCCTAACTGAGGCAATACTTTAGACGTCGCGGGATGTCAATTCGCGCTTTTCGAATGGGCCGAAAGCTACGACAACAAGGATTGGGCTCGTCTCGCCAAGTGCATCGCCCCAACACTTCATGTACGCAATTGCCCAAACATCTTCGTCAATGGACCCCGAATCTGACATCGTAGATTGACTACCGCTCCGTCATGGGGCAGGAATGGGAATCCATGCCCGCCGACGACTTTGTAGCGCTGGCGTCAAGCCCAAAATTCCTCGGCAACGCACGCATCAAGACGCAGCACTTCATTGGAGCCTCAAAGTGGGTGCAGACCGGCGAGGACACAGTGACGGGTTATCACCAAATGCGCGTGGCGCACCAAAAGTACAGCGACGATGCGTTGACTGAGGTGCTCTACAAGGGCCATGCCCATGGCAAGGCGACAACACAGTTCCGGAGGGTGGATGGCGACTGGAAGTTTGCAGGGCTCGAGCCGGAGATTCGATGGGATGAGCATGATCTTGAGAAGATTTTTGCGGACAACTAGTTATTGTGTATCTTGATTCTGTTTAGTAGAGACTGCAAGATTTTGGACCAAGCACGCCTGAGGGTTCCCAGTACTTAAGGTCCTCTTTCCACGTGTAGAGGGCAGAGCTTAATAGTATGCAAGATTACTTTGAGTGTTATACTGATCAAGAAAAAAAACTCGTGTATTTGCTTTCTAATTCAGTTGGATTTTCAACTGCTTAAATGTAGACAAAAACTTGACTTGCTCGAGGTTCTTCAGTACCCATCATTGCAACCACTGAAGGATGATACCACCACAGCACCTCGGTCGATCCCTAGGCAAGAATCTCCTTGAGCTTCAGGTCGGCCTTGAGCTTCTCCTCAAGCAGGACATCACCAAAGTTCGCTCGCCGCGGGACAAACTTGACCTTGAACGGCTTCGGCCTCAGCACCACAGAAGACGTGAACCCTTTGTTAATGTCAACATGCAGCGGCTCGGTCGGCACGATATCAAACGCCCACAGGATCTGCGCAAACGCGAGTCTCATGTTTTGGAAGAAAAAGTCCTTTCCAGGGCACTCCCTGCGTCCGGCGCCAAAGGTGTACAGCGTTTTCCTTCCTAGCTGCGAAATCCCCTTCTTGGCGCCAAATTGGTCCTGAATGAACCGCTCTGGCATGTAGCGATCCGGGTCTTCGTAAAACTCCGGATCCTGCTGGATGGTCCACTGGTTGAGGACCACGGTCGAGCCCTTGGGAATGCGGTATCCCAGGACGATCTCGTCGTCGATGACCTCGCGCGGCAGCCCGAGAGGCGACACCGGGCGCCACCGCAGAGCTTCAGTCACGCAGGCGTTGAGGTACGGTAGTTCGTCCAGGTCGATAGTGTCGGGCAGAGCCGTGTCGCTCTTGAAGACGGCGTCGATCTCCAGCTGGGCCTTGCGCTGGGCCTCTGGGTGGGCGGCCAGTGCGAGAAGGATAATTTGAAAGGTGACTACCGAAGAGTCCACGGCCGCGTCACTGCCGTTTTGTTCAGCACTGGGGCTCTGTCCAGAAAAAGACAAAAAGAAAATGAAATTACATACAGCATTCCGCCCATCATCAATTTGATCTCCTGTTCTGTGAAGCGTCCGTCGGGCGCAGTGGATGGATCGACGGACTGTTCGAGGAGCTTGGGGATGAGCGACTGGAATGAGCCGTGACGAGCCTTTTTCGCCTGGTTCATCATGACCCCATACGCATAGAGCAGAGCTTTGCGCGTCAGTGGCGCCTTGCGCTTCCACTCGGCGAAGATAGACGGCACCCAGCGGAGAATAGGGAAGATGTCGACCGGAGGGGCACTGGCGGGATCGACGAGCTCCTCCATCAGGCCCTGCGAGTAGTGGTAATCGTGTATCCAGTGCTCACCAAATTCTTCGACAGGGGCTCCGCTCAGCATGGTAACGGGCGTCGATACACCCCTTCAGAAATCATGTCAGTACTCAACGGATTGGAGAGGGACGGAGGCAGGGGGTAATCAAAGCTCGCTTCCTACCATTGCATAATATGTTCCATCCAGTCATCACTGGACTGGAACAGGTTATAGATGAGACGCGTGCCTGCAGCTTTCTGCATGGGAGCCAGCTTAAACAGTCCCGCGCCAACGAGGAACTGCTTGGTGATTGTCCGCAGCCGCCGGCTGTAGTCATTGCGCATGAAAAGACTGTACGTGTTCCGCGCGTCTGGCAGGATGTGCTCTTGGGCAATGTACCGCGGGGGCCGCGCAGAAAAGTGCTGGCCACGCTTGACGATGTGTTCGTAGATGAGGGAGGCGTCGTTCAGGATGACCATGTTATTAGGACCGAGTTTCAGCCCGACAATGGGGCCGTACTCCTTTGCCCACGCGTCATACTTCAAAAAGGGCAACGACAGCGGAATCTGGTGAATGTTACCCAGGCCAAGAAGCGTCCGAGGGCCTGGAGGATAGTTTTGCGGCCGTCGAGTTGACAGTAGCCATAGCACTGCGTTGTACAAGGAAATGCAGCCAACAACGGCCAGAGAGAGGAGCAGGGGCGCGCTCAAAGCCATGATAATTTCTCAAGACAGGGTCAGGCTGTCTATGAAGGTCTGCTGCGTGAGCTACAATAAACCAAAAGGCCATTCAAGCAGTCGGACATGTCAAAACATGCAAGTCGGCGATTTTATTGCCAGACTCTACGAGGCTACGGGCCACAAGGACCACCGAAGTCCGTTATTCCCACGGAGGATAAAACCGGTACCCACCAAAAACATCGCATATGAATATGTGTATTGCTAATCATTCTCATAAAATGGGTGGGAGGAATCGCCCGAGACCACCGGGGGGGAGGGGAAGGAGGGGGCTGCATTGCAGTCTATGCTCCGAGTTTCATCATGCAACGTGCATTAGTTGATTATACCGCTCGGAAAGATTCAAGCTTCGATTTTCTGCTGGCGATCAGAGTAAAAAAAATAAAATAAAGAAGAAATAACCCTTGGCCCTCGGGCCAATAGTTGATGCCCTGATCTAACTGTATGTGACATGTCATACGTTGGTATATCAGCACCGATGAAGAATGCAAAAGTAAAGCATATGATGAGAATTAATCTATTACTATCTCTCCGATTCTCTGGCCTTGGCTAGTGAAAAGCAATGCCTGCCACTAATCGTACCGATCCTCTAACCCAGACCAGTGGCAGCCCATTGAAGGGGGTAATATACATATTGGAGCGGTCCCCTTCGACGGTTAGGCCTGCCCCCAGCTCCTTCTTCGCGAACCTTCACTCAGACAACCTGCGCTCCGGGAAGATCATTCAAGACGTAATCGGGCAGGAATGGTATCAGAATGTCCTTTTTGCCAAGATCGACCCCCTTGGACCGGAGAATGGCGTAGGTGATGTAGACATGGAAGAGGGTTTCTGGAATCCCAGTCGCCATTGTGAACTCAGCAGCAGGGACTTGGCGAAAGGCGTCGGCGCCGTTCTCCTCGGGGCCCACCTGCATGGGTAGCTTGGTGTCGTCGGCCTTGCTCTCGGCCTCTTCGGGTCCAACTTGCGCCAGGATCTCCAGTGTCTTCTTCACGCGCGCAACCAACTCTGGCCAGGATTTCTCCAGCTGACCCCAGTTGGTCCCAGCCTCGTTCCACGGGACCAGCTGCTTGCCTGTCAAGGCCTCTACCAGACGAACAGGATGCCTGGTAGCGATTCGGACCTGAAGTAGGAGCGGGAACATATCGGGGGCAAGCCGGGAATCCAAAAAGGAGGCCACGTCTGGGTGCTCCGAGGCCACCTTGAGAATACGAAGGAGAACCCGGAGAGCTTTGGTATAGCAGCCGATGCTGATATCGTAGAATGGAACGGGGGCCATTACGAATGACGCAAAAGGGAGGTAAAAATTTCGGGGTTGTTTTGCAGCGCAGGGAGAGAGTAACCCAGGATCAAGAAGACCGCCTGGAGCGAGAGTATTTTCTATCTACGAGCTGCCCTCGCTGGTCAATACCGAGGCTAGATCTACTTGAATCAAGTTTCGCCAACTGGCCTCGGACTATTGACAAATGACGAGCTGACAAATCAGGGTCTGGCCAGATATAGTACCGTAGATCGCCGGGAGGAATGCCGGGCGAGATGTCGTGGGTCCTGGAAGTAATGAATGTAAATCTCCCGAGCCGGCCGTGTGCAGATCGTCTTTGCAGGAGAATGTCCTTGCTTGATCTAATCCTGCGAGATGCACGATGCAAGCTAACCAAGTAGACTCCTGCTGGCTAGCACTAAGTTAGTTAGAGCTGATGTGATACGAATACTGTATGCATGATATCGCCAAATAGCGTCGTGAAGAAGGATGCAAGAAGATAAATGTTATCATTAAGTCGGCTACAACCAGATAACAAGCAATTCACTACCTAATATATAACATCATCTGTCATAACCGGCTAATGACCAGTCCATGGATCATAAGCGTCAGGCTAGCATCCCACACCTTGCTCTTCCCCTTTTGTCACTGCACCAGCACGCCTCCACTTGAATGCAGGCTGGTGCCCGTAATATTCGAATCCTTGAGCAAATAGACAAACGCCTCAGCCACCTCCTCTGGTGTCCCGACCTTGCCTAGCAGCGCCGTCGAAGCAAAGAACTCCCTCGTCCCCCTCCGCTGCTCCGGTGTGGGCCCCCAGATTTCTGTCTCCGTCGCACCAGGGTGCACGACGTTGACCCGGAGAGGAGCGAGGTCTAGCGCCAGCGCGCGAGTCAACCCGTCCAGCCCGGCCGCGTAAGCAGCGGCGGCCGGCCATCCCTTGATGGGCTTCTCACCGAGCCGGCCACCGCAGAAAACGAGGCTCGAGGTGTAACTCGGCTTCAGAAAACGCGGGGCGAGTTTGGCGAGCAATGCGGGGACGACAAGGGTCAGCTGGGCCTGACCAAGCATATACTCCCGGTCGGTCCTTGTAATGGGCAGCATTGCCGCTCGACCCGCGGTGACAACAATGTGGTCGAGCCGGGAGTCGGCCGTGGTCTCCGTAAGGAGTCTCTCGAGGCGTTGCTCGACATCGGGCAGGGAAAGGTCGATGGTGAATCCCCGGATGTGCGTGTCAGGGATTGACGCCTGCGATTGTATTTTTGTGACGGCGTTGGCCACCCGGGTGGGATTGGACGACGCGATGGACACGCGGACGCCTTGCTCGGCAGCTAATCTGGCGACAGCGGCACCGATGCCAGACGAGCCGCCAATAACAAGGAGTGACTGACCAGAAATCGGAGGCATCGTAACGCGGTATGGTATGACAGTGGTGACGGACTGGGTTGAGGTTGCGAACAACGTCGGGGATGTGCCGTCTCAGACCATATATACAACCAAAATGTTCTATTTCTGGCACAGCACATGCTCGGCCTTCGGAACCCTGTTAATTCCGCTCGAGGCGGCTTGTTTTGTCATCGTCTGACAAATTGCCCCGAGTCACACAGTACAAGCAGTTGTTGGTTAATGAGACCCATCCGCCGGGTAGACGATCGATCACATTGCAGACCCAGAAAATGACGAATGACTTCGCTCTTGGAAGGCATACCTACTGGCATCGCTATCTTCTCCAAACTGCTCGTTCGCCGCAAACACTATGGTCTGAGTGCGTAGACTGAGAATTAAAGCAGTATTGTTTTGTAGGAAGAGCTGTATGGGATGCACGCACGAAACACCATTGGAGATGGATTGGTACAGCACTACACGAAAAATCCTGGCTGTTATGATAAAGCATGGGCTGTAGGACTGTATTGTTCTTCTATGACCTATCTGAGCAATGGAAAAACCCGCCTTGCGGCGCAAATTAAAATAAAAAAAAGAAAGGAAAGAAAGAGAGAAAGAAAACTACAACGATTGCCTCTGAGTATCACCCCAGGTCAATCTCCAATTTAGTATCGCCTACTCCAATCGCATTTTTCTTCAGCTCGGCTGGTGGAGTCTCCCTGCCTACGCAGCGGCAAACTCCGTCGCGCCACCCTTCTCGTCCTTCTGCTCAGTCTTCGCCGGGGCCGCAGCATGATTAGGAAGCTTCTTGAAGGGAATCGCAAGTGACAGAACAACAGTGAATGCTGCGCCGGCAAGGGAGAAAGCAAAGACGTCCTTAATACCCTCCATGTAAGCGTTGTGTACAGCAGCCAGGTCAGCGCCCTGGAAGACACGCGAAATTTCAGATGCGCCAGTGGTCAAGACCTGAACTGGATCGATGTTGGGAGCATGGGTGGCAAGTTCCTTGAGCATATAGTTGGCGAAGATGGACTGTGCTGCGGTGACAAAGTAAGCACCACTAATGGAGTTGCACACTGGTTCACAGCGTCAGTAACATGCACTTCGGGAATATCGAAGAGGAGAGGACGCTGGGGAACCTACTGAGCATGACACCGGTGGTGGGCGCGATATGTTCAGGCTTGGAAAAGCTTTGCAGCGCAGTCATTGGGACCTGGTTCCCGAGGCCAATGCCGATGCCGAAAATGACCTGAGGGCCGATATAACGGGCCTTTGAAGAGTCGACGTCGAGCGTATAGAGCAGGGCAGCGCCCACTGTGGCTAGTATTCCGCTGGCGAACTCATACGGTTGGAGGAGGCGTGTCTTCCCAATGAGGAAACCGCTGAGCATGGACCCTGCGGCGAAGAAAGCCATGAAGGGAAGACTGTTGACACCACTCGCGATGGCCGACTGGCCGTGGATAGATTGGAAGTAGATGGGCAGGTAGAAAAGCACCTGGAAGTTTGCGAGATTGGCACTGGACGAAATTACGAGTGTTAGCCCGGCAAAGCGACCACGAATGCTGCTGCTTGGGATTTTCTACTCACATCCAGCCATACATGGCATTGGTCCACACTAGACGCGGTTTCATCAGGGCCAGGGGCACCATGGCGTACTCGCCCTGAAGCCACTCGACCACGAAAAAGGCAATAGTCAGGGCAACCCACAAGACCAAGGTGGCGATGACCGAGCCGTCACTCCACGGCTTGGTCTGGCCACCCCATTGCAGGGCCAAGATGAAGCAAATGAGCGAGCAGAGGAGTAAGGTGAAGCCGGGGAGATCGAGCTGGCGCAGGATTTCGACCCATGTCGCCGGGGGGGGCTTGATGTGCTTTGGCACCTTGAAGAAGAGCACGACCAGTGCAATGACGGGACCGCCCACCGGGAGGTTGATCCAAAAGCACCATCGCCAGGTGACCTCGCTGGTGAACGCGCCTCCAATCAGGGGCCCGATGATGGTGGAGAACATGAAGATCGACATCCACATTCCGATCAACATGGGCCGCTTCTTGGGCTCTGCGACGTAGCTGATCATAAGCACGGAGCCGCCCAGCGTCCCGGAGCATCCCCAGCCCTGCAGCGCTCGACCGACGATCAAGGCCGTGCTGTTTGGCGCGGCAGCGGCCAAGATGCTACCAGCGAGGAAGATGACCACCGAGGTGAGATAGACGAGCTGGGCCGAAAAGTACTTGTAGAGCTTTCCCCACATAGGCGAGGAGCTGCCGACTAGGAGGAAACAGGCGCTTCCATACCAACCGACGTCGTCCAGGCGGTGGAAGCTGTCCGTGATGCCCGGAATTGCCGTGGCGACGATGCCCTAAAGTCGCGCGCACACACACACACATCAGTTATTCTGCCATTTCGCATGGGCCCAGCACAGGGGAGGCGAGGGTCATTAGTACTCACAATATCCAACGCCGCCAGCAGAGTGCTGAGAAAGATCGTGCCCATGACGGCGGCCAGCCGAAACCCTTCAGCATACTCCGGCTCGGGGTCCGCACCACCATCATGCTTCTCCTGAACAGTCGTATCTGGCGTGGAATAGCCGCCGTCAGTCGCGCCGCTCTCTTCCTCCTTGGTCGCCATTTGGAAGCGTGTTCTCGGATTCTTTCTTTTTTTCTTTGGTTGGACTGACTGCTGAGATGGGACTGAAATGCCTGACTGGCTGGACTCGCTGGACTCGCTGGACGGGATACGAGGTGATTGATGCTGTATTCTGGTGACCAACTTTGTTTATACTCAAGCTGCTCCGGGCTGTTTAGTCAGAAGGAGCTCGCCCATTGGGCCATCTGTTTCCACCATGGCCCTGACAGGGATGGCCTCTAGCCATTCTGGGACCATGACAGATCGGCGCGAGCGGATTAGCTGGCGATCTCAGGGTGTTGCTGACCAACCGCCCCGAGCGACTATCCTTTTAACTTTTGGCACTCCGGGGCAATTAGTAATTAGCATCCTTAGGAAGGTTTCGGCCGAGGTTAAGCCAAGCAGGGTGGTTAGCAGTGGCCCAAGCGCAAGGGCCGCGAGTACAGTCAGCACTAGAGATGCAAGACAGACAAGGTGGTGAATTCTATGTGTCTGCCTGTTTAGAATTGTCATTGGCGCCACCTGCATGACGAAATCCATCCCCTGTGCTGGCGTGCTTCAACGAGGATACAGTAAAAACAGTTGAAACACGCCCACCTGGCGACGCGCACCAGGCAGCCCGAGGCTAACTACACGAAATAAAAGTATATGCGCCGTCATGACCGTCAAAACAGCCAAAAAGGAAAAAAGAAGAAAGAAAAAGCAGAGAAATTGTGATCGCGAATGAGCCACCAGTACGTCTGATCTTCTTCCTGAGGGAATAATTGGGAGGAACTGCGAAATGCACTGGCTCGTGCTTGTGTCTTTCGTGGAGGAGCTACCTGCGTCGTCAGACTTTAGTAGTCACTAACTGCATCGTCAGACTTTAGTAGTGACGAACTGCAGCACGGGAGACCACTGAATCCTTCGTTGCTCGGAGAAGCTCCAAGCAGGCAATGAATAGCTGCCATCTCGTCTCGCCCAGCCGATAGCCCAATGGCGGGATTATGTTAGCCGCAACAAGCACGGCCCTTTTTCGTCAAGATTCCACGCGTTCGGAAATCCCCTTTTGCTTTTCCGGCCTGCTTACTTTGGCCAGTTGCTGCAGACAAAGGAGCGGGATCCCAGTCGCCGCTTGTTCAAAGCAGAGAGCCGAGAAAGGGACGACGCCCGCTCGATCCTAAGGACGGCGTGGGAGTACCAGGAGGTGGTACTTTTGCGAGGGGGTTACATTGGAAATACCCGTATCTCTCAACCTTGCCCAATCCCAGAGAGGTCATTGGATAAACCTCAACCTTTCCGGATACGGTGTTAGAGTAGTCATGGAGGCTTCAATCTAATATACGAGTCAACTGCATCCACTTCACGTGTGGAAGGAATGGCCCCCAAGCAGACCCTAGAGGAGTCAACGGCTTCCTCAATATACCACGATAAGAGATTTGACTAGCGCGTCGTATGAATAAATTAGTACGCTCAGTGCCGTTGGAGCCCCCAAGGCTATTGAGATACAAGTATCCACGGGCAAACGCCACCCGCATTTATCAGCAGCCCTGGCCGCCACCGTCTGATCGTCGTTCTGTCGAATGTCTGCACGACTGACTCTGTTCACTCTCCTCGTTGATGCTACAGAGGCCAAATCCATTAAGAAGTACGCTCAGCCCAATCCCCAACGATGCCCACCCTAGACGCCAGTGAGCCCGAGGCCGACCGCAGAGCGTCGCCGGCCCACGCGCCGCCCGTCGTCCGTCGCAGCGCCCTGGGCTGCACCAAACTGCGAGACAGCTGCCACAACTGTGCCACCTCCAAGATCAAATGTCCGAAAGAAAAGCCCTCGTGCTCCAAGTGCGAAGCTCGAGGCATCGAGTGCCAGTACTTCTTTGCCAGGCGCCCGGGACGTCGACGCGAGGACGGCTCCGGGCACCCGACTAGCTGTACCAGCAACAACCGCAACAGTAACAGCAGCAGCAGCAGCAGCAACAGCAGCAGCGGCAACTCCTCCTCCTCCTCCTCATCCTCATCCTCCCCGTCGAATCCAAAGTCCATTCCAGACAAGGACACTCACAGCGCCCTCTCCCTGGCTGGTGACAAAATCGAGGTCGTCGGGCTTTCCCCCCAAGATGGATACGCGGCGAACGGGACAGCCCCCTCCACCAATTCAACTGCGAGCAACGGCTTCCTCAATACACCGGAGAGCTTGATGATAGAAGCGACGCTGACGACCGATAATGTTCTGGGCAAATATTCATCGGACTTCTCTTCCGTGCTGGCGGACTCGACTATGTTTCATTCGCTTTCTGATTTTGACCCCGACCCCAACGACATGGACTTCAGCATGACGGATTACTTTGAACATCCCTCCATCGACGGCGACGGTGCCTCCCGTAGTTTGAATGATATCGGATCGCTTCTCATACCGGACACCACCAGTTTTGGCCTGGCCGCGTTGGAGTCTCACGACCCTCTGAGTGCTTCGTTCGCGGTGTCGTCTTGGGCACCCTCGCTTGCCTCAAGCGTTCCCACGTCGTCCACTACAGACCCTAATACGATGATGATGATGCGCGCGCCCACCCCCGACATATCCTGTGACTGTGAGGCCCAGGCTCTCGATCTGTTAAAGACGCTGTCGTCGGCTCAGTCGTCCCCCACCTCCTCGATTTCCGGCGCGGCTCTGGCGCTCTCGTCAAGCATGACCGCTATGGGCTCTGCGCAGGCTGTATTGATAGAGAATAAGCGACACATTGAGACAGTAAGCAGCCTGCTCTCATGCTCTTCGTGCACGGAGGACGCCTTCTGGCTTGTAATCGTTTCCATGATCGTGCTCAAGATCCTGGAGCGCTACGCCTCTGCGGCACGGATCCAGGTCTTCGGCTCAAGGGCAAGCAGCGTGGAGAATGACATGGGACCGAGGTCAGCAAACAGCATGATCTCAAGCAGCAAGGACCAGATGAGGGCGCTGAGCCGCACATACACCATGCCCCGGGATGACAGCGCCAGTGGTTACGCCCCCGCTCGGCTGGTCCTCGGCGAACTGCACCGGGTGCAACGATTAGTGAATCGGCTGTCGCCAAAGCTAAGAGGACGTAGGGAAGGCGATGCTCGAGGCATGGAGCACGCAATTTGGGGCCGTCTCCAGGTAGCAAATGAAAATGACAAAACGCAATCCACCCCGTTTTCTTCGAATACGTTGGCTCAGATGGAGAGCGATATGCGGAACAGCCTCAGTTCCTTGTCTGCGGATATCATCAACAGACTTCGACAGAATTAGAATGAATGATTAGACTCCTAGGCCCCCTTCTGAATGGGCATTACGGCCGGACCTTTTTTTTCCATTTTCACTTTTCTCATTTTGTTCTTTTTTTTTTATTTTTCTTTTTTTTGCCCCCCAAAGGCATTCACAGGGCGGTTTGCGCTTCGATAGAGACGCTGTATATAGTCATCACTTCACCGACATCATTTTAAATAAAGAACCCAGCCATTGAACTTAAGGGCGATCTGATCCACCAGGTGACCAGAGTAGACTGACTGCACCCAAGTGGACCTAAGCGACAGATGTAATTACTAATTGTCCCTGCATAAATTATGCATGTCTACGTGACATGTATCCCTACTGAGCTCCCAAGAGCATCAAGTGTCAATCCCCTCTACTTGCATATTTCAACTCGAGCGCATCTCTCATTTTGGATGCAGGTGCTGGGGCTGGCTTGCCCCGGGGGAACCCGGGCAGGGGAAATCCCAGTCTCCTGACATACATTCCCGAGTCCCGGTTGCGTTCGAATCGGGGCGTTTTGCTTATATGCGCCGCTGTATGTGCCGTCCTCCAATTGTCCGATGGACGAAACGAGAGACGACTTACAACCCCGAGGGGCCTACTGAGAAATATCCACTTATATGTCCCTCTTTCGTAAAACACAAATGGGTGCTCATCAACCCTCAGTACCGTGCCAAGTGGCCTCGTTGTTTGTTCACAAGTATCGAAAATGACCATCTTAAAAGCGTCGCAGGTGAAATTGTCACCCCAGCACATGGGGTTTGCTCGCATCGACCCCAGTCCTGCCGGTACCATCGAGACGGCAAACGAGCTGCTGCAAAAGAACCACGATAAGTACCACATGTACTTTCGGGATGTCGGCGGCCATAACCACATCGCCCACTCGGTGTTGAGCGTCTTAGCCATGGGCGGCGGCCCCAGGGAGCTGAAGCGGGCCTACGACGACGGCTATGGATACCAGCGCCCCCTGCCGTCCCTGGACCTCCAAGTCGTCGGGGAGCTCAGTGATCCGGAGAAATTTCGGGCCCGAATGCTGAATCTGGATCAGTATACCAATTTTCTGCACTTCTTCGAAAAGGAAATCGATGCCAAGGGCTGGCGGGCCGTCCTGCAAGAATACTGCTTCAGCCGGACGCCTCTAGCAGAAGCCATGTTCTCTCAGCTGTATGAAGGCCTCCTGCATCCCATCATCCACCTGGGTTTTGGCATCGAGTTTGAACAGCCCAGCATCATCGCCGAGGGCCTCGCACACGCCGCCTCACACGACCCGGGCAACATCGATGTCTTCTTCAACCGCAGCGAACAGCTGGCCCAGTCCGGCTCGGTGCCCGCCCGGCCCCTCGTCGAGTTGTATGAGCAGGTCCGCCGCAACGACAAGACCCGGACCGCTGGACGCATGCAAGACGGGCCCTTCCGCCTCCGTGATGGTCCGCTGGCTCGCGCCATGGACGAGATCGTGGGCATTGCGGCCCAGTTCCAGATCCGGCCCGAGGAGTTGGAGCGCGGCACGGCCGAGATGATCAACTGTGCGGCGTACAGCGCTGGTGCGGCGCAAAGACCTGGCAAGGTGCCCAAGATTGACTTCTTCATCATGCACGACGTTACCTGCTCCATCTTCCTGAGCGTCCTGATCAAGCAGTCGTGGATCAAACTGGAGGACAGAGTCCGATTGGTGGAGTGGAAGGCGAGGCTGGACCTGGCGTGGTATGCGGCAAACGGCGCAGCGGAGTTGCGCCTGGAGGACATCTCCGAGTACGTACCCACGGCAAGCAAGGGCATGGACTGGCGCGCGTTGTACAAGGCCGTCAATGAGGTCCACGATGACGGCCATATCGCCAAGTTTGTGCGAGCGCTGAAGAACGGAGAGACCGTCTCGAAGCCCTTTGAGCAGGGGGACGGCGCCGCTTCGTTCCCCATCAAGGGCGACTTGTGGCTTCGGATTGCCCAGATGGGCTACGACACTACCAAGGACGGCCATGATAATAGTGACAAGTGGGTCTGGGGCTCTGGATTCGACCTTGCATGGATGAAGGTGCCGGACTCGAAGTAAATTGCTAGTTGTTTGTAATTTATGCGTCAACAACAATTACAAAAATGTCTTTTCGATTATAGCACAAAAAGATCTGCAAAGGAAGTAACAGTATATCGACTACTCTACGTTGCCCACCTATCGTTCCCTACCTCCTCAACGCCACTTGCTTGTTCGTCGCCCAACGAGTAGCTCCACCCGTTTGCAGGGCAAACTTAGTCCATGGTGATGACAGCCCGAAAGCGAACTTTTCCACTGAGTATAGAATCTAGAAGAATGACACTATTAGCAGGCCATTAATTAAAAAAACCTGTGAACCCGAAACCTACCGAATGCTTGCTGCGCCTGCGAGAGAGGGAACTGCTCGATGACACTCTTGATGTTATTGTTCTCGGCGAATCGAATAGCCTCCTCGGCGTCACTAGGATGGCCACTGGGCCAGAACTGCACTGAAAGGCCATACTTGAGCAAATCTGTGGGATCCAAGGTAAGTTTGCGGGGAAAGCTGAGAACGAGTAGCTTTCCCAGAATCCCCAGGCCTTTCAGCAAGGGAGTGATGGCTTCTGCGGTGGAGGCAGTGGTAATAGCCAGGGCAGCACCACCAAGTGCCGCGAGCTGCTCGCCAGCGTCGCCTTGACTAGAGTCAATATAGTCGTCAGCTCCAAGCTCACGCGCCGCCCCCTCCTTGTCGGCACCGCGTGATATGGCGATGACACGGTATCCCATGTGCTTCGCATACTGAATGGCTAAATGGCCGAGGCCGCCCAAGCCCTGCACGGCAACCGTTTCGCCAGCCTTGATGTTCATGTTGCGAATGGAGTTGAAGACAGTCAATCCAGCACAGAGAATGGGGGCATATGTCGCGGCATCGACGTGGGCCGGAATGTGGACCGCTGATTCGGCGCGAATAATACAGTACTCGGCGTCTACAACAGAAACCATTAGAACGAAAAAAAAAAAAAAAAAAGGAAAAAAAGAACGTAAGTTGCCACGACTTACATCCACCTTCCTTTGTCGCGCCATTGACCACAGTATTGTCGCACATTTGGAACCAGCCTTTCTTGCAAGCCTTGCAAGTCCCATCATGGCCGCCGTGCCAACCCGCTCCAATACGGTCCCCGACGTTCCAATCACCGACGTCACTGCCAACCGCGGCGACCTTGCCAATAATCTCATGGCCTGGTACAATGGGAAAGCCGCCGCCGAGGCCGTTGTATTGGGAGTACATGTCCGAGTAGCACACCCCACAGGCTTCGACCTTAATCAGCAGTTCTTTGGACCCAGGTAGCTTCAGCGGGGCATCCTCCACTGCCAATGGCTGGCCCAGCTCTTTGAAGACTGCCCGTTTGTAGGTTTGTGGGAGAGACATGGTTGGCATGGATAAGCAGATTTGTCTGTGGCAAAAATGGGGGGATTTTGGGAGTACATCTTGGGAAGTGGCTAAGATATACTTCTGGTGTCGGGTTAATTATTAATAGAGCCGGGCTTTATGGAACCAATAGGCATAAACTTTTGGGGTCGTTGAATATTCCTGTAAGGAGATATCCAAGTACCGATTCAGCTGTATTGTATATGTATTCATTATGGCTGTAAAAAGGAAAGAAAACACCACGCCAGGATGCCATTCTCAAGCGTGCCTCTTAGATTAACCCTCTCTAACGAGTCTTGTAGTACAGCCCTGCTTAGTCGATAAGCAGAACGCTAGAAACGTTATATAGGAATATTTACTATGCTCTTCACAGCTCATCCTTGGAATGACCAGCTTGAGCAGTCGAAGCCGCAAACACCTTTTCCGTAAAGCGCCATACGGTTTCGTCCACGCCCCGTTTCCTCAACCCGGCCAGCAGATGCTCGCTATCGGCGCTCTCGCCCTGCGGATCAACTAGGAAGATGCCCCCGCCCGACTTCTTCGCCACGGAGAGCCCTATGGGCACGGGCACGAGGCCGCCATGGACGGCATACCGGTCGTTAGTAGCTAAGAAGAGCGCGCGCTGACCGGCCTCGTCCGCGCTCGTCGGGTTCGGGGGCGACATGCCAAACTTGTTGGCCCGAGCCAGGCCCGGCGTCGCGACAGTTCCCGGGAACCAGTGCACAATGCTAAGGCGTGGGTTCGCCTGCGCAAATCTCTCCAGCGCGAGCGTCCCCATGGTACCAGATTGGATTGAGGAGTTCCAGAAGGACCAGTTTTTCGGATCGCGCAGATCCAAGTCCTTTTCGTTGAGGGGTCCCTCCAGCCCGCCGCCCAGCACCGAGACGACTCGCGGACTCGGTGCGTTGTTGAGCAGGGGAAGCAGCTGCTGCACAAGACGAAGACGCGAGTAATACCGCGTCGTCATGGACGGATCAAGGCCTTCGCGTGTGTCCTTGCGGCCCTCAAAGGCCATGAAGCCGGCCGACATGAAGAGAATGTCAACCTTGGTCTCATTCTCCTTTACTCCGGCGACGATCCGGTCGATCTCGGAGATAAGGGAGACATCGGCCTCGATAAGGTTGTATGTGCCTGTCGGGTTGGACTGGCGCAGCGAGGACAGGAAGGTGTCGTGCGAAGCAACCGCGGATGGGCGAGCGACGGAGTAAATGCGGGGAGAAGAGGCATGCTGAGCGAAATGTTGAAGTGCACTTTGTCCGATGCCGGATGTAGCTCCCATAAAGACTGCGACGAGGCTGGCGGGGAGGCTTCCAACGCCCACATTGGCATGCTGCACCGTTTGGAGAGAGACCATCTTGTTTGAATATTATTTAGAGATGGTCAGGAAGGTGGAAAGCTCTAGCAGTCGGGCTGGATGAGACCCAGACTCTTTATGCCGTCTCTAGCTCCATCCAACACATCTACTACAGGCCCATCACATTTGCCACCCACCCTGGCCCCCTGTCAAAGAGACGGGGCATATTGCGCGGTGTATTTCATAAAGATAACTTTTGTCCGATGCCCGGAATCGCGTCATTGAGACCATCCGGGTCCGGGCCCTTATTTCGCTGGGTTCATATGTATTATGTTTCAAGGCTCTCCGGCTATATGGTCCCACCGTACGTAGCCTCGCATGACTCTCGTGTCTCAGGACACAAGGTATTCAGCATTGACATTCAACATTTGCAAGGGCTTCTATAATGGCGCCGGGTGAGGGAGGCTACCGCCAAATCAACAAGGCTCTTAACATATGTGCCTTTGAAGAATACCTGGAAAGCCAGCAGAAGACCCTGCCCACATTGCCTGATGTCGAGCAGGTTAGCCCGCGAGTAATTCGTGTCCTCGGCCAAAACCCCGGCAAGGCATGTCTCAACCCCTGCTTGCTTGCCCCATAAACTAACGCATCTAGCTTGCAGTTCACACTGCAGGGAACAAACACATTCATCGTCGGGACGGGTTCCGAACGCATCCTCGTTGATACAGGTCAGGGCATTCCAGATTGGGCAGATCTCATCCATGACACTCTCGCCCGCCACGGAATTTCACTCTCCCATGTGCTTCTCACTCACTGGCATGGAGACCACACGGGTGGTGTCCCCGATCTGATTCGCATGTATCCGCATCTCGCTTCGGCAATCTACAAGCACACACCGAGCAAAACACAACAGCCGATCGTGGACGGCCAACTCTTTGTGGTTGAAGGCGCCACCGTGCGTGCATTGCATACTCCCGGCCACTCCAGCGACCACATGTGTTTCATTCTCGAGGAAGAACAGGCCATGTTTACAGGGGATAACATACTTGGACACGGGACATCAGCCGTGGAGCATCTCAGCACTTGGATGGACACACTATACAAGATGCAGTCCGAGGACTGCGTCAAAGGCTATCCTGCTCATGGAATTGTCATTAGCGACTTGCGGATTAAGATCAAGGGCGAGCTGGCTCAAAAGCTGCAGCGCGAACGACAGGTCTTGAAAGCCCTCGTTCGGGCCAAACATGAAGAGAGGGCCCGCCAAGGACGAAGCAACGGCAGCGTGACGGTCAAGCAGCTTGTGACCACCATGTATGGGAATGGGGTGGGGGCAGGGGTAAGGGAGTTGGCGCTGGAACCATTCATAGATGAGGTCCTACGGAAACTGGCTGAGGACGGCGCCGTCGCGTTTGAGATTCGGGCGGGAGTGAGAAAGTGGTTTGCCCTTGAGACCGTCTGACGCAAACAGTTAGACCGACCCAACTAGAGGTCCGACCATTACCATATCTGTCACAGGCTATGGCCTGGGTTGTGGTTATCGGCCATGCCCTCAACCAATAGAACACGCTAGAACGGCGACCGGCAAGGTTAGAGAAGCAGCTAGAAGCTTACGGACATGTAATTAGGGAGGAGAGAGGTTGTCATCTTTCGTATCTCGTTTTTGTTTTCTTTTCTCTTTAAGCTTGCGATGTTTGTCCATACAGGATTGCCAATTGGAAACAACACTACCCACATCCGTCACATGTGACTGTAGTCCACTGTAGGAATAATATGGTTTCAGACCCCAATCCCATACACTTTGGGTTATTTATATAGCTTCAGAAGAGTAGAAGTAGGGTCCTAAATACGCTACATAGTGTACTTGGACATATTAAAATTAATATAGCAGCCAGATCTGCCTTATTTCTTGAGAGGTAGAGGGGCCCTTGACCTCAATATCTGGTTTACAATGTTAGTCTCTCTATCTGAAAGGTTAACTTTGCCTTTTTCCTTTCGACTGCCTGATAACCATTTGAAGGCTTTTCTCAAATATTACCATTTTCAACATCGGGAATAAAGTAATACTGTAATTAACTCTAGCGCTGGCGTTGATCTACCGGCCAATGGGTAGATTAGTTAACTAGTTAGTTAGCTGGCAATGTTAGCCAGAAGATGCTGACTGATCAGCCCGACTGACAGCTGACACATCACCCCGCAAGCCATCGCTGATGCTGGCTGACAGATCAACCCGAGACAAAAGCAAAGCACCCTTCTTCCGACCAACACAGGGCGAACTCGGGGTAAAGTTGATTTCTAATCGACCCGTGGACTCTACAGAACGCCAAGATCATGGAGTAATCCCTGGAAACCCACCACTGCACCGACCAGAGGGAACAGCGAGCGAGTCGCGTGCAGCCAGGACCATCTCACCACGAGCTCTCGCACCGCACCCAAGTCTGCCGGCGGCTCAGATGCCGACATAGATGCCGCTTCCAGCCGAAACAGGGTGTTGTTGGTCGGCGTCATGATGACCCAGGTGAAGGGCACCATGGCTATTGTGGCTACGCCCGCTGCCGCGCAGGTACGCCAATCCTTGCGGCGCGCGGCGCGTTTGTTTAAGCCAATGTATGCGTAGAGACCGCACGTGGCGATGCAGACCGCCGGAAGGATGATATGGCCGTAGTGATAGGTCCGGGCCCATTGACGGACGAGGTGGCCCGAGTCGGTGTCGGTGTCAAGGAAGACGGGGACTGCGATTGCTGAGAGGCACAGCATGGCGCCTGCATTGAGATGAACGTGTTAGTTATGGACCTCTGTGAATTAGAATCCTGCTGCTTGCCTGATAGAGCGGAACCGCTGATTACAGCAGCAGCCTCCACCCCAATCTTGGTCGACTCGCGCGGCGCCATGGTCTTTCCAATGGATCAAATGAGGGGAGTAATGCGACTTGATGCGGCTTTGTGCCGTCGAACAGGAGCTATACCTTCGATCCAATGAGTTATAGCTTTCGGAATTTTCTAGTTTTCGGCCTAAGACTGGGACAATTGCCTTGTCTCGGGAGGAATCAGAGACCCCGAGCCTGTCGTATCACGCCGTAGCCCGCCTTTTCTCTTAGTCTTTCCATAATCCGCTATCATTATGTGTCTTCGTGCTACGCGATCAGGAGCGGAGGAACTAATCAGTCAATCATTGGCTTGCGCCGTTCACCATGACATTCACTGAACCTGAGGTTCCCGAGTCGTCTGGCTCAACAAAGGGCAAGTATCTCTGTCTTACCATCTGCGGTTACCGCAAGCCTGGCATGAGCGAGGAAGATTACCGCAATCATATGGTCAATATCTCAGCGCCAATGACCAAGGGCCTCATGGTCAAATACGGTGTAAAAAGATGGACCCAAGTTAGCGACACACTCTGCCACCTTCTCCTCGTCGACTAACGCCATATTTAGATCCATAACCAAGTATCCACTCGTGCCTTGATGTCTCATCTGTTCGACAGCCAGATGGCCAACGTCGCAGATTTTGACTGCTTCAGCCAGGTGGTGTTCAAGGACATTGAAGACTACAAACGTATGAAACAGGACCCTTGGTACAAGGAGCATCTTATTGGCGATCACGAGAAGTTTGCTGATACCAAGAGAAGCATGTAAGTATCTTTGCTGATTTGACCCCGAAAAAAGGGATGGGGTAATCATGTTGATTGAACGCAGGATGACCATAGGGTGGATTGAGGAGTTTGTGAGGGACGGAGAGGTGGTCGACGGTTTCAAAGAATGCTAGTTCCTATTGCTCGGTTGTTCATATGCGGGCATGTAGATATACAAGGGAAAAATCTCTGCCTATGATAAAAACCCTACTTGGGCCTCGTAACATATGCAGACATGATACTTGTCATTATAGGTAGTCTAACAATAAGCTTCATACTTTATAGTCAGACCCACGATAAGGCCATTCTGTGAACGGAGCTGGTTAGTGATGACAAGTCTCCCAAGGCCATCCCTCGTCGTGTCTATTATGCCTAATAGCTCCGTCATTTCCATTTCGCCCTCATTAGCCAGCTGTAGCATACTGAGGTCTCGCGCACGCGCTACAGCCTCGAAGGTAGAGTCAGAGAGGCTACCGGGCTTGGGAAGCAGGTTTGCCGTCGGGATAAGCAAGATAGCACCACTGGCGCGGAGTATGCCTAGGTAATCTTTCAGCTCAGCCTTGACCATATCCATTCCTTCTGCCCCGGTCGGAGAGCTCATGGAGACCACAGGCAAGTGAAGAATGTAAACAGCTGCATCGATCACAGGCTGAGGCATGCCCGCAGACCGGTACGTTACAGTGATGCTACTGCTAGCAGAGCCGGGTCTAGAGCTGGATTCTGGTTCCAGTTGAGCTGTAAAGTCTCGGGCCAGCCCATTGATCATCTCGCTCGGCCGCAGAGAGTAATGACTCAACGTGGACGATCTCGTGGGATCGATCTGCACAATCAGATGGAGGGTAGGGAACTTCTTTGCGAGATGCTGTGCCATTGAAGTGGACTGCGCACCAACCTGTCACATAAACGGTTAGGGTAATTAATCAACATCTGCGAGTGTGCCGGTCGGATTCGGCCCCGCTCTTACCTCTACTATGAATGCGGTACCGAGGCTAGGCCATTTAAGTTGTGAGAGCATATCCACAATCTCCTTCTCTTGATGCAATCCCACTGCCTGAAGGTAGGCTGACCATTGGCGGCCCAGCTTGGGCCGCTCCTGGATGGCTACACCAAACGGTTGCACGGTGCTTAGCGCCAGGCTATATGCTGTCTCTGTCGGATGCCATGAGCCTCCAAAGCGCTGTGTCGCCGTAGACATCTGCAATGCCGTCGGCGCTGCTAAGTCCGCCATGAAGACTGCGGCGTCGAGCAATGACTGATTGGTGACGAATTGTGCCGAGAGGGGTGTATGAGACACATAGTTTGGCAGGGGCTCCTGAAGGAATCCGCATGTACCCATGAGGCGAATGATCCGGCGCAGCTGGATTTCTGGAACCCCTGCCAAGTCAGCGAGATCTTGCATGGACATGCCCCCCTCGACTGGGATACACGCTAGAATCTGGTATTCCGCAAGCCACTTAAGACAAGCCACCACCTCAACCTAGAGTAACCAAGAAATATCGGTCGTCAGACGAGGTGGAACGGAGAGAGGAGAGGGGGATGCACACCTGGCGAGCAAGATCCTGGATTAACTCCACTGGCCCACCGAGCAGTGTTTTCATCTTGGCCATGCTGGCGTAGATGAGAGTCTTGGCTTTATTGAGGTCTTTGTTTGCCTCGGAATTGGCCCGAAGCTGGTCAGAAGATTCCACATCCCGCTGATGCTTAATATAGCTCTTGATCGCAGTGGCAAGTTGGTCGCTTTGGGCCTGGAGCTTCGTCAATTCGTCCATTGCGACGCTAGGGATTGGAGCACCGGGCGTCAAAGATTTACGCCTCCTTAACTTGGTTGAAAATAGCCTCGAGAGCTAGGGCCTCGCGCATCTATCGCGTCTATTTCCACATCACCTGTGACCTGGTATCTAAGCGTAGCCAGCAGGCAGAGACACCAATATATAGGCTGACGCTACCTGGCAAGATGAGTCAGACTGGTACAAAATTACCAGATAATCCCTGTATGTCGCGATTGTCGCCCATCCGGTATCCCCTGCAAGCTCGGCACTAGGCTGAACCCATATGATGGACTTGGAATCCCGCCTGGGGTATTGTCCCATCCCATGATTCCCATGGGAAACGCTTTTTTGATACCCATCACTTGCCAAGAGATAAGGGGAGGGACGCCGATGATGGGGATTCGGGGTTAGATATTCCCATTCCCCGTTTCTTGCGGCACGTTCCGGAACATACTTGCAGATAGGATCCTTTCTAACTCTTGAACTGATCAGAGAGAAGTCATTCATTCGTCAGCTCTGGCGCGATAGTAAACAGTCATCATCATTCATTTCTTCCCTTGATGAATTGCAACGAAAGGATAGTGACTAACTAAAGGAAACTGTTAAAGCAAGTTAGCATATAAAACCAGTTCTTAAGTGCACCCAAAGAGTTTAGCAACATCTAAGGATAGGGTCTGACTAGAGTGTAGCTACTCGGAAGGACGCTCCCATTACACAAGCGCATTCCGTTAACTTTTAATCAACAGGACTTAATCGCTCATAGTAATGGGTGAATATATATAATACGAGGACTAGAATTCTTTTTATTAAGCTAATCTCTAGCCTGAAAGATGTCTCCACCATAGAGAGTTAATTGCTCTGTTGGTCACTCTGTTGGATGGGTTACATTGTTAACCTCTTTTTCAATTGGGGAAATGTTCCTGTACGGCGACTCATAATGAATTAGACTGGTCGTGGGTTGGGTTTGGGTGGATCCGCATGGGGTCTGATCCAACCCACATGGGTTTTGTGTAACCCATGCCATCTATAATCCGCATTGAAATCCGTGCAGGTTGGATTGCGGATACCCATACTATCTAGTTAGGTAACCTCTAGTATTCAGATTACTACATATTTTTCTAGTATTCTAGCCACACCACTAAGATATCTATATATTTTATTTAATAAAATGATAATTTAATATATAAATATTTATATATTACCCATTACATATGGTAGAATAGCCTTATATAGGGGAGTAGTGATGCCCCCTAAGCATAAGATAAATGGTGGTGCGGAGATATATATATCTTACCACTATTATTCTGATCCCCATTATCTAAAATCTAAAACCCACCATAACTTTGATTTTTCTTTGTGAATCTAATATTTTATCTAATATATAGATGGATATAATCATTCTCTATCTATATATATAAAAATATATGCCTATCTAGGCCTAAATTAGTCTAGATCAGTCAGTTTTTAGAAGTCCTTAATCACGTGCACCTAATGATATGGGTTGGATGCCATCAAGACATACCCATGTGGGTTGGGTATGGATTTGCAGGTTGGGTCAGCCAGTCTAGGTTCATACAAGTCCGTTCAAAAGGAATGATACCACGCGATATAATTAATATTGCTTAAATCCATCTTGCTTCGCCCGTATGATTTCACTTCTTAATACCCTAATTCTATAGGCGTGATTTAATCATATGTGCAGTAAGCTGGATCCCGTTCGGGCCGTTCCCACATTAGTCAAGAAGGAATGTTTGGAGAGATTAGATACAGGTACCATTTTCATATAGATCAATCAGCCCAGCCTCGTAAGGCTCAAGGTTAATAGAAGGATGAGGCATTATAGGAATGCTTTGTCGTACGGACAGAAATGTTGAACTTAGTGTTGATAAGATGATAAAGGAGACCTGTGGGGGAGAAACATACAGAATCTCATATGGGCGGAATCACCGGCGGTCTACATACTCTGAAATCCAAACCACGTTATTTCGGTTTTGTTCGGATGTTCCAATGGCTTGCCGTGCTTTGGCAGGCACCCATGCCACTGTTTTGTGGACTGCGGTAGCACTGCAGCGCGAAGCCTTTTCGGCTTCCCCAGCCAGGTCCCACCCAATAGTGACCAGCCCTGAGGCGCTAACATCTGTGCATCAATGCCTCAACGCACCCTCAACTCAGGAGGGCACCAGCAAGTCACCGGCTCTCCAGTTTTTACGTTGCACTTTTTCGAACATATTTGGAAATAACTCTTGTAACTGTATGACTAGCTATGGCAGCTTCTACGTGCCTCTTAAGAACCAAACACCTTCATCCAGTCGTACTTCTTGACGTAGTCCCCCACAGTATCGAGAGATGGGGGCGAATTCAACTAATCCCATATATAAGCAGCCACTCGCGACATTGCCAAGCCAGGATTAACTTACATCTCGGGGGTGGATTACTGTAGGGTCGTCCCTGCCCTCATACCCGAACTCGTTCCAATAGGCCATGTTGTCTTCATGCTCTGCCTTCAACTCAGTCGGAATAGAAGGGGGAAAATACCCTTTCGGTAGAGTGACAACCTCTGCCTTCATTCCTGTAGCCTTTTTTAATGTCAATGCCAGCTCTCGTGTAGTGAGCCATTCTCGATAGCTAATAAGTTTCTTCCCAGCGGACTCTTGTATAAGAGCTTTGACTAAGGGCTCTGTATCTTCCTCGGCGGCAGCAAATGGGAGTTTGACGTCTGGGTCCACGTGCACGATAAATTGAACTACTCCATCAGAGTTCTTGAAGATGTTAGCTTTATTCGCTAAGTGTAGAAACTATGCTCGAAAATGCTTGTCTTGATGGGTGGACTCATCCAGTTCAAGGTATAGTTACTCAAATAAAGTCCTGCTTGATAGATGCTGGTCTTTGCCCAGAGGTCCGGGTATGTTTCTCTGCTATACACTTCTGCCTTGGCTTTTGAGTCAAAGTGGTACACGTGAGTGTACTTCCCCTTTGACCATTTTGTGGCGTCCGATAGAGAAGAGAGTATAAATCGCTGCCAAGCTGGGGCTTTGGCGACTGCGTCGATAATGTTCTTCAGCAGTTGTGTTTCATGCTCACCCGCCCAGATGATCAGAGGCTGACCGGCTTGGCTTTGTCCTTATTGGCAGGGTCACCGTGCAGGCCCCAGAAGTCACTCACAGCGAAGACGGTGTTTGCACCCTCAAATGCCGCCGATAGTGTAGCAGGTGTGTCGATGTCTGCTTAAACAATCTCAGCGCCTCGGGCTGCCAAAGCCTGGGAATTATTACTAAAGGTGTTTCGAGTTAGGGCGCGAACTTTCCAACCTGGTTCCTCGAGGAAGACGCTCGCCAAAAAGCTGCCTTGATTGCCAGTGGCTCCGACGGTAACGATGAATTTTGAGGAGGACCTTGTGGAAGCTTGATCGATTGTGAAGGTACACTGAAGATTCTGCTTTTACCAGACTGCTTGACTCGTGGCCCCTTTTTATGTCTTCTACCCGTAGTTTTAGTTAAGTCATGAGGAATTCTTCGCTTACAAACTCATTTGATTTATCAGCCAAGGAAGCAGAGAATAGGCGGACTTTGAGGCTTTCAGCGCATAGTCCAGAGACCCACCATTGTACGGCAAGACATTGAGAGAAAACAGGATACGAAAATGGCCCTGGGTGGAATGTGTGGATGTTTTCTGTTGGCAATAATACATATCTCTGCCTTGTCACTCATACAATCTAAGCATCGATAGATGTACTGTACAGTGTTTTTCTTATTGTCTGATACGGGAAAATACGACAAAAAAGTAAACTCCATAGCTATAGCCTCTTATACAGAAGCCACTTAATATGGTGGCTCTCGGATGTCTTCCATTTTGGTTTAGTGGTATCGCGAGCTTGACAAATTAATAATATTAACTTATGTGGCACAAAGATAAAACTCCCCTCTATCAAAATTCTTCGACATTATGAATAGGAAAATGTTACAGGAAATCAAGACACACTTCTCCAGTCTTCCGCCAAATGGGAAGCGTTCAATTGCGGTTGACTACTGGATATCTCCTTTACCCAGGCATTTATAGCCATCACTGACTACATCCTGGACCCAGAGTGGAACTGTTATGAGATACTTCTTGAACTCGAGCCTCGGTATAATGCATATAACAGGAGTAATCTAAGGCCAGTTCTCTCTATAACCCTTCAGGAACATAACGTTACAAACCATATCTTATCCATAACTGACATGTAAGGGCCTCATATAAAGCATGCAAACCTCTCAACTAACACTGCACCCTCTATAAACAACTAGCGAGAACGCGTATCTACAGAGGTAACTATCAATTGCATCGGCTCCTCTCCTCTAATTGCTCTCCAGTAATTGCTGAACTTAACCAGCTCTTCACATCCTTCCACCACCCATGGCCATTTCTTCAGGAACCCTGGGGTAACCTCCCAGCTCTCCTTCATATGCGGCTCTCCCCATACGATCAATCCGTTTCGACCTGAGGTTACCGTGTCATCGTAGTCTTCTTGAATTAGGATTTGGCCAACGTTGGGACCCAATCGTCTCGGGCTATGTGTGAGAGATTGATTGTCGTTAACCGCCTCGCCAACAAGATCCCTTAAAAGCTCCAAGGGATCGAAGTAAGCCTCCCATCTAATCAGATTATCACGGATCTCAGGAAAGGGAAACATATCAATCCAGTTGGAGTGGAAACTGCTCATTTGCAAGGGTGTTGGGAGAAGTGAGTTTGGGATTTGAGGATGGAGCGGGCGTATAACTATGAGACCATCACAAAGTTGCCTGCCACTGAATACATTGTCAATATGGTCGGGCTGGAAAACTATCGTTGATAAATGTCTCAAGACACGCTTGTTCGAGTTCAGTGCTCGGAACACGTTAAAATGGATAAGGTGAAGTAAATGATCCGAAGGGAGCATCAACGGGATCTCAGAGTCTGTGTCCTGCTGACTCTTTAATATATTGTTGAAGCGAGCGCTGTGGTAGCTGGGGTTTCTACTAACTTTGTCTTCTTTTGCTGGTTCATGATTTATGCCTAATGTGATGGCCTCTGAAATGTTGCTAGTGGGACTTTCGATTCGCCAACGATCCACTCGATACGGACGTTTTCCAGTTCGTGGATTTTGAGCCCTTTTCTCACTCATGCGTTGCCCTAATAAGACGGGTAAATTACTGAGTCGAAGGCAGTACGCGTTAGGCCACTCACGATGATTTCTTTGATTTATCCGATTCTGGATTTTCTTTCGCTGCTTCCTAACGTCGATGACTATCTGGTCCTCGGTTGCCGGTCGGCTCGCCTCAAGGCGACGGGAAGGGTTGGTAATCATCACCTGAGGGTTGTATCACAATGGTTGTTGGTGTGCTTGTAAAGGGTTCGGAGAATTGTATGAATCAGGAGAAAATGGTCAGCCTCCTGTGGAATCCCCTGCGAGATATAGGTGGCATAGAGCATTAAGGTTGGATACGCTAGTCCAGAAGAGGCGAAACCTGTCAGCCGACCTCCACTTAGTTAACTAAGTTTGAAGAGTTTGTAATCATAAGCCAGGATTTGTAATTAGAATGGTTGTTATGCATTTAAGAAACCGGAGAATTGTGTGAATCAGGAGAAAATGGTCAGCCTCTTGCGAAAATACTGCAAGATATAGGTGGCAATGCTTAGAGCATTAAGGTTGTGCAAATATACACTAGTCTAGAAGAGGCAAAATCTGTCAGCCAACCTCCACTTAGTAAACTATGTTTAATACCTATATTCATCCGAACTTCCGAAGGCAACAGGAAGAGTTTGTGATCATAAGCTAGATTATAATTATAATAGTTGTTATGCTTTTAAGAAACCGGAGAATTATATGAGTTAGGAGAAAATGGTCAGCCTCTTGCAAAATACTGCGAGATATAGGTGGCAATGCTTAAGAGCATTTAAGGTTGTGCAAATATACGCTAGTCCAGAAGAGGCAAAATCAGTCAGACAAACCTCCAGGACTACTCACTCCACTCTCTAGGTAATCAGAGTCCATTGTGATAGTAAATTCAGTTGCTAAGGTCTGATTCAAAGATTTCTTTGAGAAGTTCAATTGCTTTGAAATACAGAACATGGATCAGTCACTAGGGGTGCCGGGAGTCTGCAGCCACAAAGAAAAACATAAATAGTTCGCCGATGCTCCCAAAAGCCAAAACCAAGAACTCATCTGAATCAATCTATCTATATCATCACCGGTTCCAAGCTTCCAAAGTTCTTTATTCAATCACAATGTCTCGATATGCAGAACTTCATCTGAGTCCTAATGGCCCAGGCGACGCTCGTCCAACAGCCCTTCAGATCATCAAGGACGAAGCAGTCGAGGGCAAGCTAGCCGGGAAAGTTATCGTCATCACAGGTACTTCGTCTGGAATAGGGATCGAAACAGCTCGCGCTCTGTCTTTGACTGGAGCAAGGCTGTTGTTGACGGCACGGAACCTGGACAAAGCGAAGACTGCTCTGGACGGCATCCTTGAACCAGGGCGCATCGAGCTTGTTGAGATGGACAATACATCCTTGAGCAGTGTGCGTGTCGCTGCGAACACCATTCTCCAGAAGTCGAACGGCCAAGTCAACATCCTAATCAATAACGCCGGCATCATGGCTCTGCCCAAGCTGGAGTACACGAAAGACGGCTTTGAAATGCAGTTTGGAGTCAACCACCTTGCCCATTTCCTACTCTTTGAGCTCTTGAAGCCAGCTCTTCTCGCCAGCGCCAGCCCTTTATTCTCATCTCGAGTTGTTAATGTCTCCTCTTCAGCCCATCACGTATCCTCGATCAATGAATCAGGCGACTACAATTTCGAGAAGACTGAATATAATGACTGGGTTTCATATGGGCAATCAAAGACAGCCAATATCTATATGGCTAACGAGATCGAGCGGCGCTACGGATCGCGAGGACTCCACGCTACCAGTCTTCACCCTGGCGCGATCGCAACGGGGCTTATGCAGCATGTGGACCCAGCAGTGATTGAAGCAATGAAAAAGGACGAAAAGTTGTACAAAACAATGAAATCGCCAGAGCAGGGTGCTGCAACCACGGTGTGGGCAGCGATTGGCCGAGAATGGGAGAATAAGGGTGGAGAATATCTTGCTGATTGCGGAAAAACAACTCGTGGAAACGACAACCACGAGATCACCGGTGAAGGGTTTGCAGGACATGCTTATGATCCCGTGAAAGAAGCCCGGCTCTGGAAAGATTCATCAAAGATGGTGGGGCTGACGGACGATCAGTAGGTTATGCTGGACAGAAGCAGCAGGGATGTTGAGGTCCTTTCACTGTTTCTACCTGATTGCTCTTGTCAGCTGCTGCTATGTCTTCAGACTATGCCGGGCTAGATAGTTTAGTTTAGTATAGTGGGAATGAATCATACACTCTATAAAGTACACTCTATAAAGTTGTGTTCGCTCTACTGTCGGATCATTGCAAGTATAGGCTACATCATTCTGCTTTAATGGGGAAATGTAGTCGTAGGCCGTATAACGATGCATGGCGGTAAAGTAGCTGCCTGAAACTTATCTTGCGGCCCATAGCCGGTTCAAAGCGGGTTCAGTGCAGGTCCAGTGGGTTAGGTCCCCAACTCTGCAATTTTAAGGGCCGCCTGTCCCGCTTAATGATGTCAGGACCTTACACATGATAACCAAGCATCATTTTTGCAAGTAATGATGGACCTGGAAAAGCACCGGGCGTTAAGGATGGTATCCTTGATTGGAGAAAGATAAGTCTGCTATTCAGCCGCAATGACGGCTCGACACAGGCTTTGCGATACTGTTCCCACTGTTCGATGTAATCATCGGTCAAGTGGATGAACGTGCAGAAAGTTGATGGCCCAGAAATATCTCTTTGAAGTCGAAAACGAGTCGTCATCTAACAGCCTGTCGGCCAAGTTCTCTGGGTCCTGGAAAAACTGGTGATTGTCGACAACCTCCTCCAGTGCTTCTAGAAGAGTTCGCCAGCGTTGGGAGACATCCTGGAGGGCGCGACACACATACTGTAGCGACTGGGCCATAAGCAAAGGCGCGGTTTGCTCCGAGTAGGACTTCTCTGAGGGCCAGAAGGCAGTTGGCGTTAGGCAGACAACCGTCCAGTGAATTGCCCCATCATCCAGCCATTTAACCTCCGACGGGATGGTCATCATCTAAGGAGTCTATAGACATCAACCTTCAAGAAATACCGTGCAGTCAGAAAGACTCACGGTGAAGCAACCTTTTCGGAGATATCTCGAATCCTCCCTGCCATAGAACGGGTATGTATCCCACGAGTCGCGCTGTGCGAGGTCGCGGAGACGAATCAACTCGTAGAAGACGATATGACATGAGAGAAACACCTTCTACCTCGCTAGACCCTGCTTGTGGCCCACGCAGTGTGCAACTGAGATGCAGAGCAAAACCGTCGGCAAGCACCTCGTCAAACTCATTGCCTTTTGTGATGTAAGGGAGGGTCGATAAATGATCGAATGGCTCTGAATGATTCCACTGACTTTTCTTTTGGTGCACGGGGACAGTTGAGAGGCCCTGGCTCACTCTGGATGTATATCAGTTGGTCAGCAAGGTGATTCTGTCCTTCGAATCTCTCTTCCTTTGCCCCACCACACCCTTCTTTTCTGGGGTTTGCCTCGTTCGCTGATACAATAACTTACAGCCATCACATGCGTTGTCTTGTTTGTCCTTCTCCTCTTTACATGTGAAAGTTGACCTACTACACTTCTCTCCCGGCTGTTCGAGCATCTCCAGTCAAAGGTCGGAAACTTGGACATGGATATCCCTAATAACGACCACATTGGCAACAGGCGAGAGCTTGTCAAGGTTATCTTGATGCGGCCGGCGCGACTAGGCGTCACAGAGCCCATTATCATACTGGTCTCAATCTTGAGCGCTTCAGCATGGGGGATGATGTATCTCTTCACGGAGTCATTCTCAGTGGTCTATAGCGAGTTTGGCTGGAGTTCGAGGGCAACCTCGTTACCTTTCATAGTCCTGTTCCCCGGCATTCTTGCTAGCGGCTTAGTGCGGTTCTGGGATCATCATCAACTGAACAAAAGGCAGAAGGGAGGAATATCTCCCGAACCAGAGGACAAAATCGGTGGATTTGCCATTGCCGCTCCAGCCCTTGCCATCGGGCTCTGGATCTTTGGCTGGACCGTTCCCCCTCTTGTCCATGTGCCGTGGATCGCGTCGATGTTCGGCCTGGTGTTGATTGGTTTTGCGGCGACCGAATTCTCATATACCCTCAGTGGCTACATCGCCGACGCGTATACCATTTACGCTTCGACGGGTCTCGCGGTAGTTTCATTTCTGCGCGGCATTGCATCGGCCTGCATGCCCCTGTTTGCGTATCCGATGTATTCGGGGCTCAGATCAAATGTCGCTACCAGCATCATCGCCGCTGTGGCGACCGTATTCGCCTTTACGCCCTTTCTGTTCCTGAAGTTTGGAAAGCAGCTGAGGCAGAAGAGCCAATTTGCACGATACAGTGCGGACGTCAATGAGCAGCAAGGGGGAAACTGAGTGCAGGCAGAGAAGGAATTGGGACGAGGAGCGTTTCCACTACGTAGCGTTGTAGACCAGTGTCCTGAATGTTTATTACCATAGATAGGTTAGCAATCGGGCAAGATAACTATGATCATTTAGATGAAAGCTCAGATGCACTTAGTCTAATTCATATGAAATCTCTACTCTAGCTAAGATCTGTATACCAAATCCTGGTTCTTTTGCGAAATCAATGATATCAAACACGTACAATTCCTATTGGGCTTTTCTTTTGTTTAGCGAGTGACAAGGAAGCAAGGCATCCTCTGTGCGGCCCAATGATGTTTTGTCTTTTGCCGCCCCAGCCTCATGCCTCTGGCTAGCACAAGGCTGAGCTTTAGTGGTTAATATTATATTTATGTTTTCAGTCCGCCCCTTTTTTTAGAAAACGAGTCAGATTCAACTAGCCTCCCCTTCCGCTTTTCAGTTTATTACGAATGTACACTTTCTGGTGCCTAGAGCAGAACCCTGTATTGGTTCTACCAGATAACCAACATGGCTATCCCTGGGCGCGAGGAATTTCAGATTGGTTGGATCTGTGCCCTACCCATTGAGGCGGCCGCAGCCAAGGAGATGCTTGATGAGGATTTTGGAATCCTTGAAGAGCAAGATGCTGCGGACACAAACTCTTATAGATTGGGTCGAATTGGGAAACACTACGTCGTGATCGCCTGCCTGCCCGGAGGACAATATGGAGCCTGTGCAGCTACAATGGTCGCCAATAACATGGTCCGTACGTTCTCAAAATCGTTACGGATCGGTCTGATGGTCGGTGTTGGCGGAGGAATCCCATCCACCGACCATGACATACGGCTCGGTGATATTGTGATTAGCTGTCCGACAGGCAGTTATGGAGGCGTGGTTCAATATGATATGGGCAAGGTCACTGCGAACGGTGTATTCTGTCGAACCGGGTCTTTGAACAGTCCTCCCAGATCATTGTTAACAGCAGTTAACAATATGAGGGCTGCTGAGCTCACTGATGATCCCCGCTATCCAGAATATCTCCAAAGAGCGATCAGGAGGACCAGACGGACCCAGATAAACTTTGGCCGACCCAGTCCACAGAGCGATCGATTGTTCAAAACCAAGCACGAGCATCCTGCTACCGAGAAGAACTGCGATATGTGCCAAAGAGAATGGGAAGAGACTAGAAGTGAACGGGACAGTGAGGATCCACTGCCACACTATGGTATTATTGCTTCGGGAAATTCTGTTATCAAACACGGTTGCAAAAGAGAACAGCTCCGTTTGGAATCTGGGGCACTGTGTTTTGAGATGGAGGCAGCAGGCTTGATGTTAGACTTCCCTTGCATTGTTATCCGTGGCATCTGCGATTACTCTGATTCGCACAAGAACAAGCAGTGGCAAGGTTACGCTGCCTTGGCGGCGGCAGCATATGCCAAGGAGTTGCTGGAATATGTGCCACGGGCTCAAGTCTCGCAAGAGAATCTTGCAGTAGATATATGCAGTAAGTAACGTCCATATTAGCCTAATATTTAGAAGAGCACATGATTTACTTATCACCATATAGGCTCCATAGAGAATCTAACTCAAGAAGTCAAAGGCACAAATCAACGACTGGACATAGCATACTACCAACAAGAACAGCACTATCGCGAACAAACAGCCAGGGCCCTGACCGAACAGCAACAGAAGTGTCACCAAGTATTTAAGACATCGTACTATGAGCAGCATAAAGACATTAATCCAGGTCGTTCACCAGGGACCTGCCAATGGGCTTTCCAAAATCCACATTATCTCCGTTGGTGGAATAGTTGCTGCAATGATGTTCTGTGGATATCAGCCGACCCTGGCTGCGGAAAATCTGTACTGGCCAAATCGCTTATCGATCATGACTTCAAAGCATCTATTCCAACAGTGTCAATTTGTTACTTTTTCTTCAAGGACAATGATGAGCAGAACAATCTTGCCACAGCATTATGTGCCATACTCCACCAGATCTTTAGCCAGCAGCCGAATCTCTTACGCCATGCATTACCGTCGTGGGAAAAGAATGGGAACAAGCTCCAGCGAGATGTCAGTGAACTTTGGCGGATCTTTATAGCAGCGACATCGGATTCCACATCAGCCAATACTATTTGTGTGCTCGATGCCCTTGATGAATGTCACCCGAATGATCAGAAACAACTCCTTCAGAGACTCGAGGGCTTCTACCATCAAACTGATTTATCAACCCACGAAACCTGGTTGAAGTTTCTGATTACCAGTCGTCCCTATGACGAGATCAAGGACAGTTTCAAAGCTATCACAGATTTCTTCCCACATATACATCTCAAAGGGGAGGAAGAAAACGATCAAATCCATGAAGAGATTAATCTCGTTATAAAGATTAGGGTGAAGGAGCTAGCTGAAACGGCATTACTATCATCGGATGTACAACAGCAACTTGAGCGCCAACTTCTTCAAATGGAACACCGCACATATCTCTGGTTACATCTGGCTATTGATGATATCCGTACTACATTTCAAAACAGCTTTTGGCCCGCCGATGAACCAATTCTACTGATACCTGCATCAGTGGACGCGGCATATGAGAGAATCCTTGGTCGAGTTCCGTCCAACCAAGTCCACACAGTGAGGAAGATCCTTCAGATTATTGTTGGTGCACGGCGTCCCTTGACAACACATGAGATGGCTATGGCATTGGGTATAGCTTTATCGCCGAGGTCGCAAACCGCGGCAGAAGCTGGAATCAATTCAGCAATATTAGCCGAGAGGATACGACAACTGTGCGGTCTATTTGTCTTTATCAACAATTCAAAAATATACCTTATCCATCAGACAGCCAGGAAGTTCCTTATCAACGGGGTTTTTAGAAATCCCAAGTCCATCTATGCTTTCGAGCAAACTGACGCTGAGAAACTGATGTCTCAGGTCTGCATACGATACCTGTTGATGGATGATGTGGGACAAAGTGAAAGACAAACAGATACAGACAATCAAAGTCTTCTGGAATATTCATCCCTGCATTGGCCAGACCATGTACGAAACATATCCCTGGCGCAGCAACAGGAGATTGACGATCTGTTACATCACATATATGATACAGCCAAACGCCATTTTGCAGTTTGGTTCCCAATTTTTTGGGGCACTATGACAAACACTGGGCCTTTGTCATTTAGTGCATATATTTTATCCAAGGTCCCACATATGAATCCAATCCATCTGGCAGCTTTTAACGGCCATACGCATATGGTCCGGAAATTACTCGCTGGAAATGAAAAGAATATTAATAAGGGAGATGGTACCGGATCAAACGCATTGATGTGGGCCTCAATGAATGGATACAAAGAGGTCGTTGAACTGCTGCTGGAACATGGAGCTGATGTCAACGCCCAAGGTGGAAAGTATGGCAATGCACTGCAGGCTGCCTCATTTCAAGGACATGAGATGATTGTACAGATGCTATTAGAACACAGAGCTGATGTCAACGCCCAAGGTGGAAGGCATGGCAATGCACTGCAGGCTGCCTCATTTAAAGGACATGAGAAGCTTATACAGATGCTATTAGAACATGGAGCTGATATCAATGCTAAGAGTGGATGGTTGGGCAATGCACTGCAGGCTGCCTCAGTTCAAGGACATGAGAAGATTGTACAGATGCTATTAGAACAAAAAGCTGATATTAACGCCCAAGGTGGATGGTCAGGCAATGCACTGAAGGCCGCCTAATTTCAAGGATATGAGACGATTGTACAGATGCTATTGGAAAACGGAGCTGATATCAACGCCCCGGGTGGAAGGCATGGCGGCAATGCATTGTGGGACGCCTCAGCAGAAGGGCATGAGAAGGTTGCAAAGATGCTATTAGAACACGGAGCTGATATCAACGCCCAGGGTGGAAAGTATGGCAATGCACTGCAAGCTGCCTCATTTCATGGACATGAGATGATTATGCAGATGCTATTAGAACACGGAGCTGATGTCAATGCCCAGGGTGGATGGTTTAGGCAATGCATTGCAGCTCGCCTCAGCTGAAAAGCTTGAGAAGACTGTACAGATGCTATTGGGACATGCTATTAGGACATGGCTCTGATGTCAACGCCCAGTGGAGAGAGTTTGATAATGCACTTCAGGCTGCCTCACTCAATGACATAGGAGGATCGTACAGATGCTCCAAGCAGTAAATCTACCCGCGAAGCGGACAGCCTTGTGATTTTCCTTCTAAGAGGTCAAAGATCTCTTAATGAACAAACAATATCTCTTATAGTGTGCTTTAGTAATGCTCCACCTTTGTGTATACTTGCCGCATGGCTTTCCTTTCTATTGCCTGACTATCCTAGACTCTAGATAGCAACAATATTTGTACCTCCCATATTGTGCCCTGAATATGGTTACATCGGCCGCACTACAGGTCCAACAGTATACCCTGAAAATTCGCCAGTATCCAGCTTTGTAAAGGTCTTGGCTCGAGATATGCTATCTAGAATCTAATCGATCAAAGGTGATGGATAACGGGCCAGTTTCGTGATGAGGTCGACCTTGTGATCGTCCACCCAGAAACAGGGTTTTCCAGACTATTTCCTCACTATCAAGATTGACGATGTAAATGACGCATTGCTTGGGATGATGAAAGCTTTGTGTGCAAGTTGTCAATGATGCTTCAAATCGCCCATCAAAGATTCGCTGAGACTCCTGACACTCTTGCTCGAAAACAAATGATCGAAAATGTTGCCGAGTCGGTAGATATCTACGCTAGCATCCCTGAAATCACTTCGATTTTTCCCCAGATCGCATCCTTCTCGGCCGTGCTGAAAACAGCCCATTCACGCGCCGAGATATCGGCAAGCAGTGAGCTCGAGGTTTTGTAGAGCATCCTTCCCTCCTGGTTTCCATCACTCCCACCCATCTTTCCAGACTTGGCTGGTCATTATCGTAGTCTATGGACATGGTTAAACAATGAAGTCATGCATGTGAAGGAAACACTAATGGTGTAACTATATAGAGCATCATTGGATGAGAAGAATCAGATCTTCGTTGATTTATCATCTGTATGCGAAATACTAGCGATTCCTGAATACTTATCATTGTATTCTGGCGCGCAAAAGGGGGAACTGGGGTAATTGTGAAGGTGCATATCTCGCCTTACATCCCATTTCGGGACTAGCGCGCCTGATCACCTCCCCTGCGTGGAGTCTTGACTTCTTCGTTTCTCCTCTTCTAGATAGTATCGGTATGATCGATCGGTTTTTATCATGACATTTGGATCACGCACGGAATTTGGAGAAAGGTAACAACTGTAGGGTGGAAAGTGGAATGCAGGGGTATTGTTACGGAATGTTGTTGAAAATGTAGAGAAGTCCCAATTTGGAGAACCACTTGCTTACTTGGGATTATGTTGGGAGCGTAATCTAAAAAAGATAACTAATGTTTTGTCCACCGTCTGTACTACTGTTAACGTCATTGGGGTTGGGCTATACTTGGCAAAAAAGCCACTTTTGCATTACCAGCTCGACCTTACCATGAGTTACCATCCTACGCGTTGAATTGATACGTGGAGCCATGCTTCTGTCACTTCTGTTGCAATTGCTGCTTCTAGAAGTGCGCGCTGTTCTGAGCATTGAGTCAGGTCAGTATACCCACCTGGTCGATGCGGATAGTTCCGGAGATGCGGAGTTCGACTATGTTGTTGTTGGCGGCGGCACTGCTGGGATTGTCATCGCGACGCGGTTGGCGCAGAAATCGCTGAAGGTTGCCTTGGTCGAGTCTGGAGGATTGTACGAATCAGTATCCGTCGCTGCTATCCCCGCTGCAGACGTGATTCCCGTCGGATCGGATCCTAATACGAAGGCCTCTTTTGACTGGGGGTTTGTTGCAAACAACATCCCTGGTGCCAATGGAAGGTCAATTCACTATGCACGGGGAAAATGTCTGGGAGGATCGTAGGTTGCTCTACCTGCTGAGAGGATATGCCGTGCTGAACAGGCTTGCAACAGGTCGGCCATGAACTTCATGATCTATCAGCGGTGAGCTGGAGTTGGCTAAGATTGGCAAAATAAAGCTGATTGGTAGCAGACCGACACGCGACTCGATGGAGGTTTGGGCGACAGCAGTCAACGATAGCAGCTACACGTTCGATGAGGTCCTGCCTTACTACAAGAAAAGCGTACAATTTACGCCTCCAAACACAAAAACTCGGTTTGTGAATGCAACAGCGGGCTTTGACGCAAGCGCGTATGAACCCGAAGCTGGCCCGCTCCAGGTATCCTACCCGAATTACGCCATGCCCTTCTCAACCTGGATGAAACGCGGAATGGAGGCGATAGGAATAAACGAAATCGAGGATTTCAACGTGGGCTCTTTGATGGGAGCTCAGTACTGCGCCGTAACTATCAAGCCGACCGACGAGACTCGGAGCAGTTCTGAGGCCTCGTTCCTGGCAACTATCAACGCCACTACCCTAACTACATACTCAAACTCTTCAGCTAGGAAGGTCCTTTTCGACGGGAATAAAAAGGCAACAGGCGTCCAAGTCAAGGGCCCCGATGGTAACACATTTACTCTGAGCGCAAAAAAAGAAGTAATCATCCCTGCAGGCGCCTTTCAAACCCCGCAGCTGTTGATGCTGTCCGGGATAGGGCCAAAGGATATTCTTCAGCAACATAATATTGATCTGCTCGCTGAGAGACCCGGAGTTGGACAGAACATGTGGGATCACCCATTCTTCGCGCCGACGTACAGGGTCACAGTAGACACCTTCGCTAAGATAGCTCCGGCCCTCTTGGGACTGGTTAAGGATTACCTTAACTCGAAACAGGGACCGTTGACAAGCCCAGTGGCGGATTACTTGGCTTGGGAAAAGATTCCGAACAGTGTGCGGTCCAAATTCACGAGCGAAACGCAGGATGAATTGGCTAAGTTTCCAAATGACTGGCCAGAGGCTGAGGTATGTTACTGACAGCACCGAATCTGAGTGTGCAGAAAAATTTCTGACCCTGCTGGTAATAGTACATGTCCGCTGCAGGGTACATTGGTAATGTCTCTAATCTCATGGCCGACCAACCCCAAGACGGATGTCAATATGCCTCAATTATGGGTGTGCTCGTTTCCCCTACTTCAAGGGGGACCGTAACGCTGAAATCAGCTGATCCAGACGATCTTCCTGTGATTAACCCTAACTGGCTCGCTACCAAGTCTGACCAGGAGGTTGCTGTAGCTGTGTTCAAGCGTATCCGAGAGGCATTCCAGAGCAGGGCGATGGCACCCATAGTGATCGGCGATGAGTATAATCCTGGAAAAGACGTCCAAACCGACGAAGAGATCCTGGATTACATCAGAAACAATGTGATGACTATCTGGCATGCTGCCTGTACCTGTAAGATGGGCACAGCTGACGACGACATGGCCGTGGTTGATAATCAAGCTCGAGTCTATGGTGTCGAGGGACTGCGTGTTGTGGATGCCAGTGCCTTTCCCATCCTGCCACCGGGTCATCCTCAGTCAACCGTTTGTAAGTTCCAATACCACTGATAGTTGAGCGGAGATTGGCTAATGGCTGGTAGACATGTTGGCAGAGAAGATCTCTGATATCATTATCAAAGGGTTAAGCTGACCTTAGGACTGGCTATGTGCTGACCTCGTTGATAAAGTAGTGCCTTAGGGGCGCGGTAACGACAAGAACTAACAATGATCGGAGAGGAGGAAGTCTTGTGGGCCGTCCGTAAGCATCAGAGAACTAGTTTGAGGAAGGAAAAGCAACGAGGCAAGCGATTGGGAATATTTATCAATGAGAAGCTTTGCAATCTTCTTCTGCCTCCCATGCTTAGAATAGGTCGACGTTTAATAAATCGTGGAGAATTTGAGGCAATGGTACATCATCTCGTGAGAGACGGTGTGATTTAAGCCGACTGAGCCCTCTTAGAAAGACTTATCACTGATATTCGGCCGGCATAGGCGCACGTCAGACCAGCGTTCAATGGTAATTGTACTTTACTGATTAGCGATTGGCGGTCTGAAGGGGTTTCTTGCCTCTCATTGGAGACGATGTCATCGTAAGTAGAGTAACGTAATACAACTTGCAAAAATTACGTCCTTATACGTCCACGATCATCCTAGAATAAAGGTAGGCTATCTCTATGCTACTCCGAATTTATCAGTCCATTCAATCAAATGCCTATGCTTGCTCCCTAATCCAACAATTATGTCATCTAGATCAATCCCCTCCGTGAGCCTCTACAAAGTAGAGCACACCGGGCTGCGATCCTACCCCTTGGCCGAAACATAAGTGTAGTCCTGGAATATCAGACCAAAGAACTAGGGACACTTTGGTCCTTCTCCTCATGGTACTGTGTCCTAAGCAGTGATTGAAGACAAATTTTGCCGCCTCAGCTTTGTATGAGGGGATCCGGCTCAAAAGGTAGTGCACAATATGATAGACAATAATCTCATGTGAAAAATGGCGGCCAATGAAGCCTATTACGTGATTAACAGTGGCAAGAGCGCCCTTAGTGTAGGCCCAGGTTTCAGGAGTGTAGGGTGCGATGGAGAGGTAAGTATGATAGAGGCATGTAATGGCTACTGTTCCTAGAAGAATACTAAGGTATTTTTGAAGGGAAAAGACATAATTAGCCAGTGGTGAACCCACATATACAGAATAAAATAGGAGAAGTATGATATTCCAAGCCTTAATCTCGATGTTGTAGTATTGCTCCGTTCTTTTCCTTTTACCCTCTCCATGGCACATCGAATCCAAACAGATGTAGACTAATATGCTGTGCCGATTCCATGCACTCCGTTGCCCCCGCAGAGATTAAAGGGATTCTACTGAAATATCCGGGAGTCAAAACCGGTTCCGTGATTGGGCTCATGTTCCCAGACGGCGGCAGCAAGGTCGCCCGAGCGTATAGGTCCGCGGCGGCGTCTCTCCCGAGTCGACAGCGTATCACGTAGCAGGCCTCATCCAGGATCAGCTGGCCTGTAAAGCCATGGATTGAGGTGTCAGCTTTGTGGGCGAGATCCCGCGAACTGAAACTAGCAAGACCCATCACTCGGAGTACAGTTCCCACAGCTGGGTTTGGGCGGGAGAAGATTGCGTCCATTTTTGGTTGGACTATTTCCTCAGCGATTGTTCGGCATGACTATGTGCATTTTTACCAGGACTCAAGTGGCAAGAGCACAAAAGTGTCACGATTCTCTCATATATGCTCCTGCTCAACTTAGCCAGCGATGTCAATATCTCAACTTTACAAAGACATGTGCAAAAGGTCGCGCTTGCCCAAAGGATGTATATGGGATATTTATCTGACATGGAATTCTGGGGGCCGTTCAGGTATCACTACTATTCAAACCTCTTTTGCTACATGTAATTTACAATAAAGATAAAGAAGATTTTTTCCCACTCAAACTGGCCGGGTCCTTGAGTTTTCCTTGCGAAAAGGCGACACCAATATCAAAGGCATCTACCCAGCAGTGACCGAGAACGCGATTGAGGACGCATTCCCCAATTTGAAAGATGCTTTTCCTGAGCTAAGAGAAGCGACCAATGCAGAAGTGAAGTATGAATTAGGAAGCCCGAAGCCGGGAACAGTGGGCCTGTGGGGTCTTGTTCGCTTCGGTCCGCGAATAGTTTAAATTGTTTGTACTAATCACTGAAAATCGTTAGTTACCGAGGAGCCATCTTACTCAATTGTTTGTAGTGCAGCCAATAGTCGTAGGTCTTCTAGAACTTCCCTGGTCCACCCATTTCTCATTGCATTCTGACGCGCAACGTTTAGGAAAAATATAATAGGATAACTAGATCAGGCACCGAATCTCGGAGAAATGTAATAACGGGCCGATCCTCAATGCCTGGTAGTTAACGGCGCTATGCCCAACTTTTCTGTTGCAGAACACTTAAATATCTCGATGGCGATCCAACGTTTACTCAATTCCAGGGCTTCTCCTCTTCGCCTTTTGATTAGAAGAACGGTCAGGAACAAGAGCGATTGTCATTCTGACATTGACCATGAAGAAGACGAAAGCACCAGTTACGATGCAACTAAGTACTATCCTGCCTGTATTGGAGAGCTTATTCACAACAAATACCGCCTAATATCGAAGCTCGGCTGGGGCAGCAATTCCACTGTGTGGTTGGCTAAAGACACTTCCCGGTACGCTAGCTTCATATCTTTTTGAATCAATCTAATTAGAGGAAGATGGCGCTGGCAGCCAGACCGGTATTATGCTTTGAAAATATCAAACTGCGGAGTTAGGGATCGAGAATCTGCCCAGAAAGAGGCTCTCATATCTCGTCATATTTCACAACTGAGGTCCAGTCACCATGGTCGGGCGTATGTCCGTGTTGCGAACGACTTCTTCGATATCCAGGGTCCTCATGGAGAACATACGTGTTTAGTCTTCGACCCATTAAGAGAACCGCTCTGGCTGTTGGGGAGACACCTTGGAGGTGTTGGCGTCCCTCCTATTGTGCTGAAGGCCTTCTTGAGACTATTGCTACAGGGGCTGGATTTTCTTCACACTGAATGCCGTGTCATACATACTGGTAACCTGCCTTCTATTTACCTCCTTTGGCCGTTGTTGACAGAAGGCGAAGATCTCAAATCGGAAAATTTCCTGGTGGAATTCGAAAACAGCACCATCCTTGACAGTTACGTGAGCCACCAGGAAAGCCAGCCTCCTCCATATAAGACATGCGCTGGTCGGCGTATCTACCAGTCTCGCCCTGATTTCGGGTGTTTGCAAGGAGCCATGCGGCGTGTAAAAATAAGTGACTTCAGTACTGCTGTTTTTGGTGATCAGTCTATTCCCCATACCCACAATATCCAACCCCGGCAATTCCGCGCACCGGAAGTTCTCTTAGACTGCACGTGGTCGTATAGCACGGATATATGGAATTTAGGAACTGCGGTACGTCTATGCAGTTCTGACAAGGAATTGTCATATCTGAAATCTTGAATAGCTTTGGGAATTACTTGGAGAAACCGATCTTTTCGATGGCATAGATCGCAGAGCCAATGCTTATAGCCGCGCTGCTCACTTAGCTCAGATCTTCCGTCTCCTTGGGCGTCCTCCTTTGCAATTTCTGGAGAGGGTTGATCCGACTATACTCTCTGATCTTTTCTCCGGTGATGGTACGACTTTCCGTCCTTAAATGGTTTCTTGAGGACTTACACGGCTTTCCATCTAGGTGACTTTAGGTATCCAGCGTTGATCCCCCCAGAGGACTTCACTTTCTCAAACCTTACACCGTTCTTGGACGGAGAGGACAAGCAGTTATTTCTAAAATTTGCCAAAAGAATGCTGCAGTGGGACCCAGAATGTCGAGCGACCGCAAGAGAACTCTGCGATGACCCTTGGCTCGATTACAAAAGTTGAAATAAGCTTGTGGAACTGAACTCCATTATGGATCTCATGGTTTTGAGTCTCTTCAAGAAGTAGACATAGTGCAGATCAACCCGAATTCAACCCAACTCTAGCTTCTTCTAGAACTCCAATAAAATCCTATTTAACTACAGATACATATTACTTTACAATCCAATCCTATCACTTTCTTTGATCATTAGATCTCCCAGCCTGCGGTGTCTGGAGAACGGATAGCTCCACTGCAGACTCCACAACTGTAACGCTGGTTTTTAGCGTTGAAATGGAATGACTGAGATTCTGGGCCACACAGACATCCATGTCGCCTGGTTCCAGGGTAGAAAGAGGGATAACTTCTACCTTTTCTTCGTCTGTGGCTCCAATAGAGGCCTGTCGAACAATTGTATGGTCGCGCTTTCTGCAATCCAGATGGCCGAGATGGTCTCAATATTTTCAAGTGAGACTTCAACCGTTGCTTACCCGTCACAACAATTCTTTTGTTCGGGATCCTTAAGAACCGGAGAAGGACCCGCTTCAAGGCCAGGATCAACAGCATGGGGGCACTGAGACGGGAATAGATTCCTTCCGATGTCTGGAGGATCACATTCACAAAATGACTCTGAAGTTGTGACAGGTCAAGAGAATTATCGAATCGACATTACTTCCTGATACAGAGGAGCCGGTATTCTGGCTTTCCATCTGTCATGCTATGTCTTTTCCAACTTGACTGTCACCACGAGGATGCTCAATCCAGCGAAGTGGTAAGCTCTGCTAGACCCCTAATTGTGGTTGCAAACAAAAAAGTACACGACTGCTGCTCAATGGAAAGGAACTTCCCCCTTGTAAATTGCAAACCAGTCCTCAAGGTGACGATTGACAGTACCAATCCCAACAGATCTACTCTGTCCACTACCACCATCATCAAATTGTATCTCATGGACGTGTCTGAGTCTTGCTCAATCGAGCTAAGTTTGAATTTCATCGTTCCACGACTAAAGTCAGTTTTGCCAAGTACGAAGTCATCCTCGGGCGCTTCGTCCCCTTTGCTGCTGTCGCCAGCGCCGGTGCGCTCAACATCTTCATCATCCAAGGGGAGGAAATCCGACAGAGAATCGGCGTTTACCACCCTGTTCATCATAATAAGCTAGTCGGAGTTCCTAGATTGGTAACCATTAGCCCATTACATTAGTTTTTGAATAGCGAAGCATGGGGCGCCAAAGGGAGGGTGGAAGGGGGGTGCAAACCTCGGGGGAATACTTGTTAAAGGGAGGGAAAGCTGAGATATGTGCTGGGGTTTCACTTGCAATAGTTCTAATTCTAAGGCAAGTGTTAGATATTTCATGTGCACATGCGAATATCCAAATTAGCAATCCTAGATGGAGGGGTTCTTGCATAACGTGAGAAAGCCAAATCCTACAGATTCTGACTCCAGCTTTGAGATTTCTGCAAATCAAACGGAGAAATTACTATCTTGCTGGTGGAGCCCATGCCAGATTGTTGGACGGTAGTAGAGGTGTCGGTACTGGTGCCTGTTGTAGGTTTCGTGCTGGTGCTCGTAGGTGTGCCTGTGCCAAAGCCACCAGAAACAGATTCCTGTTCTATGGCTGCAGAATGCTGTTCTATGGCTGCAAGAAAACGGCTGAAATCGTCCTTGTGCTTAGATGAGGATGTACCAGAGCCACCAGAAACAGGTTTTTGTTCAGATAGGCTTGTACCAAAACCTCTACCAAAAAGCCCCCCAGAAGCAGCCTTGTGTTCTGATGAGCCTGTACCAAATCCCCCAGAGATAGGTTTCTGCTCAGATACGGCTGGACTAAAAAAAAGCCTGGGAGCAGGCTTGTGTTCAGATGAGGATGCACCAGAGCCACCGGAAACAGATTTTTGTTCGGGTATGCCTGTATTAGATAGAGTTCCAAAAGCCGCCGGCGAAGCCTGGGCTGAACCAACTACAGAGGGCGGTCTCGGTTCCGCAGCTTTCGTAGCTTTCTCTCGAATTAGCAAGATCCTGTTAAGGGAAAAGGCACATAGACCTACGTCCGGAAGACTGAAAGGTCGCAGTCGCATCGATTACAGTGAAGGGGCTTCCATTGGCTGAGGTTGTTGTTGGTCCTGGACGGCTTTTTTCAAGGGAAGAATCCGGACCGTCCGATAGTCCTGCAGCCGGTCTTTTTACTACGAGAGAGGCCGGGTTATAATGCAATTCTTCAAGCAAGGACTTTGGAGCTTACCGAAGAATGGTGGATTACTCAATGACGGCTTCTGAGTGTTGAAGACGCTGAGAGCCCGTAGGCCAGCTTGCAATTTGTCGAGCTCGCGGCCTAAGCGTTGTCGTTCTTCATGGTATATAAGGCTGTTCCATGGAAAGTTCTTGGATCTGGTCATCATCCATATTATTGACAACCTGGCTGGTAAATATACGTTGCAGAGGGTCAAGAAGACAATTTTCGATGCCTAGAGTTGCGACATTGTCGACAAACGTCACAATTGCAGTCTGGACAATTCGTTAGGCGTGATGTAGTCGTAGCTTGAAAAAAGGAAGACTTTCTCACCTCATAATATGCTTCCATCTGGTCGATGATCTCGGCGGCTGCAAATTCATCGCGGGAAGCTTCCGTCCACGACGTGGCTTGCTCGAGCTCTTTCATCGTAAATAATCTTTCCCCCTTTTCGTCAAAACCACTGGCTCGGAGATTTGCTCTTAGTGATTCTATCTGACGCTTGCTTCTGGCTTTCTGAATCTGGGAGAGAAAGCTCTTACCCACGGGCAATGGGTGACCTCTCTTCGTGTATGCGGTCAGCTCGTCAAGCTTGTCAAGCAATGATTGCTTCAATCTGTCAAAATCCGCATCGATAATGGAGCCAACCAGCAAGGAATAGGTATGGTCGTCAGTAATGTGTTGTAGAACAAGCAAGGCGAAATATCTCGCTGATTCCCAGGCCTTCATTAAGTGTTCTTTCGCAAGGTTTTTCCATGGTTTGGACTGGTCGCGAAAGAGGCTCCCCACAAGGAGTTGATTTGCATTCCCTGGAAGCTCAATACCTCTGTTGTTGCGTGCTTGCTTGCTAACCTCTGCTTCAATAGAACTGCGCTCCACGTATTCGGGTTTCCAGTCGTCCATGTAAGGCTTCCCAGAAGCAACTTGCAGGTCATCTTTGCTGGCAAACGGGCTCCGGTCGACAATTTTCCTGCGGCATCCTCGAATGGCCATTGCCTCTGCGAAGTATTCGTTCAGCTGGCGTATAACAGCTCTGAGTCGGCGGAAGTCTTCAATACTCCCTGTTTCCTCCAAGCCGCCGAAGAACTCATCTGCATACATGCCATTCAGAGCTTGCACAATGATGCGCTCGAATTTACTGCTAATGTTGAGCAGGTAACCCCTCTGCTGCTGCAGAGTGGACCGAGGAGGCCCCAGTCGCGAGAGTTGCTGCTGCCGATCAGACACTTTGTCTTGGATTTCCGCAATCAGTCCTGGGAGATTCCGACGGATGAGCCTCAGCAATATTGTGCTAAGGCGGCGGCGTAGGCTCTCGATGCCGACACATTCCCGTGAGAGCGAAGTCCATCGTCCCTGGTTGAAGAACGCCTTCTCCATCTCGTCGCGGGCGTCGTCAGAGATATCCCTGGTCTCAAAGGATCGATTCCGCAAGACATGCCATCCTGTCTCTAGATGAATTTTTTGATTCTTGATAAATTGCAGATAGGTGTCTTCCTCCTCCGAATTTGCCTCCAGAATATCAGGCTGGGTAATAATTCCTAGTGTGCGCTCGCGCTTTGGATCAAACCGTTCCGCGATGTTCAGGACCTCCTGAAGATGGTAATCTGTTTTTGCGCTGATCACAGCAAGGATGATGCTTCTTGGATTCTTCATATATTTTTCCGTCAGCTCGCGGACTATCAGAATACCCTGTGAGTCCTGCTCCTGGCTGGTAGAGTAATACAGGCCGGGCAGATCAACCAGAGTCAGCTCCGGTTTGTCGGGCCCTGAAATCTCCACCTTGAGTACATCATCACTGAAGCCTGCGTTAACCGACTCCGTGATGCCCATGTGCTCTTTGGCCCTCTCGATTAGGGGAGGCAGGTCATCACCGTTAGAGAAGTCCTCATAGGCAAAACTCCGGAGTCGCCGTCGCTCCTGCTCGTCCGCGCGAGAAGGACCGGGCTCGATGGACACTTTGATTTTTGAAGATGGATTCCGTCGCAGGATAACCTCAGTCGCAAATCGCGTACAGACATTGCTTTTCGCCGGGAACCGCACGCGAGAGATGGCTTCGAGGACGGAACTCTTCCCGCTCGACTGGTTGCCGCAAACAATCAGCTGGGGGAGTTCCACTAGGCCACCGACGCCGATAGTGCGCAGCTCATCGATCTTGTCCAGAAGCCTGGACTGTTCTTGCTGTAGCTGGTGCAAAGCCTTATCTTCCAACGCGTGAGACATGATGAATCTACTGGAAAGGGTGGAGAAGTGTCGCAGACAAGAAAATAAACCTGAAGCGGCTTGCTTCCCAGGGTAGCAGTCAGCTTTTATCATTGTGATGGGAGGGAGTGATTCTGCGGCGCAGCATACGTGCATCACTAGTGCGGCCCAAATACAAGGCTGATTCCCACACTTGCGCGTATTTCCTGGCATACCAGGAGTACACCCTATCACCCTGAGAAATGCTTCATTGGCATTCGCTTGATTAAATTCTGTTTGACCCATGAGAATCCAGACCTAGGGCTTGCTGTTGGCCGGACAGGGGCAGCGCGCTTGTCGAGGACACGATGTATGTTTGTAAAACACACATATATACCGCGACAGCATATGTGCATCAAATATCAGCATAACAAATAGGGCTGCATCTTAATCTGCCTGCTGGTTGTAGCTCCTCGACCCTCCAGCTACATCTTATCTATGCAGCTGTCGACTATCGAACTCATTCACTCTGGTGCATGATCCGCAGCAAGTAGTGTTTGTGCAAAATATGTTGTATTATGACCAAATATGGGCCTCTCTCCAGGACTTTTCTGTCTGCAATTATCGCAGTCACGAAGCACTGATAGAGCCTCTCCGAGATCATACTGCTCAGTACGGGGCTAGTGGCTGCTCTCTTTGCAGTCGGCAGTCATGAATATGCTTCTGCTCTGTCAGTGATTCACAAATGGCCGAATGTAGGAGCGACCGTCCGTCTCTTACCTGACAAATAAAGTTCAGAATTCCAATCCCTCATGATTCGGATGAGTAGATGGACGGCTTGACTGATTCTCACAAGACCCCGCTCGACTGAATGGGGAATGGGTGAGAATGTTCATCGAGGACCGGGAGAAAGAAGCGGAGTGGCAAGTAGGGAGAGGGCCGGAAACAATACTGAGATTGTGGAGGCCATCCGCCGATGATTCTGCGCAAACAAACTGTAGAAATGAATGGCATATTGTTGATAGAGAGCAGTGTGGTCCGTCCAAGAAACCCTGGTAGAGTTAAGACGTAGAGTAATTTAGCCGAGAACAGGCTAAACTCAAACTAGAAAATCCAGGCACCCATTAACATCTTGCACACGACTAGTAGTGACATTAAGTGTGGTTCAAGTAGTTAAGAACAGCATGATATCACTCGGAAGAGACTAGACGCGAACTGCAGGAGGGCATATTGCAGTGGGTCAATGTCTTCCTCATGCTACTCAGACTGTGATGGGTGGAAATAATGGTATTGCAGGATAATCAGGAAGCGCCCCACTAATGGGGCAGGCTGCCAGTGTGTATTACGGCGTTTAAATAGTGTCAATCTACCAAGCTTTAAACTGAGACCTGTTGATCAAAGTGAAACAAGCTTGACTACCAGTGAGGAAATGGGATGTTTCAGCATTCGCCCGCCAATCTAACCCTAACAGGCTCCACCCTTAATCATTTCACCTTTACAAGTACTTTAATGCTCTACAGCCCACAGCTCACTTGTTCAACCAACTGTGCCGGTCACACTATTTGTTCTCTTACACTCCTTACTGCATTTCTCCCACCATGAGGTCATTCGTTTCTCTTCTTGTTTTCCCCGCTTCATCGCTGGCTGGAACCGTGCTGTGGAGCGGCAACTTCAATTCTTCTGCAACCGTTGAGGACTTTGACAAATGTATTCATCTGCCCATTGCCTCTGGCTTTGAACGCTCACTAATAATATAGGGTCCTGGTCCAATCAAATAGAACCGTGGCAATGGTACATCCACGGCAGTGGCAAGACGACCGAGTATCTGGGACTGTCCCCCGACTTCAAGAACCCGGCCGACACTAGCGACGCCCAGGGTGTCCGAATCACCATTGTATGTCATTCACTCGTGTGCTTGTTGAAGTATGACTAACGGAAAATAAGGATGGAACCTCCTTCTGGAATGGACAGAACATGGAGCGGTCTGAACTGATCCCCCAGACCACCGCCAATCTTGGCTCGGGCCATCTCTACTATCACTTCTCCCTGTCCACGAAGACCACAAATGCCCCCGACGCCTCCTTCGAACACCAGATCGCGTTCTTCGAGAGCCACTTCACAGAGCTCAAGTACGGCGCGTCCGGCTCATCCGACAACACCCTGCGCTGGAATGCGGGTGGCACAACGCACTGGTCGGTCCAGCTGGAGCCAGGCAATTGGTACAACTTCGCCTACGATATCGACTTTGCCTCGCAAAAGGTCGGCCTCTGGGCTTCTAATGGCTCTGATCCCTTGACCGAGGTTGTCTCGCCCGTCAGCGCATCTACCTCTACCAACTCGGCGGACTGGCACGTCGGCCAGCTGCGCCTGCCAAACGGGGGCGCCTCCAACGACGCGGCGGAAGACTGGTTCTGGTCTGGCATTTATGTTGAGCAGGCACCTATCACAACGAAAATTGGTTCTGCCGGTGCTTCTGATTCTTCCGGCTCGTCCTCTTCCAGTGCGTCGAGCGCTTCTAATCCCTCGGTTTCCACTCCCTCCACCTACCAAGCAACCCCGCAGCCATCGTCTACCAGTGCTACAGAGCCAGCTGCAACCTCAGCCCCTGCGGCTGTGACATCGGCTGCAGCTCCTGCCTCCGACACTAATGCTGCGACACCCACTGAACCTTCTTCGGCAAAGCTCCCCACCCCCACCACTGCCGCAGAGCTTCTCGCTGATATTCGGGCTGCGTTGCGCGCTCTCATTTCTCGTTCCAATAGTATGCACGCCCGCGACTTTGCGCGCCGTGGATAACTTAGATCGAGGTGGTAGTATTCATCCGATAAATCCGTGCTTGTGAGGCAACCAGTTCAGGACCTCGATTTTTGTATGTCTCAAACCTGAACAACATACACCAGTCAGACACACGGCGTCAGCGTTTAATAGTGATGGCGAATTTTGGAGCTAGATTACTCGAATACAACAGAGAAGCAATGATTTACCAGGACGGTAGACCTGTATGCATTCTTCATGGTACCTATATAATAGTTCCATTTAATTTGGCTTGCTTGCGTCTCTGTGAACACCCTCTTATACCGCACCCTTCAATATCGTTGATTTTTATATCGACTCTCGGTTCTTAAAAACTTGACCCCGTTCTGGGAACCTGCCAAACCCTGACAGAGTCCTATCATCACCTTCATTTCGTAGGTCCCAAGCTCACTAAATAGTTTTAACCATTGCAAGCGGAGAATGCCCTGCTACTTAAGCATTACCAGCATAGGTGCGTAGAACACTCCATAAATACAAGGACCTATCCTGGCTAAGGAGGCCCCTTTTGTTTGCTCTTAAGGCAAAGGAAGGGTCCCACGTGATAGATATTCCTTATTCCTTCTCCTGCCTCTGCTTACCAGGGGAAGACATAAGAAAACTACGAGTGATGCCCCTATAGCTATTACTACTATGCAAACTATTTTCATAATTTGCTAAACACATAGCCTACAATATCAGATAGTTTATAATTATAGTCAAGCCTCTTAGAGTACAGCAAGGAATAGGCCTTTTTAGCACACAACATCTGGCTTAATGCTGTGCCCTTACCTACTAACAAGCAATGTGCTGCCTTGCTAGCACACACCAGGGTATACCCCCTTCAGGACACAAGCATAATAAGGCAGGGGCACATTCTGAAGATGAATCACGCGTCATTAGATGCAGTAATAGATCTCTATTTAAATAATGCAACGTTGGTTGCTTCTGATTTAAGTCAAGACCATACCCAGAAACTTATCTCCTAAAATTAGCTCCTTGAGCTCTTTCCCCTCTAATTCTGCGGATCGCAATTCGCCTCTCCTTCTGGCCTCGACAAGCCGCCCGACGTTAGGTTAGGAAGAAACATATTACATGCATATCTTATAATAACTAGCCCACAGTTAAGTGCATGAAAAAGCCCAACCTATGCAAAGGGATGAATTCACACCCGGAGAATGCAACGCCTTGCATGCTAAGTATGCATTATCCAAGCATAGCTCAATTAGCATACTTCAGCTGACCATCGAGCATTCAACTTTCAACAATCGCCGCAGTAATACCTCTGACATGACTTGCCTGCCGCCTTCAGGACAGCCGACCAGGAACTTGGTCCTGAGTAGTTTCGCCTTTCGTTTCTTAGAGCTACTCGTTACCTGTACCGGCGGGGCATGGAGAGGGAGCCGCCAATATTCCATAGGGTCTACAGTTCAAGTCCGATAGAACAAGTAATTCTCAATTAGATTGCAAGATAAATTCCAGAACAATAACATAGTAAGCATCCCCTAGCCAGCTTCACTGTGCTCCACCGGCACAGTGGTCAGCCACTTAAGCAGCGAGCGCCTTGCGAGTCTTATCAAAGGCAGCATCGACCTCAGCCATACCAGGCTCAACGCTGCGGTAGCTCTCGGCAGGCACCTTCCCCTGCATAGCGGTCTTAAATTTGTCCTTCTCAGCACTGAGATCTTCTATCATAGCCCTCGCCACGAAGCCCACTCCCGCATCCTTGAAGGCCGGCGCCTGGATCTAGGGTCAGAACCACTTCAGATTATTATATGGGGAGGGGAATGACTTACCTTCTGCTCTGCTGCATTTAGGGCTCCTACAAGCTCTGGATGTAATTGCTGATAAGCTGCCATAACAGCATCCTGGTCGTCATTCTCAAAGGCATCTGACTGATCGATGGTCCTGCGTGTGTTGGCAGCAGTATTCTGCAATGTTTGGATTTTGCTGGCGACGGGAATGGCGCCCATCAGGCCACCGTTCCATCCCTCAATGCTCTTGCGGGCCTCTATGACGCGCTTCTGGAGGTCATTCAGGCCGTCGACAGTCTGCTTAGTGTTTACTGCGCCCAGGGCGGACGTCGCGAGGGCGAAGAGTAGGGCTACCGGGGTCACGCGGGAGAAGAGCATTGTATATGAGAGAAGAATGGATATTGGTTTGAAATGAGGAGTGTAGATAGGTGGTACGATTGAGGATGTCTCAGAAGTCCTTTGTTGCATGGATTTATAGCTGCAAATGATCTGGCTGCACGGGACCGGCAAGTGCCCACCTGTGGTCACACTGGCCCAAGACAGGGTATACCCGGAATGTGAGGTCGCGGCCATAGCAACGAATACTTCTTCACGTGGATTCCAAGTATGAATGACGGCATGAGAAACGCGGTAGAGCACCTTTAGCCATGGAATATCCTGCAGTCGAGGCGAAATCTCCATGTATGCAGTGTAACTCTGATACTTGTTTATGAGGCTACATCCGGAATGTCCCTTCCCGTATGCAGTAGAAACCTGATCTGCCGCATTCAAGCATTTATGGGTAGTTCATGTAACGCAAGGGGTCAATTTGGCATTCTGCCGGACGAATAAAGGGGCTTCTTGATATGCGCAAGAAACGTGACATAATGCTTGATCATGGTAGGTTTGATAATAGACATATCATCAACAATAGTGAATGTTGACAGCACAAAAGGACTTGCCTTGACTTTGCGGATACAGGGTCCAATCTGTGGGCTACAACACTCAAGATGCATTTTACAGCTGCTCTGTCATCATGCAGCCTTCTTACTCTGGTTGCACCCGTCCTCTGTACGCTTCCGTCCAGCTGCACCTCCATCTCAGATTTCATCCCCAGCAAACTCGACATCACCTTGCAGGCGTTTGATGAACACGTCTGCAAGAAAGGATGCATTACAACGATGGCTCAGTTTGAAAAGCAGGTTAACGGCAAAATCGTCAGCCAGATTGTCACGACCAGTATGGGTGAAATGGGTCTGTCTGGCTTTTCCAGTATTGCGGACAGTATCTCCGGAGACATCACCACAAAGATCGAAAACAAGTGTGCTGCGGCCGGAGGGAACACGGATCTATGCCATGATCAGAAGGCAATGCAGGCTGTTGGGGCTTGCTTGAAGGAGAATATGATGCCTGTAGTGCTGGGTGAGATGGAACAACTCTCAACGTTTATCACAAAGGACATGTGCGACAAGATGAATGCGTATCTCAAGGGGCCGGAGCTTTGGGAAAGTGTCATTCCTCAGGAGTTGGATGACTATGCGTCTGCCTGTGATAAGAATTGATTTGTGCTACGATCCGCGATGAGCAAGTGGTCTTAATGCAATTGTACCTAGGAACAAGCGAGAAGCATTGCGCTTCAACAAGTCTTGCGGTCCTAATGAAGTTACGGGGTGTCTCTGAAGCTGGAATTTAATTATCAGAATACACTAAAGAGTTGCTGTAGAATTCACAACAAATTATACAGGCTTCTTGGCCAGCTAGGTACGGAAAGCACGACACCGTTGTTATATCTCCATTGCATGCCATGAAACACCCGATGTATACGTCGTATCCACCACAAGTCCCCTACTTCTGATTCCTCCATAGAGGCAAGTAGGTTTTGATTAGATCAGCCACAGAAGGCACTTCAAGGATCTCCGGGAAACGCGAGAGCGCTCGGCGCATGTTGCTGGTCTCATAAAGAGCCATAGTGCCCTCATCAAGAGCCCACCAGACCAAGTTTCCACCCAGTTTATCTTTTAAGAGGGAAACACCCGCCTTCTCCCTCTCATTGCCATGTTCGGCAAATATGTCGATCCACTGCGATGGAGACACGCGCCGTAACGGCATGGTGCAATTCTGGCTGAGGATCTCAAAAGTCTCTTCCCACGTAACGGTTTGTTCTTGGTCAGGCCGAACGAGATTGAAGGCGTGGCAAAGGTTTTCACTAGACAGAGAAATCCGCAGCATGGAGGAGCAGACAAAGTCCACGGGAATAAACTGGTTTCGGGCATGTGGAGCAACAGGATAGCTGCGGATTCGAAGACAGTTGGACATTAGACGGTTGATGAAGTCCTGCGGTTTAGAAGCCCCGGTGACGCTGTGCCCAGTGACGAATCCAGGCCTGTATATGGTCAGCGGGAGACCATTAGAGATGGCATTCCACGCTATATGCTCCGCCACGACCTTGCTCTGCGTGTAGCCAATGTGTTCTTTGACTATGTCAAGATCAAACAGGGGTCTCTGGTCCTCTGGAATGACCTGCCCTGAGAAATATCCCGCCACTCCGCAGGCAGATATACTGGACACATAATGAAACGGCTTAGGGCGTCCGGTGTTCGCAAAGCGGAGCACATTGACCAGGCCGAGAACATTTGCTTCTCGGTGGGAGGAATAAGGAAGTGTATAATTGGCGTAGCACGCAAAATGAAAGATAACACTGGACCACTGAGCGAGTTCGTCGAATTCCTCTGTCCTGAGCCCGAGCGTGGCGCTACTGATGTCTCCTGGAATAATGCGAAGCTTCTGTTCACAGTCGAAGGGAAGGCCATATCCAGCCAGAGCTTCTTTGATCCGAGATACTCCGGAGGCCACGTCCTTGGCTCTAACAAGACAAGCGATTTCCTTGACCTGGGGTAAACCAGACAGTAGAGCTAGAAAGAATGCTCCCAAATATCCTGTGGCCCCAGTCATGAAGACACGCCCTTCATCGTCAGCATACCAATCCGCGACTTGAGTTGAGAGTGGCTCGATATCCTTGCCCAACTCGCTATCCTGCAGGCAGAGTTTCAATTCATCTGGCTCTCCGGACTCCCATGCCACGTCTCTGGTATTGGCATTCACCAGCTCGCCTGACTGGTATTTTTCACGGAGCATCTTCAGAGTAATTTTACTCAGCCCGCCAACTGTGCCTGCCCTGGAGATTTCCACTAACGATACTTCGAGTCCGGCGTGCCTTCTCAACCAAGCTCTGATTTCAATTGTCATCAGAGAGTCAACTGCAATATTCGCGAGCTCGTGCGGCATCAAATCTTCAGAGTACGACAAGTAGGACGCGATCATCTTCCCAAGCTCATACGTAAGCTTTTCCTCTGTGTCTGGCTTGTATAGGATACATAAGTCACGCTTAATATCTTCTATAAATCGCCTGAGTTCTTCACGTTTGGCGGTCGTTTGGCCCTCCGTGGCTGTCAGGACGTTCTGCCATGCTAGGAAGCGAGCATCCTGCCCCCATAGTGGCTGCGCTGCGCACTCTGAGAGCGGCTTGGAGGTGCCCAGCCCAAGGACAAGTTGAGATGGGCCCTTGAGTGGTCCTGAAAGTATAGCAAGCTCCAGGGCATGAAGCAGATCCTGCTCGGTTACAATTTGTGCCGATGCCGACCGGGCATACTGGAGTGTCTTGGGGGAATTCTCAGGGATATACCCTATGTCTCCCATGAATCCTATGTCAAGGACACTGGCGACTAGGCATTTTGAGTGACGATATTTCACGAAAGCATCAAGGAAAGAATTGCTTGCTGCATAATTTGTTTGCCCTGTAAAGCCCATAACGCCCGTGATTGAACTAAATAGGACAAAGAAGTCGAGGTCTTGGCCATCAAGTGCGCGATGAAGGTTCCAGGTGCCCTGGACCTTTGGCGCGAGGACCTCGTTCCACTGCTCGAAGGTCATATCCTCAAACCTTGCATCCTGGAGGCAAGAAATACAGGTCAGCGTTATTAGCATAATCACGAGAGCAGCGGATGCGCACCCTTAACACCATTGACATCTGTATGACCCCGGCAATTGGTTTCGTCGCTGCCGATACCGCTCTTTGCGTGTCGATCGGATTCGCGACACTTCCAGTAACGCTGACGACGTGGCAGCCGCTTTGGCTTTTCAGATCTTCAATGAATGCTTGATTCTGGGGCGACTCCTCGCCGGACCGTGACAGTACGATCAAATGCCGCGCTCCCTTTTCAACCATCCATCTTGCGACGGCTCGACCAAGGCCTCCAAACCCTCCAATAAGCAGGTAGGACGCGTCGTCGCGAAACAAGTTACCTTTCTCATGTATTCGGGAGACTGATAAGGTGGAAGGATCCTCTGGCATGCGGATGACTATTTTTCCCATGTGCCTTCCACTTTGCATCAGCCTAAAGGCTTTAACAATATCAGTTGCTTCATAGGTGGTCACGGGACGGATTGGCTTGAGCTTTCCGTCCTTGAAGAATTGGAGACAATCGTCTATCATACCACGGAACAGCTCGGGTGACTTTTCGGCAATCTGAAACAGATCGACGCCAGTGAAGGTGCGATTTCCCCCAAAAAGGTCCATGTCCAGTTTGCCATGGCCTAGAAAATCCCTTTTACCAAGCTCAATCATCCTTCCAAACTGTGCGACGCATCTCCAGGATGCATGCAATAACTCCCCCGATAGGGAATTCAAGACTATATCAACTCCCTTGGTGTCCGTCATCCTCATCACATTTTGCTCGAAGGAGGGGCTCCGCGAGTCAAAAATATGGTCCTCGGGGATCTGGAGGTTGTCAATCAGGTGTTTTTTCTTCTCATTGCTCCCGACTGTTGCAAAGATCTCAGCGCCGATCATCTGGCAGACCTGAATGGCAGCGAGTCCGACGCCTCCGCACGCGCTATGAATGAGCACGGATTGTCCTTTCCGGAGCTGTCCAACATGCATCAGCGAATAGATGACCGTCGTGAACACACACGGTCCTGCTGCTGCATCCTCCAAGGAAAGGTCATTTGGTATTTTTATGCAGCTACCCACGGGCATTACCTTCCGTGTACCCATCATGCCTTTGCCAGCAAACAGGACTCGATCCCCGGCCTGCAGAGTGGTCACTGAACGCCCTGCTGCCCGTACAATTCCGCTACCTTCCAAACCCATTTCGCTTGTATCTCCCATCAGCCCCATTGAGACCATAATATCCTGAAAACTTTCCTGTAAGTCACATTCTCCAGCAAGTGGAATGAAAAGGGAAGCCGAAGCCCAGATTGGACCCACGTACTCTGAAATTCAATCCTACGCATTTGATGTCAACCTCAACATCGTCCTCCGCCATCACAGGGCGTCGTCCGCTCAAGCTCCATTTCAAGGTGTCTAGCATTCCGTGGGACCCAATGTCGAGGATCCGAGATCCAGTTTCGGGGGCAGAGGTGATGACCCCATCCAAGGAGGACCACTGGAAACGACCCACATAGATATCGTTATCTTTCAGAACAAACTCATGATCCGGGTCAGGGCTCTGGTTGTCGTCGTATGTCTTCACTTTCTCAAATATATCAATCACACGATGCATGGCTGCGTCTTCCAGCTGTTCTATCTCCACCGTGAATGGACCTCGTGCCATCTCTTGTCGCATGGTGCGCATGACGCCCAAAGTAAGTGCACGAGCCGGGTCAGGGTCTGACTCCACTAATTGAACCGATCGCATAAGCCAGAGTGAGCGGCCTTTGGTGAATTGTGAGGCAAACCGCTGGAACTGACGGAACTTGGCAGGGGAAAGATTGTCGAAGAAGGGCTTCTCCAAATCTAGCAGGGATATAAAATCTGGCACCGTGGGTGATTCATCTAAGGTGACCCACTTGACCACATATCCCCTCGACGACAGAAGGCGTCCAAACCCCCGGGCCCAACTGGAAACTTCACCTTGATGCAGAAGACCGATCTCACCTTTGATGGGCAGACGAGGAGAAGGCCTCGCTACGATGTTGGCATTGAACTGGTATGGGGCCTCAGAGTCCAAGCGCACCACATCAGCACCCGTAAACCCCGCCTGTACGAGTTCGTCGTGCCATTTCTCGGGATTCATGTAGGGCACATCCCTGCCGTCCTCTGCGATCCACCAGCCCGGCAGGGTACCCATGATGCAGCCAATGAGGGGGTTTGCAGGACACAGTTCCTGCAATAGCAGTCGACCGGTTGGTGAGAGGAGTCTGCGCACATTGCGCAGTGTCTCAGAAATCCGCGGCGTTGCATGGAGCACGTTAGCGGCAATGATCAAATCATACGTTCCAGGCGTGAACCCTTGGGATTCCGGATCTTGGGAAATGTCGAGCGTTGTATATTCCATGCCCCTAAACTCGGCGAATTTCTCCTTAGCTTGGGAAACGAAACCTGGTGAGAGATCCGTAAAAGTGTATGTAGTATACATACGGCCCTTGCCGGAAGAAACCAGTGCGTTTAATGCCAGCCGGGTGGCACCTCCAGTACCTCCACCGATTTCCAAGACGCGAAGGCTGGGGTTGTAGTGGCCCAGTAAAGAGAGGAATGCGTCCCAGTGCGTCACCGCGGACATCT